CAGAGACCTGGAACCCTTGGTATTTGTGATGCAGGAGACGTCACTCATTGATCCCGGGCTTCGCCTGTTACGAATTATGGAGGCTCAAGATGTGCGTCTTCTCTTATACTTGGTCTATCTCACTTGATGTGCCTTCGCAGAGGCTACTACATTGTTCCAGCCTCAGTGATGTCGAGACCATGCACGATGTAGCATTTTGCCTGAAAAGGATGTTGAGTAGCTGGAAAGACGTGGTATACGAGCATCTGCACGCGTCTGGTGGGGTGCCTGGAGCGAGGAAACTTGGGCCGGACTTCCCTCGGTAAATTCTCCCATTCCTTTCTAGGATACTCAACCTATATTGCCTGAGTAGGGCCTTGAGTCAAATTCTCAAGGACTGGGAAGCCAAAATCCGCGTGAGCCCCGAGAGAACCAAAGAGATTCTTCGAGATGGCAAGCTTGGCATGCTTGAACAAATGCTTCGCCAACTTTTCACAGCTCAGTCGAGTTGGGTTTCCATTCCTGTGGCGTGTAGTAGGGCTCAAGCTTCTCAATTCGAACCCTCCACTAATGACCATCAACCGTCGGATAACTCTGAGGGGTTACAGCTAGCGCTACTGCCAAGTCCGATCAAAGTGCAATGGGATAGTCAAGCGGAGTGTTCAAACTTGGACTTCAAATTAGCCCTTTGGACGCTCGAGGGTCTTTCATTGTGCCAATCAATAGAGATTCTAGCACGGAAATACCGCTTTCGGCTGAACAAAGATATCATCGGACTCAGGGCTCAAGTTTCTGATGTACTACCGGCGAGCTCTCTGTTTGCTTGTAGAAGCTGGTCCATGCTGGTCTGTCGAGTGCATTGCAGAGATGCAGACATCATCCAAGCCCTTGAAAAATTCGTCGAGAATTGGCTGCCGCACTGGGTGGCAACCATGGGTGTTATGGGCGAACTTGATGCGGCTTGCCTCAGCTTGCATCGTGTCGTGCAGTGGATGGTATGTTTTCCCCTGTATCCAGTTTGACGCGCAAACCTTATTTTGTGATTATAGCAACCGCGCATTGACAAAAACGAATTGCTCACACGAATTTCCAGCATGTATCGGTTCATATTGCGTTACAAGCAAGCTCTCAGTCAATCCTCATTCTTCATCCTCAATGGTGCCCTGCCGTTCAGTCATTCGGCATGCCCAAATGGCGTTGGATCATCACCTCCGATCAATCAGCTCCTTACAGTGCTGTATTATTTACTGCAGCTGGACATGCCCAGCACTCATGGGGCCAGTTCCCTATGCAACTCCGCAACCACCCCGGCCCCGTTTCCTCGATCGCATTTTCACCCGACGGAGACAGGATAGTGTCTGCATGCAGGCAAAAAGCGGTCTGGATTTGGAGCGCGACGACGGGTACGTTATCGCGCGTTCTCAATTTGGATTCCGTTTGTGTCTCCGCTGTCTTCTCTCCCGACGGCACGCAAATTGCATGTGCGCTGGAGGACACCTCTCAAATTTACATCTGCCACGCAGAGAGTAGGCCAGACCCGATCTACCGCCGTCTTCGTGGGCACTCCAAGAGGGTTAATTCGTTGTCGTTCAGTCCATATGGCCTCAAATTGGCCTCCGGCTCGGGAGATAAGACTATACGCATCTGGGATTGCCAGGATGGTGGCATTATAAAGACCTTATACGGTCACATTGACGCCATAGCCTCCGTAGACTACTCCCGCGATGGGGTCCTGCTTGTCTCAGCTTCTTATGACCGGACAATTTGCATCTGGGACGCGGCCAATGGCAATAGAAAGCGTCAAATCAATCTGGGCAGTGCAATATACTCTGTTTCGTTCACTGCGGATGATTCGCGGGTTATTTTCGCTGCAAATGACGGTTCCATTGGTGTCTTGTGTGCGGATGGGTGGGAAGATCCTCGAATTGTTGGAATGCACGACAACGCAGCATATGCCGTGTCATGCTCTGCTATCGGGAGCCGAATAGCTTCTGGATCGGCAGACAAGTCCGTCCGTTTATGGAATGCGATGAGCGGAACGCACGTCCGCACTATCAACGGACATGTTGGGAAGGTTTATTCCGTAGCATTCTCCCCGGATAATAAGCGAGTGGCGTCTGGATCGCGTGATCGATCCGTTCGCATTTGGGACGTAGAACCTCCAACCCGTGCTGATATGATTGGGAATTCGTTCATAATTGCCTCCTCTCTCGACGGGAAGCTTACCGCAACCATTCACGAGGGAAATATTATTCGCGTCAACGCCCACGGATCGAGCAACCCCCCAATTTTATTCAAAGGACATACCAATATGGTCACCTGCGTGTGCTTCTCTTCAGATGGTCTTCGACTCGTCTCCGGGTCTCGCGACCAGACTGTAAGGGTCTGGGACGTAAATTCGGGGGCGTACATCGGAAAATTCGCGATTAGTGAAACGAAGCAATTTCGGGAATTTCAATGGGAACCTCAGGCGCCTTACCATATCAGTTACTCCCCATGCGGTAGAGTCCTCCGCGTGAGAGGGTGGGGTGTGGCGATACATTTGAACAGCCATATACCCTCTATCTCAATCCCAAGGACTTGAAAGAATACCAAACTCCCATCCCTTCCGTTTTCCCACCTACCTCTCCTGATCCATCTCTTCCAATCGTCCTCGATCAAAATTGCTTGTGCGTACAACACCAGGGAGTACTATCGTACGTCTGCTGGCTCCCGGATGACTTCGAGCCGATCTCCGAAGTCGTCCAGATTGGTAGACGTGTCACCGTAGGCGGCAAGGGCGGGGAGGTCATACATGTCGACTTTAAGGAGTTAGATCTTGGCTGCCAATAGGCAGGTAAACTTTTCTGTCAAATGAGTGGTAAGGCTTTTGGTGGTTGGGTCATCAGTGGCTGTATTTGCTCCTCTGGCTGTAGTCTTCCACCCTTGATGTGTATTCAAACTTTGTGTCATCACTTCTGTTTCTGGGGTCTTGGCTGTTGGAGGTGGCGCCTTGCGTTTCATATGACATGAGTGCTACCTCGCTGCCACACCGTATATCATTAAGCCCGGGAGGAACTTCAGTTCAATACTCTGCTCGGTGTGTGCTTTCCGCCCCGCGCACAATATTGGGGATGGGGTTGTTTCGTTACCGTAAGTGGCCATGCAGATCCATCAGGGCAGCGGCTCCATACCAAATCCTCACCGCATGACCCGCCACGCACTGAGAACACGAAGCCAAAGGCATACATGTTGGCGTGTCGGCTGAACACACTTCAGATGTAGGCACGGTGTCATATCCTAGCCTGGAGCAACGTGACCAACACGGAAATGAGACACCCAAATGATCAAGATTTTTGGAAGGGGAGGCCGAAATTCACGTTCATGGACGAGTGCCCCTCACTTGTCAAGCGTATATATGACTGGGAAATAGCGCATTAAACGTCGGGATGACCATCATCACAGATCAAGCTACAGTCACATATCGCGGTCTTGGCGCACCACCGCTGGAAAGGTGTCCATCATTTCCCATCATTTCCAACCCTAACAAAGCAACGTACCGTCTGGGCGGAGCACTAGGAGAACTTTTCAATCGTGTTCGTTTGTCACTGGATAAATCATGAGCAAAAGAACGTCGTGTGGGTGAGCAGCAAATCATGCCTTTCTGCAGATGCAGATGCAGATGGGAATTGGACCTAAATTCTCCTCAGCCGAACGTATATTCGCATGGGAAGCCAATTGACACGCACCTGTGAACCAATCGGAATTGCCTCTGGTGTCCGGGGAGGTGGTGGCTTGAAATTATGGCAGGCCTCGTCAGTTAAAGGATTCAAAGTTTCACGTCCCCAGAACTTTACCCTTGGCTTAACGGGCTCAAGAGGGACAGAATTCTGTAGCAAGAGTCAGTCACAAGACAGGTGCAATAATTGTCAAACACGAACCAGTGCCCGTCGGGGCTCATTCTTTTTGGGTACGTACCCTCCCCCAGGTTCGTAAGCCTTGTAGGTACGACGATTGAGCGGCTGCTGTGAGTAACTCCTCGTGAAGGGTCATATGAATCCTACATCACGTTTGCTTAGGCAACCTCCCATAGGGTTATGACGGTTGCAGGCCGCGGTAATTATGTGAGAGCACGGAAAGTGTTGGAGAACGCAGAATTCGAGGGGTGGGTACGCGTGGCTGACACGTTTTTGGAAAGGGCCCTGCAAGTTAAAGCTGAGAATGGAATTGACACTAGGGTGGGTGAGAAAAGCTTTTGTGAGAAACCGAGGGTTGCAATGCGCCCAGTAAGGCAGTCTACCATAGATGGCAAGCAAATGACGCCAGGGGTGACATCGCTCCCAAGGAACAATCAGAGTAAAGTGTAAATGCATGCTAATCTTTCTGGATCCTGAGGGGAATCCACGAGCGCATGACAACTGTGGCACACACATGGACTCACTTTTTTTAAGAAACGTGCACTCGCAGCAGAGATGCGGAGATAGCCGGCACAAGGAGCGGAACCAAAATAGAGAAATTACGTAACACATGAATGTGATCGGGAATGGATCGATTAAGGACAAGAAGTTCTTCCCGTAGGTGGCTTGGTCTGCTTCACCCCCTCCCAAGAAAGAGAATCCAAGCTGGAGAACAGATAGAGAACGGCTAGCTTGGTTTTAAGACATCCAAGGCAATCATTTCCCGAAAAAGCTGGGATAATTGAAGTCACGAGCAAGTAGTGCATGTCGTTCTCAGACTGAGATAACGATTCCAGCGGCCCTGATTCGAAACTAGCTAGATGGGGCTTCATGCGATGTTCGAGATAAGCCGCGACCACAGATGCACAATACAACAGGCAGAGATCAGCGTCAGAGAAGGAAAGGCCTAACTGCAGTAGCAGAGAGCGGTGCCTTACCACCGTCCTGTGGGTTCAAGTGGAGTACAGGACGGTGAGCAAGCGCTGCGTCGATCGTGTAAAACGTCACTCGCTAGATGTGATGTCGCGTTCACGTGTAAATTCTTATCAGCGCTTAATTAAGTTAAAGAAGCCGCAACCCCGCGGATAGTACTCCGCGCAGTAACACCGTACCTCACGAAATGAGCCCCCTTACGTTCGCTGATCACTCAAGTTCAATGCACAACAGAAACCACCGCGCCAGAGAAACAAATGATCATACACACAGAGATGAATCGCTTACCGCCACCAGTTCATGAAAGATTCAGTGGACTCGTAGGTTGCTCAACCTATGCAACCAGGTGACTATGCATTCAAGGTGTGCGCTGGCCGATGCATATATAACACTCAGGATGAGGTGGATTTGCGGCTGAGTACAGCGCGACCGTGCCGTTGGGTCCCACTCAGTGCAAATTACTAAACTGTTCCACACTTCCAGCTCTATTTTAAGCGCTGGGACCGACACCTTGTATTATTCATTACAGCACTGATGGTTGAGGCTTGCCAGCGGCCGGTTGCTCCTCAGCAGCGCACTGGTAAACGCCGTCTATGCTACCGGTGGCCTGCTAGTGCGAGGAACGGTACAAATTGGGTGGTAGGTTGATGGTGCCGATATCGTTTCGGTGGTGCTTCGAGACCACGAACTACGATGGGGCATCCGCAATGAACCTTGGGTATGCGCAGTGAAGGGCGCCTAATGGGCGTCTGGTTTCTTACTTTAACGTGGGTATGGTAGACCTCAGATGAATGGTAGGTATGAGTACACGTCCAAAATTGGCGTTCAGGGACCGAGCAGAATTAGGATGAATATCCACCAAACATCAAGCTAGGCTGTGATACCGACCACGGCGTCGTATATCAGCGGTTAAAGGCTCTAATCTGTACGTGCAGGATTTGTGTCGTCAGCAGCAACAAACGAATGTGGACGATGAAGACAAGTACCGAGATGCAGGAGAAACGGCGAGAGACAGACATCGCCCCCTTGAATGACAAGAAGACGCAAGTGAGGAGCAGGTAAAGGTATGACTAGGGAACCTTACCGGACAATTAGGTGAGGGACTGCAGCATGAGTTTGCGAAGGTCGTCCTCGGAGCGGGCTGAGGCCAAAGTCAACCTCACTGACCAGGACTGGAATGTGCGGATCCGTGTATTCAAGCTACAACAGTAATGTCATTCACGAATTCGGTGTCGAGAAGTTTGTATGCGCACCCCGACTCCCTTGGTATTACTAGGTTGAACGTCTTGTTTCGGCTGTCAGGAATGATGATCAATGGTGGTACCAAAGATAAGTCTCATCCAACGGCGAACCATGTTCCGCTGGGTGATGAAACAGCCTCCACCAGGCTCGTATACCTTAGGATGATTATGCCGTGAGCGTCAGTAACAACTCTGATGCTAGTTTCAGACGAACATCATAGCCCTCTTGGCCCTTGCCCAGGGACACACGCGAGCGAGCCAGACGACGATGACGTTCCCAACGTTGTGCCTACTAATATTCGACTCAGGAGACTCTGGTGAAGACAACGGAGGACATACGAGTTTGCTGAAAAAGTGTCCCATTTGACTGCGCTCCTACAACCAGTGTAGAGGGATTTGCGCAAATGGGGGATGGGTGACAGGGCTGACTTAGGGGTTTGACAACAAACACGTTCATCACGCATGTGCAAAAAAACCTGTTACAGGTGTACTGTACTTCGGCCATCTCCTATGGTAAGGTGCAAACATCGAAAAGCGGATCCGGAGTCACCTCACAATGAGGGCATCGGTAGATGTATGGGTGAGCCTCCGCAAGCCGCAAGCCCGATTGACTGGCAGACCAGTTTGTTCAAAATGTGGAAGGGGAATCAAGTCGTCGTGTTTCAGGACAGTGGAGCATCGCGCTCGTCACTCTATAGCCGGGAAAGCTGCATATAGCGCTGCTCCTGAAGGCGATGATGAATGTTGCTTGTTGCGTGATATGAAAGACTGTTCGGTATATTCGGCGGGTTATGCATTCGTCAAGCTCATTGCTCCCAGAACGAATTGTCACGTGGTGACACCGATAGAAAGAACAAGCCACATGCGAACACCACAGGTGGATCGATCAAGGGAGTGTTGTAGATTGGAGGATTGGGGCTGAGCGTGGCCACTTTAGATCCTCATATTGCAGCTGTCGTAGCTATCCCGCAAAACATGCCGTTACCTGGCGTACTGTGTCCTGGTTCTAGAGTATTCATGACAGGCTGAAGCTGGTTGCTGGATTTGCAATGTGCTTCCCGTGCCGACACGCGTTGGCCTATTAAAGCTCAAGCCATCTTTCTGAAAGGCACTTTAGCCTGGTTGTGTGGCTTGCAATAAGAGCCAGCGCGAAAGTCGCCATTGCTGATTCCGACGTTCAAGTCCTGGTTCGTGACATTCATACCCACCTGGGGTTTGCATCTCATTGAGCAGTTAGCAAGATGTCCACTGAATCCACGTCGACTAAACACCATGGTTCCTATGAATCCTCCAATGCAACTGCTCTGGTACAGTGATACCTATCCGTTGCTAGGATGTGGCCTCACAAGATACAATTAAAGGGCTCCGGCAGCCAAGAGTACAGTCGTAACTCATCAAGAGGCGCAACTGCATCGTCCGAACGGGTGAAAGCCAGTTGGGAGGATTCACAATCCTCGCGGGCTGAGGGAGAGGACGACATACTGAATGGGATACCGGCAAAGGGCGACAAAGGCTTCAATCTCAGCGATTTTTGCTTCGAGCTCGATCGTAGCTCGAGAGCGGAACGCGCCGTGGTTACTTCCATACGTCGGTATGCTACGAAAGGGCGAGTGAAACACCGTTTCCTCTTGATATCTGTTAATCTGGAGGCGGACAAATTTTGGTTCCGTTTGGACCGTCATCCAAGAACAAAAAGTTTCCTCAAGTTGTCTTCTGCATCTTACTTGGCTTCAAACGATCTTGTGAGCAGCTCTTTTCTTCTCAGCCACTACCACAACTTGGATCTCATAAGATCTGGGTAGGTGAAACTCGCATTGTCCCTCAACGTTATCCTCAAGGACAAAGAGCAGCAAGAGGCTCTGATTAATTTTGAAAAACCAGTGCCACTGAGGCGTCTTGCAAAAGCTCTTGGCGTGATTCGTGACGAATCAGTATCCTACGGACTATCAAAGGTTTGGTTATTCGCCTCCCACGTTGAAAGCAGTATAATCATACGCAACCGCAGGAGAACTGTTGGTTCTTCGCGTCTATCATTCAGGAGATCTCGCTTCAGTTTTTAGGGGGATATTTTAGCGCTGGTGGCCGACTCAATCATCCTAGACTGGCCCGTGGACGGCGAACGGCAATCAAGGCGAGGTTGTACAAGGTGCTCCCGACGCCGATTTCTGCTTCTATTGCAGATACGCAATCTATTGCCGAAATAACACATGACGATCCACTCATTTCCGCTTTTTCATCTCTGTTGTGTGTCGTCGGAGGTCAGGATGTGAGTACTTGCTATGATACACTCATGGATTGACTGTGACAGTGTTTCTAGGAACTACTCCATTGTTCCCAAGCGGTTGACGTTGGACTTGAGCGGCGCATGGAGGAGATTCTCCAAGATTGCAAGTGTATTCTCTATGAACATCTGCGTGGGTTGAGTGGCATCTCCGGAGCACGGAACCTGGGGAAGGCTTTCCCATCGTACGTCATCAACCACACGGGATGAATATGTTTCTCACCATTGTTCATAGCGAGCTCATCGCCCTGTTGGGGACTTGGAGAGGGTCTCTGAAGAGAGGCTTGAAGGAGGGGGGATATATCTTGGATATCAGCCATTTGGACGCACTGCACGAAAGGCTTGAACAGCTCCTCGTCACTGCTGTGAGTCGTCATCCGGTTCTGCGACTGTGTCGGACCTCATGTCGAGAAGTTTGATCCTATGCCTCAAGACATCGCACGAAGTGAGCCTGGCTCTCCGTGTTGGACAGTCCAGGAGCCCTTCAGCAAAATTGATCTTGATCTCGCCCTTCGGACACTCGATTTACTGGCTTTGTGCGAACCACTTGACAGCCTTTCGCAAAAATACCGATACCAATTGAATCGCGATATTGTCGACCTTGATACTATTATAAGGTCTGCCATCCCGCGGGAAGCCTGGTTCGCATGCAAGAGCTGGGCTCTGCTTGCAACGCGAGTCAACTGCAGCAATAAAAGACTTCTTCGGGCTTTGGATTCGTTCATACGAAACTGGCTGCCACATTGGATTGTCGCAATGGGTTTGATGGGCGAGGTAGATGCCGCATGCCGCAGCCTACATCGAGCAGAACGATGGATGGTATAGTATTGCCTCCTATGTACCGGTATCCGTGGTTCTTACGCCATATTGTAGCGCCGTTGCAGAGATTTGGACGAGCTTCGGGGCATTATCTCTCATGCCTATCGGTTCATTCTCCGGTCAAAGAAAGCGCTTACACAGTGTTCGTTCTTCGTGTTTTCTGGTTCACCGTTTCAGGCTGGACGTGACACCAGAGAAACACCTTTCGATGCCGTGTTGGTCACTTCAGCAGGGATGTCCAAGCATCTCTGGAGTCGGTTGCATCTGAACCTTCGAAGTAATGGTGGTGCTCCCTGCTCAATTTCGTACTCTCCCGATGGAATGTACCTTGCGTCAGCGTCGAGAGAGAAATGCGTGCAAGTGTGGTGTGCGGGCACTGGCACCTTGCTTCGCCGCATCAAGTTGCCATCCGTTTGCGTTTCTGTCACTTTTTCCCCCGACGGCTCCCAACTGGCATGTGCGGCGGAAGATAACCGCATTTATAGCTGTGAAGCTCTCGGAAAGAGAGAGTTGATCCGACTTTCTGGTCATACTGGCCGAGTTAACTCTATCACATTCACACCGTATGGAACCCGACTAGCTTCAGGATCAAGAGACAGGACAATCCGTATCTGGGAAGTCGCAGAGGGAAAATCGAGTCATGTTTTATTGGGTCATACGGACGCAGTCGTCTCCGTGACTTGCTCGGTCGACGGCACTCGTCTGGCTTCGGCCTCTTACGATGGATCTGTTCGTATCTGGGATGCTGCAATTGGCTCTCAGCTTGGTATCTACCGATTCAACTCACCCATCTACAGTGTCGCCTTTTTTCCCGAGAGTGTAACAGTGGCGTTCGCTTGTGGCGATCACTCCGTCCGTATTTGGGATACAGATGAAGGGCAGCCACGCATCCTCCGTGGGCACACCGATGTTGTGTACTCCGTTTCATGTTCACCGAACGGAAGGCTTGTTGCGTCAGCGTCTGCCGATAAATCTGTCTGCATATGGGATGCGATTACCGGTCAAAAAACATCTGTTCTGGATGGTCATCTTAGCAAAGTATATGCCGTTGCATTCTCGCCAGATGGGGAACACGTGGCATCCGCGTCGCGGGATTGCACGATCCAGGTCCGTGATGTGCACCCCCCCTCACAGGATGGGGACATCGAAGATAGATTCACTATTGCGACTTCATCGGATGCACGTATCAGGGCGTCCATCAATAATGACAAGAATATTCATATCACGAGCGCAGATTCACCTGGGCAGCGAATCTTGTTGGAAGGGCATAAGGACTGGATAACCTGTGCATCCTTCTCCCCAGATCATCTCAGACTGGCATCCGCATCACGAGACATGACTGTCCGAGTGTGGGACGTTGGGACGGGAAACTGTTTGAAGCAAATCCCGATCCAAGAGGTCAGTGTGTTCCGGCGAGATCAATCTGATCCACAAGCCCCGTTTCATATCAGCTTTTCCGAGAATGGCCTCTTTCTTCGTATTCGTGGTTGCAAAATACTGGAAGAGGGAGAAGGATTATATTCCCTTGTTTTTCGAACGGACACGTGGGTGGAACATTCGATTGGTTTCGACTCAGCCTCGATATTCCCGGAAACGTACTCCCCGGATCCGTCTCTCCCGATCGTAGTGAAGGATACATGTTTGTGTGTTGAACGCGACGGAGCGTTGGCATACGTTTGCTGGCTTCCTGACGATTTCGAGGCAGTTTCAGATGTGGTCCAAGTTGGGAAACGGGTCTCATTGGGAGGCAAAGGCGGAGTACTACACGTCAACTTTGACGGTTTGGGGCCCATAGGTTGACATTACATGTCCTTATTCTTGTTAATATATGATCTGCCTCAGCAAACACTCGATGATTATAACCTCACTTGTCGTAACATCAATTCCTCATACAGTTGCTGTGGTGCCAATCGGTCGAAGCAACTGGTGGTAACCCTTGGACCAGTATTGGCCAGGCTAATCGTATGCAGTAATGGTTACGATGCAAAAAGCGAGACGACTGGCCTCCATTCAGCATGGGGGATGATGTGACCGCTAGGCAGATCAGAACTATAGAGGAATGTATGCAATCCTTCGTGCGTTATATTGACCCAGGCCAAACAGAAATTCAGTACAAGCCGTGGCATGTGGAATGCGAAGACCAAAAACCTCATGTCATTTTCCACCACCAGAACCATAGCACAGCGAGTCCATAGTACAGTTCAGAAGAAATCAGTAGCGGGTTCCAGACCAAATGATAGTGCAAAAGCGTATAGAAATGCTCTGAACTGGAAAAGATGAATTGCCCACATCCGGGCATACGAATGGGGGATTTCCTCGGCTTTTCCTGCTTCTCGTGCCTGTTGAAGATACAACGCAAACCCGAGGGGGAGGTTTTGCGTTGAACAACGGAGTATTCACTATCTATGGCCATGAGGTAACCATGAGGCAGGGGGACCGCCATATGACCGGCTTTGAAATAGCGGATCTCGCAATGAGCCACTACTTAAGAGGTGATATCATTGCAGAAGTAGCCAGAGATTGAGGCGTTTTTTATGATTTTATTGGCCGGTTATTGTCGAGGTGACGTGAAAACGATGGAAAGCCCCGCCTCCGCATACCAGTCTTGAGACTTCATCATCATCCAACGAATGCCTTCAACAAGCAGGGGAGTAGATGAGGTATGTCGATGCACGAGGGATAGACAAGTGGCCCCCCCCGCTATCAATTTGATCGTCCTTTGAAACTGAGCTTATTCAAATTGAAATGACCAGCCGGCCGTCATCATGCTGGTCAGACCACAATAATGCCTGCGAAAGTCGATTTCGATGAATAGAAAATTTTGAATTGTGCATGCCCATCCTCCCACCATGCGTGCACCACAGTTGTCCCTAAACGGTTTTCTGTGCATTTATGCACCACTTTCAGGGAAAGTCGTGTCGGATATATCCCCGAGTTGTTAGCGCTATTCATATGCAACAATTTCGCTTTCTGCTCTCTTTTCTCATTGTCCCTTATTGATCGAATTCGCGAGGTCATTTATTATTGTGAGTAGTTTATATAACTGCATGTATGCTAGCCTCTGATGATTGACGTTTGCGAACATGAGTAGGGCTTCCCGCGCGACTTCCCCCGGACCCCTTCGTCGTTCAGCATCTCTAATGCTCTTGTCGCGAGACACATTCCCCACGGTGAGACAACTTTTTCCCGTACAGATATAATATCCCACCTTTTTGAGAACAGAGCTCCGCAGTTGATTTGCATGCGCAGGATGCGTATCATCCTCGTAAACGAACATTCTCGCTTTCGGAGGGCTCCACGATATTAAGCGATCAGATCGATCAGGTTGATCAAGTGGTTCATTCGCGATATCTGAGGGAGGAAGACATCTTAGGAAACATTCCTGTTAGAGGGGACAAGGAGTACACCCTTGGCGCCTTTTGCACGGAGTTGCGCCGCAGCCAGGAAGCCGAAGGAGCGACCGTCAGTCGCTTGCTCCGATATGGGACGATAGGGCGGGTTGTGCATCGTTTCCTACTGCTCGAAGTCACCAGGCAAGATAGATCAACGTTCTGGATCCGGTTAGACCGTCGTCCACGGACAGGTAGTTTCTTCAAGATATCATCTTCAGCATACCTTGCAGCAAATGATCTGGTAAGTATTGACTTGTTCAACTTTGATCTCGCATTGACCTTCCCCCCGTAAGGTAAAAATGACAGTCTTTCTTCGGAATATACTTGGCCCGAAGGTCCAGGAAGAGGCTGCCATCAGATTCAGATCGCCCATCCCCCTCAATCGTCTTGTGAAGACTCTCGACGTTGTTCGTGACGAGTCCATAGTGTACGATCTCTCAAGGGAGAATTGTTGGTTCTTTGCTTCGATCATTCAAGAAATTTCTGTCCAATTTCTGGGTGGTAGTTTTAGTGGTATGGGAAGACTAAATAACCCCTCATGGGGTGGTGGCCGCCGCAGGGCAATCAAAGAGAGAGTTTACAAAGTGCTTCCTACGCGGGTGCCAACCCTGGTGACGGAAGTGGAATCCATAGCTGCCATGACACACGACAATCTCCTCATTGAAGCCATTTCGCAATTGGTGCAGATCGTCAAAGCCCAAGATGTTCGTACACCTAGTTCTAACCTTTTCCTTATCTCACACTGCGATCCTAGAAACTCCTCCTTTGTTCCAGTCTTGATGAAGCAAGTCGGCGACACGGACGCCAATCGTCTCTGATACAACTGCTATCTGAATGCAAGATAGCTCTTTACGAGCACCTCCATAGATTAAGTGAAGTTCCCGGAGCAAGGGGATTCCGCAGTGGTTTCTCGAGGTCACTATTTCACCCCCATGGCTGACAATTCAAACTCTGATTGAGGAAGATAGGGATCTCGCTCTTAGGTTGAATTCATGGATATCCTCTGCGGGTGGCATTCTCAAGATATCCGAATCTATTCTGGATCAAAATCAGATGGACAAGCTGGGTACAGAGGTGACAAATCTTTTTTCGGGAGCGGTAGGTATCGGGTGGCGGTATTGTTACGTTGCACTTAACGCTTGGACCAGTTTGATACAGAAATTTCCCATGGAGTGGCAGGGACGAGCGCCGCTCCGCTTCAACTGCAATGGAATGGGCAGCAATGCTCACCTTCGGCTGACCTGGACTTGGCTCTCTGGACGCTTCAGCATCTTTCATATTGCGAAACTTTGCCAGCTCTCTTCGGGGAGCACCGACATCGACTAAAGGAAGACATCCCGAGACTTGCCGCGTTGTTCGACAGTGCAGTACCGGCAAAGGCGAAGTTTGCTTGTAAAAGCTGGACTTCACTTGTCTGTCGAGTCAGTCCTCCAGGTCCAAAAGTAGTAGGAGCACTAGAGCAAGTCATATCCAAGTGGCTCTTGTATTGGGTCGTGGCAATGGGGGTTATGGACGACATGGACGCTACATGCGGTGGTCTGCACCGACTGGAGCAGTGGATGGTACGTCCTAGTTGCTCCTTGTCACAGAATGCTACCTAGATTCATCACGTCATACAGCGTGGATACAACGAAATGAGCAAGCTTCGGTTGCATGTTCTCAACATGTATCGCTTCGTCCTCCGTTCGAAGCAGGCGCTCAGCCAATGCCCGTTTCTCGTCTTTTCCACCTCACCATCCACCGATTCCGGTTCTTCGGCACTTCCTTCGACTTCCCTATACAATGCTGTCGTGATCACGGCGTTGGGGAATACCCAAGAATCGTGGAGTCGTGCGCCTCTAAAACTTCAGGGACATCCACACCCCGTTTGCTCCTTGGCGTATTCACCAGACGGCGCCTACCTGGTGTCGGCCTTCAGAGATAAATGCGTTTGGTTGTGGAATGCAGACACCGGAACCAAAGCTCTGGAAGTGGACTTACCCTCCGACTGCGATTATGTAACGTTTTCTCCCGACGGTTTGCAAGTTGCGTGTGCATGCGAGAATGGCTCGATCTACATTTGCAATGCCGACGGTTCCGGGAAACCTAAACGTCTTTCGGGTCATTCCAAGCGCGTAAACTCCATTGCATACACTTCGTACGGGTCTCGCCTCGCGTCAGCGTCAGGAGACTCAACCATTCGTATTTGGGATGCCACTGACGGCTCAAACATCCGTATTCTCGAAGGTCATACCGACATCGTGGTCTCTGTGGCGTATTCACCGGATGGAGCATCTTTGGCATCTGCATCATATGACGGGACTGTCATAGTCTGGGACGCCGCATCTGGAAAACAAATCCGTCCGTTTGGTGTGGGTTGCCTGATGTTCTGTCTCGCTTTCCATCCTGACAACGAAAGGGTGATCGTGGCATGCAAAGACAGCAAAGTCCGCATCCTAAACATGTACGACAATGACAATCTTGCCCTTGAGAATCACCTCGACGCAGTCTACTCCGTATCTTACTCGGCGGATGGCAATTGGATTGCTTCCGCTTCGGCGGATTCGACAATTTCCTTGTGGCATGCTGATGGGACAACATGGGCTCACGCTGGTACCCTTGCTAGCCATACTGGCAAGGTATACACAGTTACATTTTCTCCGAACGGCACCAGGGTGGCTTCAGGTTCACGAGATCGTTCAGTCCTCGTATGGGATATAGAGGCAACAATAGAACAAGGGGACAAAGGCGTCTCATTTGTAATCACCTCGAATGATCGGTTTGTAGTGTCTGTGGACGAGGGCAACATCCTCCAGTTAGCCGATTCAAGCGACCCTGATGCATCTCCTGTTCTATTGAGCGGACATGCGGACTCAATAACGTGCGCGTGCTTCTCCCCTGATGGCACTAAACTTGTTTCAGCGTCGCGGGATCAATCCGTTCTGATATGGGACATTGCTTCGGGACAATGCAAAAAACGAGTGGGTTTGGCTGAAGTTGTCGCGGGTGTTTCATTCAGCCAGTCGAGCTTCTTGGCGCCTTACCACGTGTCCTATTCTCAAGACGGCTTGGCCCTTCGAGTGCGCGGATGGCAAGTCTCAGACGATTCTGAAGAGCCCTTCACCATTGACCTGAGTACTGCCACATGGACCGGGCTCTCGGTGCCACGCTCCGACGAGGCTTTCACACGGACCTATCAGCCAGATCCAACCTTACCCATCGTGCTTAGAAACAATTGTCTATGCACATTATTGGAAAATGGCCTAGCGTATCTTTGCTGGCTACCAGATGATTTCGAGCCTATTTCGGAGGTTATGCAAACGGGGAGGAGGGTTTCAGTGGGTGGCAAGGGCGGGGAAGTGGTTTATGTGAATTTCGATGGGGTGGACGTGTCACAATTAGTGTGATGATTCAAATCTTTCGAAATGAATCTTCCCCCATGTAACTGTCGATTAAATATCATACATAGGCTGACTGATGAATGCAAAGGGTAATGGGTAGATGTTGCGCTTCTGCTATGCGAGAATTACACCATCGTTTTGTACCTCCCTCTCGGAGGTATGGTGGCATCCGGCCTGCAAATAGACGTTCAGACGAATCAGCAGGTCACATTGATAGAACCCAAACTTGAAAATTAACGCACCGATTGATGATGGGAGGGGCAGCGAGACTCTGGAACCGGCCTCGTTCGTACCTGATAAATAAAGTGAGCGAGAGGTCCCACCAATGGCGTTGTCCAGGGGCGTACGGTTGTCTGGTAACGGGCTGAGGAAATGCAACCTAGGGAATGTTCCAGTCCGCCAAAAATTTGAGATAGATGTGCTTGGACGCGTACCTTGCTGCTGCTGGGGAGGGAAGGGTTGATGGGTTGATGCTTTGGGTAGCAGTGAAAAAGTGGTATCAGTTGGCGACCCTGCAGGGGGCAGACGGTAACGAACATTCAAGTTTGGCCCTCTGACGCTCGTTAGTTCAATGGTTTGCTTTGCAAACGTATCAGTCCTCCACGTAGCTGGTCTGATAGAGGGGGGAAATAACATACTACTGGATGTCCATTTTGTTTTGGCCTGGGCTCGTATCCTCCACCTGGTTCATATTTCTTCACACCGAAAATCAACGCTCACAGCGGTATCGTCGAGCTGTGAAAGACGCACATCACGTTTACTCGCACAAAGACCCATTATGGGCAGCCGACAACCAACGAAGATTTCGGAAGTTGCGGGGCATGCAGGTGGAACATCGTGTTGTTCCCTGACAATATATTGTGAGACGTTCACGTATTCGGCCGAGCGTTGATTCCGTTCAGGACAAATATGGTAAGTAAAAAGACCTAGTGCTTCAGCAATTAGGAAACCACGAGGATAACACGTGCAAAGGTTTTACAACTCGGGAACCAAATTAGCAGTGCAATATATTCCAGCACTTGCTTCCATGATCGGCAAATTGCAATCCGCTTTCATGGAAAATTGGCTACCTCAATCAGGCAGCGCTATTATGAAAGTGAGACGGAACTAGCAATACCCTCAGTAATCAAATAGTGAGCAAATGCGTGTGAGTGATGGAACGTGGTGCTTCGCCACGCACAGGCTAAGCCTAGATAGTTTTCGCCCTGTGATCCGATCGCACGACTTGGGTAAGTCGGGCCCGCGCGGGTGACAACATGTCACCAATCAAAATCAAGCTTAGATGATTCATGGATTTGATTACTGCAGGCGTCCTGTGTCTGGGCACAATTAATCGTTTGACATCAGTCGGACTGTGCAGTCTATTCCTCTACCTCAGTAGAGGCTGGGATCCTGCCTAGTCTATTCCTTGGGTCACATTAGCAATTGACCAGGGATGAATCCAGGGTTCCTGAAAGTTTAAAGTGCAATTTTGCAATTAAATTCTTCAGTTCCGCTTTCGCAGGTACGTGCATTCCGAGTCTGCAGGCTAAATATCTGGAAGACACACTCCGTCCATTCTGCACTGAACTAGATAGTTTCCACGATTGACCACCAAGTGCGCATGCCGCTTTCGAATGAATCCCACACGCGTTTCTCCTCATGTTCAGCCAAGACATGAAATAAAGCGTACATGTATGTATCGGTGCTATTGGTGCACATACTGAAAACGTTTGGACAAATCCCCAGGCAAGAAATAGCAGCGTCACCAAATGCGATGGTCTACACTGGATGTTCTGAGGATATTATAGGCAAGTTATCCCTCAACATAGCAGTGGTAAAGTGAATATATCCGTACAGATATCGATATCTATTCTACAATTAAACAGGATATGATCTCTAGGCTCCCTATACGTGAGGGGCGAGGAGGAAGGGGAAAAAAGCAAAAATTCCTACTTATCATATCACCCCAGTGCTCCAAATGGTGTACAAACATCTTTTAACATGTAAAAGGGGTACACTCAGACTCGTACAAGAGATCTGAGGGAGAGCGAGTGGAAAATTTGCTCTCTTTATAAGCGTATTAGAATGTTAGCGATTTACGCTAGCGTTTTACGCTCAGTCAATCGTTGTTGAACTAATAGATTTGAACTAATTACCTAGCGTTTTACGCTAGGGCATATGAAGATACATGAGTGACAACACAACATGTGGTAAAAGCGTAGTCTCACCTCAGTCAATCGTTGTTGAACTGAGGGAGACGAAAGTGAAAACTTGTTCACTGCTTTTATAAGCAGTCGCCTCAATGGCGCACTGACTTTGGTAGCAGGAATACCAAGAAAGGAAATAAAGCGCCGCTAGCTCAACATCACATTGTGAGTTGGCCACAGCGTACAAGAAAACCAAGATTTCAACAAAGCGAACACGCCAGCGGCGACTACGCCGTATAACAGAGAGAATGGGGGTTTGAGGGTTGGCTCCCTCAGCTCAGAAAACAATAATGTCAATAATCATGCATTTGACAGTCGGATGACAGAACCGTTTGTTGTATTCTCCAACAACATCATGACGGCGAACTGAAAGATGCCAAGAAAAGGAAAAGGCGCTGTACTAAACGAGAATGGTCCATGCATTCATATAATATTTCACTCAAGGTTCTACAACGTCAGTTGACAAATCGACTCGACTTCAAGTACGTACCCGTGCATCCCAGTTATGAAGTGTTGGCTTTTATTTCTCAAAGAGCTCATCGTTACACCTAGGCCCCAGTTCTAGCACTTCCGCCACTGGGCTGGTATCGGAAGCAAAACTATCTACACTCAGGCTCCAGCATGCCTACCGCGCACCCAGAACTCGCACACAATGCGCACACTTGCATTGTTCATAGGAACGGAGGTCCATCGTGGGTATCCGACATGTTGGTTACCGTAGGAAGTGTACCGGGACGCTGATTCTTATATAAAAAGTGGTGGGGGTCGCCACCATGCACTGCGCAGATTACTTACACTTAAGATTTCTCAACGTACAATGTCGTATTCTCAAATTTTGGTAATTTTGTGATTGCATGGGAGTGGTCAAATTTATTGTTGTTGCATTGGGCATCGAGTGTTCAGTTACTATTTGCATAGTGATTGTTGACATAAGGACATGATAATTGTACAGAGAACGAAAGTTGGTAGTAGCCATCCGAGGCAACCGGATCTTAACTATAACTCGTCGAAAATCTCGGCTGCGGATCAGGATGATGTTGATATTGCTCAGGTTCATCATTCAATCGTGACTCTCTGCGCGCAGCGGCTCCACGAGACTGTGGAAAGATCAGCCCGTGACAAATCACGAAGAGGAAAATGCAGAACGTACATTGGTTTCGTGTTTAGGGTGGTGCGGACGCTAAATGGAACCATCATGGTAAGGACAGACGCTAAAAGATATTGAACAAGCTTTACCCGAGTTTCGCCTCTGGCTTGCTGCTGAGAGTGGCCGATGAGCCGGGTAATCAGTTCAGTTTCCTTCTGTGTGTGAGGGGGAAATGCAAGTGCTTACTAGCGACTGATCCCGTAGGGTTATCGGCTGGAGAAGAATGAAGCCGTAAGTCACTCATGCGAGGTACAGTTGCAAACACGAACATCTGAGCTATTTTCCCTTTCTGGCTCAGCACCCTTGCTGGGAGCTCGAGTGGGATGTAACGATTTGCGCTGTGGCGGCGGCAGGTTCTGCCGTTGACCGCTGTCATCGCTGATAGGCCGAGCAGGGGTACGGGAAGTGATCTCCTGTACCTCCGATTCAGTTGGAACGGTATGATGGGGCTAGGAAACACACCGAGCTCTGTGGTTTGGGAACAGCGTATAGAGGGTCCCCTTCGGCTTGGATCTGACAGTCATAGTAAGGGTCCGACGATCCGAGAAATAGCAAAATTTTGGGCTACGAACTAGCGTTGGTGCTTGGATCTTGTCTTTACGAGAGTGTACCTGTTTTGGGCGCTGCGTCAGCGGACACCTTGATACAGTCATTGCATGTTCACCTCTACTGGTGCCGGCGCTATAGGGTACATGGATTGGGGCTATTGAGTCGGGGGGAGTGTCAGAGTAATGCTTAAGTAAGGATTTGTCTGTACCTCATTTTCTGTGGGCACGTTGGCGGATTGACCCTATTGGTAGTGTTGTAATGATACGGTCGATATCGTATATAAACACGCGGGTCTGTATGACGAACCTGGTTTGGGGTCGACTTTTTGGAACTCTGTCTCTCCTGCACAGAATTGCTTCAGTACAAGCCGCCTGTGGCCAGTTTCCCAACATTACATACAACCCTCGAGGTCTCGGGGTACCCCTGTTTGAAACACCCTTTGAGGGAGGTTGCTGAAACCAGTGTCAAAAAAATTAATGAAAAATTACGAACGAATGGAAAGCCAGACACAACCTGAGATCGGGTGGTACGATGACCGTTAGATACCGAGACAGTCTCATCCTGTCACACGGAAGGCAGTGGTGAGCGAAACATCGCAGGATAAACGAATGTTCACGCCGACCTGGTGTGTCTGTGCTTCGTCCATGCGTTTGATCTAGTTCCATCCAAATCACCAGATATGGCCTAAAGTAGCTGCAACCAACGTACTGGAGACTTCGATACTAATAAACTGGAAGGCGAGTGCGAGTCCTGTAGTTTAATGAGAGAACTGAACTCAAGTGGATATAAGTGAAACACACTGTTCCCATTTCCTCTTTCTTAGACGCATTTTGATGATCTGAAAAGGGCTATTCAACACGGGTCAACCCGACCGAATGGCCTAAGGGGTGCCAGAAGAGCTCGCCTTGGAACTCTCAGTAGTAGGTAGAGCCGCTCGCTACGATGACAACAATATGAGCATGAGAGCTTCAGAGAAGCTGAGTGCGAATCACATTGTAGTTCAATGGGAATCCCTCGACATGATTGTTGCTGGGAGAGGCAGTGGACTGCAGGAAAGAAATAGTATGTGTGAAGCATTGCGGTAATATGTGGTGCCAGTTGTGGCTCACCATAGTTTGGGGTGGCGGCTTATCAGAAGCCCGCCGAGAAGCAGTGGAAAAACCAGCTTGAACCGGGCCAGGCGCGCGTTGACTGCTGTACGTGGCTTTCGCATATTGCTAATGCACCACACATTTCAATTTAGAGCTTACTATAGATCAGGACGGACTGGGTCCTTACTGCAGGTTCTCGTACGTCATTGGTATAGTTGGGATGTTCTAAATTTCCTGGGGGCCCGGGGCCCGAGGCCCCACGGTGATGTCCAGCGTGTTGCTTCGGATTCTGCGAAGCAACAATTTCAGTTTTAGGATCCACGCCGCAAGGACAGCATGTCGACTCAAACAATGGTTCTTGATTTCGCGCTAGTAGTAGGCTGGCTCTGAAAAGCAAACAGGAGTGAGGGACAGAATACAATATAATTATCATAACGAACTGGGGGATATTGGAGAACATTCTCGGCAGTCTGGAAAACTATTCATTGAGACGACTGGCGCGAACGATTGGCGGCAGGAACAGACCTTGCGTCTGTGTCAGCTCACGAAGCATATGTACACTACAAATATAGCCTACCTTTCTCTATTAAGTGCAAGATCGAATCAACAGGGACATCGCCATGGTGCGTGACGGACCTGGAACCAGAATGTAACCCCCTTACCTTGGCGATTCCACCCCCGGGCTCAAATTCATCTACCTTGATTGGGGGGTCCACCACTGGGCGACTTTTGAAACAGCCCATCGTCTTACTTCTGTTGGCGTCAAAGGTGGTGCGAGCGAAAGCGGACGCGTAAGCTCAGTTAGTAGAGCTTCGTCGAGCTCCCAAATAGGCATTTTCCTCGTGATGCATAACATGTGGATTCTTATGCGAGTACGCAGGACACAGTATATAGGTAGCGCGCGCCTACGCATCCACAGCGTTCAATACGTGCGCATACATGCATTCTCATATGTCACTCCAACAGTCAATATTGTCACGCCCATGCCATTAACGTTATTGTGTAGTTGATTCCGCATATCTGTATTTACATGTGTTTTACATCTTTCTAAAGTCTACCGCCATCCCAACCGAGCTGCCTGCTGAGCTGGTGCTTCAACAATTACGGTTCATGGTGAGGAATGGGGAAGCCTCGTGCAAGTACTATTTGTTCCCGAGGCCCCTGGCGCCTCGAACACTGCCGGCTTCCCGGTCGTGGCTGCCGGCTCAGACATTGTCTGCAGGATCGCTGATGCACTACAGTGCCGGGTACCATGGAATCGAATGCCTCGGAATCGATATGCTCTGAACAGTGATGAGAGCTGTCAGCTCCGACTCAGCAATGCTACAGTGCCCTCAACTCTGCCCATTATCCACTTCTCTCTCTCTCAGCGCATCTGGTCTGCCTGCCTCGCCCCCTACTGGATCACGGGCTGCATCTCGCTTAGGGTACTTATCCAGCTCTGTGCTCTATTTATGTTTGTGAATATGACACTCAGTTCTCCCATTAATTCAGGCCTAGTTTCGGTTGTTCGTGAGGCAGTTGGTCTCGTTACTGGCTGTACATATCTAGCCGTCATGCTTACGCTCCCGGTGCAAGCTCAGGAGGCACCCTTGGCTGGTTCCCAATAGACGAACCTTTTTGTGGCCCATATACCAGTCCTTCGCGGGTATCAGTAGCAGCGGCACATGGGTCCCCTTTCCAGCAGTCGCGATCAGCACATTGACGCACACAGTTTGCTACAATGTGTTTAGTTAGCTAATGATAACAAGGGGTTTGCAAGAATTGGGTGCTGTCCCCCGCACATCATTATAACGTCCTCGATAATCCGTTCCATAACTCCCGCTTCCTTTTGAGGGCCTGACACTCTCAGTATCAGGTACACTTTTGATTCCTCCCTAAGTGCATCGAGGGCACAGCACAATCCTTTAGCAATGGCGGGGTCTGAAAATGATCCTCGTTTTCTCGACACTGTTTGTGCTACCTAACAGAGTCGCATTTCGCACACATGGGCGGTATTAGGCTCAGCAGCAGCCGAGACGATGCTCCACAGAGACGCTCACTACGTCGTTTGCCTCCCATTCACTAGATTTCGGGTTGCTGAGAGCGCTTACAGGCCCTGTTCTCTCCAAACGCATCCAAAATTCTCCTACAGGTTTCGCTGGCCGCAAAAGTAGGAACTCGGGCCGAAAACCAACTTCTTTCCTGATGACCAGTTCTTTGATTAGTGATAGCTGGGAGTCGGGAGTCATCCCAATGCGGGAAGTGAACGATGTTGGTAACTGTGCAGAAGGGGGAGGGACCTTGACCAGAGGGTCAATGGTTTCGAAACAATGCCCGTAGCCGGGTTCTCGCACACGTTAGGTATTGTGTCGATGTCGGTGTCTCCAGAAATCAAGGACTCCTCGAGGTCCTTTATGAAATAATGGTACTCAAGATCGATAACATCTCGGCATCCTTATGTAAGGGCCATACATGCCCGGCAGCAACAACAACTGAGGAAATTCAAAGGGGATTCCCGAGGATGCAAAGTATGAAAGTTCATCATGACGTATGTCTTTGTTGGGAATCAGGACCAGGATGGTTTTTCGTTGCAAATTAGAGCCGGTTTCTCAGTTTCACTCAACACTTACACGACCAACAACCACACGAAGATCTGGGATTGGTTGGTAGCCTCCGGCAACTCCCAGAGGCTGTGGGAACTGGTTGTTGGTGAGCGCCTTTGCACTTTCTCCGGACGGCATAAATGAGCACCTTTGTCGTAGGGCTGATATGCTGATGTGGGCGCAACCCACTATTGTGCCACTTTATCGGTCCAAGATGCGCTTACCAGGGCCTTGGAAGAAACTTCATGTCGCCTTGGTGTTTGGTGTGTATATTCATCTGCTAGTTCTGTCGGAAGGGCATAATGACTAGATGACCTATGTTCGTCCTAAAGTCGTTTGAATCACGAGACATAGATGGGACGTCCCTGGGGAAGGGCAACTACACACCAACTTCGATGATTTGGACGCCCTTGACGATCCACTTGATAAACCCCAGCTCCCTGTTGCCCAACATGGCACCTCGGATATGCTTTCACAACTCCTTGACAGTATTATCACAATATGGATTTCTCGCTTAGTCGTTCGCGGTGGTGACTAATCTCATCGCACGTTCTACGATGATCGGGGATGGGAACGTGAATAAACATCGAGGTTTGCCAGACCTAAATCGGTGCATATGCCACGGCATGTAGATAGAATGCGGAGATCAGAAACTCATTACCGGCAACATTATGAGCGTTGATTGAGCGGACGCATGGTTGAAAACAATAGTTTCGAATGAAACAACCGATAAGGAGGTATTCTAAAGTGGAAAGGACAAGTTAGCCTCATACAGCTACATGGATAGGGATTCTTCATCTCCTGCCCCTTGTGCTGGGACGATGAGTGGATTGGTAACTTTGGATTCACTGGCGGCCACGAGGTAACCACGATGTGGAAGCGGATCAGGAAATGGCGTATGGCGGACCCCAAAAACTACAACGAGGCAGCGACTACTTTTCTCGAGAGAAATCATCGCGGAAAACACATTTTTCTCACCGGCAGCGGCCGATATACTGAAAAAAAAACGAGGTCCGCCACAGCAACCCTGCGGATCCGCCAGTATTGATGATGTAACCTCAGCATGTTTCAATGGACGCCTCAGAGTATGTGCAGCTGAGACACGATGAATGGAATAACCGAGTGGCAGCGCCCCATCGGGCCCAATCTGAACATTGATGTTCGAGAATGAGTTCGTCTATTGACAATCATAATATTGTCACTCGAATGCAAGACCCGATTTCCAGAAATGGAACCGGAAGAATTGAATTATGCGCGCGCATTGTTCAGCGCGTCGCAGCCCAATTTTCCTTAACCATCCTTCTCTCTGTTTGTGCACATCCTGGGAATGGCATGCTGGAGCGTGCGTGTCAAATATATGGCTTAAACTGCTAAAGTAGTTCACGCGCATAACTTTCGCCCTCTACTCTTTGTGCAATTGTGGTCCTAACGCGGTCACCCACTATTAGTTGATCGATCGAATTGTTTGGGCATCTGTCGTAGTGAGCAGTTACACGTTATGGCCAATGGTATATGTGCTGGGTGCTGACGCTTGCAAAGATATTCCTCCCGGTTGATACATGAGCAAGATTTCCGGCGCGCATCTGTTCAGATCTCCTCGTCACTCACAATCTCAAATGCCCTTATCGCCGGACGCCTATTCCCGGTAAGATGATTGATTTGGTTTGCAGAGATATTGCCTTCGCATTGAGATCAGGTGCACAGGACCATCCTCTTAGACGAGTGCCATCGTTTGCAGACAGTCTCTTGAGTTCGGACGACCAAAACGACCACTCCGGCCCGCCCTCTGTGCGACGTCCGACTGAAGACATATTAAAAAATATCCCTCACAAAGGAGACACGGAATATACCCTTGGTGTCTTTTGCACCGAGGCACACCACAGCGAGGAGGCTGAATCGGCGACTGTCACTCGCCTGCTTCGATATGGGACGACAGGACGAGTCGCGCATCGTTTCCTATTACTTGAAGTAATGAAGAGAGACATAAAGCTCTGGATCCGTTTGGACCGTCGCCCAAGGTCAGGAAATCTCCTCAAGATATCGTCTTCATCATACCTCGCAGCAAATGATCTGGTAGGTTTTTGGCTTATTGCTTGGGATTGAACTCGGGCCTTACATTGACGGTCTTCGGACTCATCTGTAAGGTAAAGATGACTATGGCTCTTCAGAATCTACTCGGCAAGAAAGTCCGGAGAGAGGCTGTCATCGAATTTAGCTCGCCCATCCCCCTCAAACGCCTTGTGAGGGCTCTCGACGTCATTCGCGATGAATCCATAGTATACGCACTCTCAAGGGAGAACTGTTGGTTCTTTGCGTCGATTATTCAAGAAATTTCTGTTCAATTTCTGGGTGGCAATTTTAGTCAGGAAGGACAACTAAACAACCCTTCGTTGGCTGGTGGCCGCCGCAGGGCAATAAAAGAGAGAGTTTATAAGGTCCTTCCTACTCCGGTGCCAACCCTGGTGGCCGAAGTGGAATCCATGGCTGCCATGACACACGATAAACTCCTCATCAAGGCTATTTCCCGATTGGCGCAGATTGTCGGAGCCCAAGACGTTCGTATACTTCATTCTCTCTTTTCCCTCTCTCACGCTGTGGTTTCAGAAAAAACTCCTTTGTTCCGGTCTCGATGAAGCACGACGGCGACATGGACGCCAATCATCCCTGGTACAACTACTATTCGAATGCAAGATGGCTCTTTACGAACATCTCCACAAACTAAGTAACGTTCCTGGAGCAAGGAGATTCCGAAGTGGTTTCTCAAGGTCACTATTTCACCCTCATGGCTGAAAATTCAAACTCTGATCGAGGAAGATAGGGAGCTCGCTCTTGGTTAAATTCATGGGTGTCGTCTGTTGGTGGCGACGCCCGGGTATCTGAATCTATTCTGGATCAAAACCAGATGGACAATCTAGACGCAGTGGTTTCAAACCTTTTTTCGGGGGCGGTGGGTATCGAATAGCGAGATTGTGGTGTCGCCTCTCACAGTCGGACTAGTTTGAAAAAGAAGCTGTGCGTTTGGAGGGGGATATGAGCGCTACTTCGCTTAAACTGCAATGGAAGGGACACACATCTTCAAGGTCAATTGACCTAGATCTGGCTCTCTGGACTCTCCAGCACCTTTCGCATTGCAAGTCTCTCCTAGAACTTTTTGGGAAACACTGGCACCGCCTGAAGAAAGACGTCCCGGACTTTCAGTCACTGTTCGACAGCGCAATACCACCGAAAGCGACGTTCGCTTGTAAGAGCTGGATCTCACTTGTTTGTCGAGTCGGTCCTGCAGATCCAGGAGTAGCCGGGGCACTTGAACAAGTCGTATACCAATGGCTTTTGTACTGGATCGTAGCAATGGGGGTTATGGACGAAATAGACGCTGCATGCCGCGGTCTGCACCAGCTGGAGCAATGGATGGTACGTGCCACTTTCTCCCTTGTTATTGATTGCTTACAATGAGCGTGTCACACAGCGAGGGCATGATGAATTGGGGGCCTGCGGTTGTATGTTCTCAAAATGTACCGCTTCGTTCTTCGTTCGAAACAGGCGCTCGTCCAATGCCCATTCTTCGTCTTTTCCACCCCACTATCCACCGATTTAAACCCTTCATCATTTCCTTCTACTTCTCTGTACAACGCTGTTGTGATCACAGCGCTTGGGAATACCCAAGAATCTTGGAGCCGTGTGCCTCTAAAACTTCAAGGCCATCCGCACCCAGTTTGTTCCTTGGCCTACTCATTAGATGGTACCTACGTGGCATCGGCTTTCAGAGGAAAATGCATCTGGGTGTGGAATGCGAACACTGGAACCAAGTTCTCGAAGGTGGATTTGCTTTCCGACTGCGTTTATATCACATTTTCTCCCGATGGTTCGCAACTTGGGTGTGCATGCGAGAATGGCGCAATCTATATTTGCAATGCCGATGGTTCTGGGAAACCCAAGCGCCTTTCCGGTCATTCCAAACGCGTAAACTCCATTGCATTCACTTCATACGGGACTCGCCTCGCGTCGGCATCAGGAGACACGACCGTTCGTATTTGGTCTGCCGTAGAAGGGTCGAATATTCACACCCTCGAAGGTCACACCGATGTTGTGGTTTCTGTGATATATTCACTAGACGGAACACGCTTGGCATCTGCATCATATGACGAGACCGTCCGAGTCTGGGACGCTGCATCTGGGGAACAAGTCGGTCGGATAGATGTGTTCAACCAAATGTTTTGTCTTGTCTTCCATCCTGACAACGAAAGGGTGGTCCTGGCATGCAAAGACGGCATGGTACGCATCCTGAACATATTCGGGGAGGATCGCGACCCACTCGTGCTTGAAAATCACTCGGACGCGGTATACTCCGTATCCTGCTCGGCGGACGGCAAATGGATTGCGTCGGCTTCAGCAGATTCGACCATTTCCCTCTGGCGCGCTAATGGGACAGGGTGGGCTTATGCCCGTACCCTTGTTAGTCATACCGATAGAGTATATACGGTGGCATTTTCTCCGAACAGCTCCAGGGTGGCTTCGGGTTCGCGTGATCGTTCGATCCTGATTTGGGATGCAGAAACGACCGAAGAACAAGAGAGCAAGGGCGTTCCATGTGCAATTGCATCGAATGCTCGTTTCATGGTGTCTGTGGACAAAGACAAGATCATTCAGTTAACAGATTCAAACGATCCAGCGCATCCCCCATTCTATTACGCGGACATTCTGATTCAGTTACGTGCGCATGCTTCTCCCCTGACGGTGTCAAACTTGTTTCGGCATCGAGGGATTTATCCATTCGAGTTTGGGACATCAATTCCGGACAATGTATAAAACGAGTCGATTTGGCTAAAGTCGCCAAGGATGTCCAATCTGCCCAGTGGAGTTTTCAGGCTCCCTACCATGTGTCTTACTCCAATGACGGTTTGGTCCTTCGACTGCGCGGATGGAAAGTCTCAGACGATGCTGAAGAACCTTTTACGATTGATCTGAACACCGGCACATGGTCGGAACTCCCGACGCCACGCCCAGATGAAGCTTTCGCGATGACAGATCAACCGGATCCAACCTTACCCATCAAGCTCAATCGAAACTGTCTATGCACTCCGCTGGAAGATGGACTGGCATACCTTTGTTGGCTCCCAGATGATTTCGAGCCTATCTCAGAGGTAATCCAAACAGGAAGGAGAGTTTCAGTGGGTGGGAAGGGCGGAGAAGTGGTTTATGTTAATTTTGACGGGTTGACCCTGTGATCAAATCAATATCGACCCGCGATTAATTGCTAATGGAACTATTATTGGGTGGCTGGCGGGAACTGGCCAAATGAAATCGAACGCCCAGTGGGACGCGGGCTGGACCAACTGCAAATTAGGGTATGCAAAATGAATGGCATATCAAGTAGTAAATACTAGAGAAAACTACCAGTAGAAATATTGGGTACGTGAGTGCGTAGCGATGACAAGGAAGGGAAGGCAAGCTATAGAACCTGTTCAAAAACATATGAGGGGTCTCATCGCGCGGCAGGTAGCAGTCTATCACCAGTGGTGTAAGCGCCCAGTTCTTAGCAAGCGAACTCAGTTGATTTTTATCTGGCTAGCACGGTGTAAGCGCTAGGATATATACAATATTTTTAGTCATTGTCCAAGACAACGAAGACAGGATATCTCACCTCAGTTCTTAGCAAGCGAACTGAGGGAGAGGGATAAAGACGAAAAAGTTATGGTTTTTAAGCCTTCTGTGATATGCGGCTGGAAAAGAATTACCAAGAAGGGAACGACGGGCAATCATGTAGATAGTACGTCCGTGCGCAAGGTATGTGGGAGGTTGACCTTTCTCCTAATAATCAGCGGGGCAGCGGGTAATCGCGCTCGCCGTTGGTTTGCTTGCTTGTTCATTCTGGATATTTACTAACTCCAGGCTGCGCGCAAGAGTGCCAGATCGCAATATAGGGTGAAGAATATGACATCATTGCTCACACCCGACGAGCTGTGTTGCAGCACTGTAGTAAAGTATCAACTGGTGGGCGCCACCTAATACGACAAATGCCTGCCACCCGCGGGGGGAAATGGCTTTACATAAGATGGAAAAGAGAACTTAATTCATGCGCGCAGTCATTTATACAGAGGACGAAGAGACCAGCGAGGAAGAATAAAAGGAGAGGCGGACAAGTGGCAACGTATGCTGCGACGGCTGAAGTTGCTTGTTGCGCTGGGATTCAGATTCAGTAAACATGGAATGATTTGGGGGGCCTACATATTAGGTCTGTGTTGTTCAATCGCTCTGCAATTGAAGGACCCCCGCTGGGCGTATTAGCGAGAAAAAAAGTGTGTTGAACCCAATTAGGCAAGAGTTACTGGGAGTACAATTATGTGTTATACATCTTTTTCACATCCAAATCCCCCACATGCAGACGATGCTAGCGCTGTCTAACATGCCATCCGAGCACAACATCAGTGAGTGTTCTGCATACTAGTTGCCTTATTATCTGATACATCTACACTGCGATACTATGGATCGCTGCGGTAAATAATGAGTATGTTCAGTTGAGCAATTGCCATTCTGATCCCTCTGACTACTGCGCTGCCTTCGGTAATACAGAGGGTGTCAACTTGGGCCTATGCGATTCTCGATGTATTATACTGAGGGGTTTGGTGGTCATACGGCGATCGTTGGCAGTCATCACGTTCCTTCCCACGGATAAAAGCAGTCGTCCAACAACTGAGACATACACCAGTTGTTCGTGAGTAGTATTGGGGCTGAGGGGATGAACAAAAAAAGGAGTAAATTGAAAAGAATGGAAGGGCAGCGGGCACTTGTAGCCACAGGCGGCGCCCACCAGTTATTAAACGAGGGACGGGACGATAAAGTGTGCGGTTGCATCATGCAGTGATCACATCATCGTCTTGTATCGCCCTCTCGCAGGCAGACCATCGAGATCCGGGCTGTGCGAATGGACGTCAGCGTGAATCAGTGAGTGAGGTTCACGAAATTCGAGCCCGAAATCAACGCACCGATGAGGAGGGGCAGAAAGGGTCTGATACCGGCCTCGCTCGTGTCTGATGAATCAAATGAGTGAAATGGGCCACCGAAATGTGTATGAAGACGCACTGCTGTCTGGCAACAGGCTGAGGAAATGCGACCTAGAAAACATTCACTCAGTTAGGAATTTAAGGCCTGCTTGGATAGGTACCTTGCTACTAGGAGCAGAAGAGTTAACGGGTCCAGGCTTTTTGTGAACGAGTGGTATATTATATAAGCCGATGACTCTGTATCGACTTCACAGCAAAATATTAGCAAACCTTCAAGTTTGGACCCTTAACGCTTGTTAATTCGATAGTTTGCTTGCGAGCGGGTCAGCCGGACATATTGCTTGACACAAGCAGCCAAGTACATACCACGGGGGCTCCGTTTGCTCTCGGTTTGGGCTCATAACCTCCACCGGGCTCGTATTTCTTTAAATGTTGTGTAGACATTTCGGAAATCAGCGCCCGCCGCCCAACTTCGAGGATGAACGACGCACATCACGTTTACTTGCACAGAGCCCCATTATGCGTAGCCTGCAACCAGTGAGGGCTTGAGGACATTGTGGGCTGGTGGGGGCGCAGGTAATATGGGAATTCCATTTGGACACGAGGAGAAAACGTGGACTTCTCCGACGAAACAGGTTTCTTTCAAATTAGTTTACTGTTATGGTGTGCGCGCGCGCAATCCCATATTCGAGAGTCTTGGATGTCGTAAATTTCACTCGTAGACTGGACACTCAGCTTGGAATGGTCTGTTCTCGGCAAGGATATATTGTGCAATTGTTGTTGTGTTGTGACCTAGATAAAGGCCCGCTATTGGCCGGCGCGGCCGTAGCCTTGGTATCTTCACCTAACAGAACCACCATCCCCCGTGGCCCCAGGCTGCACGTTTCCATTGTTACACCTGTGCTAGGCATGGTCTAGCATTGAATCGCGTGGTGAGCCTGCTTGGCTCTGGTAACATCAAATCGTTTTTCTGTCACAGATTTACAGCATACAGAAGAGCTGCTGCTGCACATCTGCTGCACCGCCATGGAATTCAAACGCCAGGCTTGAGTACGACAGATCAAGCTGCTCCGGGGCCGAGGTAGATTAGGTCGCCCTCGCAGAAGTTGATTTGTTCCTGATGAATTCGAGAAACTGGCGTTACTCGTAGCACCAGGAATAAACCGCAGAAGCCGCTGATGTCAGGGAAGTGCAGGTTGATAAGCTCTACCGATGCAGGCGGCAATGGGGCTGCTTATTCCTCAGTTGTTTATAATGAGGCTTCATCTATTGATGATGATCGATTAAGTGTGAAAACCCCGCAAGCCGGGCCAATTTCGCCACGAAAGCCGAGAGGGCAATAACGCGGAACATTCCAAATGTGCTTGTAGCACGCCGTGTGCGTGTGCGCGGTCGCCCAGTGACATTATGCAAATTTGAATTTTACACCCTGAACGCCTCCCGTCATTGTCACGGCACATTACCACGTGTGCACGCTGGGCAGTGTTAGTTTCTCATTGCGCGATCCGACATTTTGATTGCCAGATCAAATTTTCATCGAAACAGTAGCAGTTGGCCTTCAGGCAGTTTTCCGTCTACTTAGCAGACTCCTGAACTTAATACCGGGGTGGTGCCGTATCTACATCGTCAAGGAAAAGCGCACCATGTCGGTCTGGCTGTGCATAATGAAACATTTGCCCCGCGTTCCCTTGATCTGGGGGGGGAGTGTCCACCCTCGCTTAAACTGGAATAACGTGTACCCTGTACATTTGTTTAAGGTGAGTGCATATGTAGGTATGTTTGGCGATTACACAGTCTGGCAGATATCAGTACGCGAATGGGAGTACTGCGAGACTGCAGCAAAATCAGCTGGTGACACATCACGGAAAAGACCATCTGGACCGCACTTTGGCATCGTGTTGGGAATGATGCGGAAACGCAAAGCTAGGGGAAACTGAAGTCGCTTCAGTTTTGCTCTGGGTAGAATGCGGGGTTTACCGGCATCCGGTTCCGTGAAACAGTCCGCCAGAGGAAGAGCGAAGGTGTAAGCCATAAGCCGCTCAGGGATGGTTAGACTTGCAGACATTGTCTGAAGGATGTTTTCTTTCTGGCTCGGCGCCTTCACCAGGGCTTCGAGCTGGTGACTGTTGGCGGTTGAAACTATGGGAAACACGGGTAATTTCTGGACTTGTAATCGCGTTCGGAGCGGCGCTGGGATCCGATGGTTTACGATGTGGTGACGGTAAATTCAGCCGTCGAGGGCTATCATCGTGGAAGGGTCATGCGGAAGTGCGAGGCGCAGCTCTCGTATCCTTTGTTCTGGACGCTGAAGCAAGGTGATGACTACGCTGGTTTTGGGGACGCATAGAGCACCGTATTTCAAGAGTAGCGTGAGGATGAGTCTGCTTAGCCTAAGTCCGACGGACCGCCCAAAAACCACAAGATTGTGGACTACAAATCGGCTGTGGTGTTGAGTCTTATCTTTCTGGAAGTGTGGCATTTGGACATTGGGCTCTTACCTCCGTCGGTGCTGCTGCTATAAGGTTCATGGAATGGGCTACCAAGGAGCACTCAAGCAGAGGCTGTTCACTCCCTGTGCCTCGTGTCCCCTGAGCACGCTAACGGATTGGCCCCATTGACGGCGTTATATTAATGACGCGCGAATGGTCGGTATTCTAAACGTGGGTTTGTGTGGCAAACCTGGGTTGGGTTCATCGCGTTGGAACTCTGCATTTCCTGGACAGGAGTGCTTTAGGCATCAGTACGACTTTCCGGGCCTCAGAGCAACCTCGGGTTGAAATATTCCTTGCTGATCCTAGTGCCCGAGAACTAAGGAGAAGATCACGAGCTGACTGGAAGTGCAGACTCGAGTGGAGATTGAGTAATGCGGTGACCGTTAGGTACGGAAGCAATGATATTATCCTGTTGCGTGGAAGAGATTCGTAAGCGAAACACTGTTTCGTAGAAAGATGTTCACGCTGACCCGACACATTTTGTTTCGGCCGCGTGTGTGTGGCTCAGTCTAAGCAGACATAAACGAAAGAAGCTGGATTATCATACTGGGAGTTCGACAGGATAGACCCGCGGCGGGTAACAAGTCCCGTCATTTCGTAACAGAATCATACAAGTTAATCTGCGCGGAAATGAACTAGGGTCGTCTCTAGAACGTATTTTGCTGTTCTGAAACGGGCTGTCTCATCACGGGTCAACTTAAGTGTGGCTCGGGAGGCTCGCCTTGGGCTGATTCATGGATCCCCCAGTGAATTGAACAGTCCACTGCTATTAGTAACACCTACAGGCAAGCGCACTTCAAGCTGCCTGGAGGTGGTTGTGGGGGTGCAGGAAGAAGATCATATACGCGATGCTGGTCCTGGATTACCATATCTAGTATGGTGGCTTATTAGAAGCCCCAGCGAACCACCATAGGGCTAAAGGGCAGAGCTAGAGGAGCTAGCAGCATGGACTGGAGGGAGCGCACTCTTGCCCGCAATCAACACGTTTCAACTCGGAGTTAGACTGAACCAAAAGTCGAATGCCTACCAAAAGTTTTGGCCCACCATCGATATATTTGGGACGGTAACATCCTAGATTCCCTGACGATTTGGGGTCCGGACCCCACCGATAAGAGTTGATTTCCAGTGTATTGTCTTGAAGTAGTTCTGCTCACACGATTCTGTAGAACAACGATCTCTGTTAGGATCCCTGACGCACAAGTGGCATATCCTCCCAAGCGGCGACCCTCGAATTCGCGTTGCCAGTGGGTGGAGATAAGTACGTTCCCGAACAGCATTCATTGGCACGATTGACAGGAACAAAGGAAACATTGCAATTTTTGCGCCCATCAGGATTGCCAGTGAAGACGTGGACATGCATGATTCAACAGTGGCATCACCACGACACCTCATGGATTGGAAGCAGTGTGTAATACCCATACCCGAGGAACGCCACCACCACCTGGTACAAATTCATTCACCTCAACCCCACCTTGGCGTGGGCCTACCTCCCCTCAACGGCTGTGACGGTAGCGCATCATCCTGTTATCGCGTTGTGCTTGTGAGTGCCAAAGATGATGCGAGTAGACGTGTAAGCCCAGTTACGAGAAGCGGAGATAGAGACACGAGGCCGGCAAGAACTCGAATTGGCTTGTCGCATAAAATGTTAATTCTTGTGGCAACAGCAACTCGGATCTATTGTAGGGCTGCGCTGCTGCCCGTCCCCGCCCCAGCCTCATCCGCAGCACTCAATCCATATGCACATACGTCCCTGTGTGGGTAGTTCCGTCTGAGTATTGTAGCTGCAAGGATTGTCCCAGCACCAAAGGTGGGATCACATGATTCTGGTCCTACCATTATGACATTCTGTGTCTATCGCTAGCAGTGACCAGCCTCTCTAGTCTATCGCCCACTTTGGCATTCTAGTGCAGAGTATGCCATCAGGCACAGCTCTGTACTTTAAATTGATTCCATCGATCCGTCCATAGTACACCTGGTAGAATCGCAGTGACATCGTGGAATGTGTGAAATTTGGACCATCTGCTTTCCCTCACTTACAAACCATGCTGCAAAGTCCCTAAGTGCGTCGCTGCTTCCCTCACAATCGATCGGTCCGTTACTGGATTTGGCGATCGGCGTACATTTTAAGGCTGGAGGTTAGGGGGAGGAAGGTTGCAATGGGAGGGCGACAACGGAGCACTTCCCGCAGATGCCTTTTCATCCTCCATAGTCAAATCTTGTCCAGAAGCTCATCGTCACCCCCCCAGACATTCATCCTACTCTGCCAAATTGTCCACATTTACGCAAGTGGCGCTCGGCTCTATTTGATCATTAGGACTTGCGCAACCCAATTTCTGGCATGTTCCTTCCTTAAGCTCGTTACTGGCGTTCTAGTGCGTGCTCATTTCTTATTTTTTGCCTCTCCTCTATATTGATTTCAACTTGGACGGACCAATGAGGATGATTTTTCAAGCCTCTGCACGTCGTAGCGAAGCTAATCGTATTCGCCTGGGATTGCGAGTACATTACGACTTCGGTTTCGTTGGTTATATACGTTTTGGCCGCCGTGCGCCCCTAGTGAGAACGCTGGGGATACCTCCATTGCTCTGTGTGCCTTGTCCCTATACAATCGGCGTACCCTACGTAGCCTTCTGGATAGCCGGCTAGGCTATGACGTCTCGAACCTTCTCGATGGTGATGGCATTAGTTAGAAGTAATCGTGACAACCTACCGGCACACCTATCCCGTTAGTCGTCTGCTGGTACATGACACACGTTCGGCTTTTGCGGTGGAACCCTTGCCCATGAAGGGCAATTTTGTATGGGATTGAGCCAAGTTCGCTTTCGCTGTTGTCCATCCAACATATGATTTATTCTTCACTAGATCGTGATGACCAGTTGCACGGCAGACCGACTCTCCAGGACTTCACGGTTATCTGCCTACTGATTACTCCAGACGCTATTTACAAGATGGCGATCGCAGAACAATTAAAGGTGGGATATTATACAGATTCTGCATTAATTACTAGAAATCTATTGTGAACGCCCGCATTGTCGTATTGAGGATCCAGCCTCACAAAAGGTAATGTGTTATTCTACCTAGGATTCTTGTCTGATGTCTTAAACTTCGGTATCGCATTTTCGTAATGCTGTAAATTAGTGGTGCGGGGACCACCGAATGACGCATCAAGCATCAACATCTAACATAAAGTTTGGCCGTTTCAGTAAAGCACACACCAAGAAATTATATGCGGAATGGAGATGGCCAGGGTCAAAATAGGATCAGACGGAGTGACAGGGATGGGTTTCGGGTAGGTGTTAAAGGATATCGTGATCTGGTTCGGCCGAGGAATGCCGGCCATATAGCGCCTTTGCGTGAATCGGACTGACAATACAGGATTCGAAACGACGTACTAGGTATGGGGTGATCATAGGGAATCTAACGTCGGATTCTTGATGCATCCCTATGCTGGTGCGACTAGAATAGTGGAGGGGGAAGTTGGACAAAGTCCCATCGATACATAATTTTGTCAGACAAACCTGGGACTGGGCATAATGTTTCGATGGCTTCTGAGGATGGTTTCTCGATGGTGGGGGATTCGGAACGCCATATTGGGGAGGAACTCTGGGATTGTTGTGCCTTTCCAGAGCTATTCCTCCGCCTGGTGCGAATACCTTGGTGCTGTCAGAACTTGCTTCCTTTGGCGACGAACGAACGTACATCTAGCTCGACATCCACTACGTTCCTCTGTTCATGACGTTTTAGATTCATTCACTTCCGGAGAGAAAATACGACATACAGAACGTCTGCTCACCAGACCACCCATTAATGCGTGTGCTTACTCTGCAGAAGAGTGGATCTGAGTCTTTGGGGATCCACCAAATAAAAGGAATAACGGGAACGCATTAAGGCTCAAATGCTCAGCTCGCCCATTAAGGGCATAATTCAATCCAGTTGATAAAAGCAGTGCCTGTATGTATAGCGCGCGCGCGCCCACTCCACATTCTGGTTCCTGATAGTTCTTCGGCACAGCCCAAGTCAATATTCACACCTGGGAGTTAACCACAATGAACCCAAGAACCCTCGGCACTGGAGACCCCCCGCGCTGGAAACTAAGAATGAGAATAATTCACTCAGCTTCAACGAGGTAGAATCATGTGAATGCAGAAAAGCTGCTTACTAATATGATTAGGGTATGTATATTGCCTCGCTCACCAGCATGTTTGTCAGTGAGAGCTTAGCGAGAGTCGGAGGCTGCTAAGTTTCTCATATCTGTATAGCTAACCGACTCGGAAAAAGGAGCACTCCTGTGTATGCAGGTGAGCCTCTATCAGAATAGAACTTGTGTTGTTGCTTGGCAGGATATGTATTGATGGCTCTCGGATCCTCCCGATATCCCCAGGATGCGTGACACGTTCAACTGCTCTTTTCCAGCAGCCTGGAGTTTTGCAGGTTAAATATCCAGAATAAAACAAACAAACAGCTCTTTTGCGGGACCTGGCGGAGTCATGGATACTGCTTTCTGAGCCGCTGCCACAGTCATTTGTAATATTGTTGCTTCATAAGGCAGGGTTCTTAATTTGCGGGACGGGGTCTAAATTACCTTATCGCTGCCGCGCGCCCGCGCACTTGTGGCTATTATATATGCAGTAGCGGCCGCTCAATTTTAATCTCTGCTTGTCCGTCTGCATCCCTCGTGACAAACCACATACCATCAATCCTGTCTTCCATGGCCGATGCGCATATCGACAAGATATCTATCATTTCTAGCGGCTCCATTGCAAGCATTACTTCGAGACTATCGACCCTTTGGTCGAAGGTCCCTCTGTCTTCCCGAAAATTGTCATCAACGATCGCGGACATATGTTCCTACATCGGGAGTACTCCTGATGCCCAGCTCTCCCCAATCAAAGAGCTCAAGATTAGGAAAGAGGAGGGTGGTGTTCAGCACGAGTTCCTACTTTTACGGCTGGAGAAACCCTCTGGAGAAGAATTCTGGGTGCGCCTGGAGAGAAAGGGGCCGACGGGCACTCTCAGGAGGCTGATGTCCAGCAGATGGGAGGCGAACGACGTGGTGAGCCAATTGTATTCCCTTGGTGGCTATGTACTCATCCTGATCATGGCCAGGCGACTGTCTCTGGGAAAGTCGCCGCGCTATTGGGTAGCGCGAAGAGTGTCGAGAAGACAAAGATCACTTTTCGCGTCTCACCTTCGCTAACGGACTTGTTCTGTGTCCTCGAAGCGCTTAGGACCGAATCGAGATCGTATCAAGTGTGGCCGGTATGGGCGCGGCGCTCACAAGTCTCCTCTCATGGAATTGCTTATCATCGGCTATTTCTCGTTACTAGGAGAACTGTTACTTTTTTGCATCTGTAGTCGCCGAACACCTACACAGTCTCGATAATGGTGCAGAGCTTATCGGGGCTTTACGATGGCTTGATCTCGGGATTCAGGCCCGTCGAAGAATCCATCAAATCATCACCTCATATGAGACTGTTTCTGTCTACGATCCGGATACGGAGTCGGGAAGCATGTCGCCCCTCCAATCCCTCAGTGACAGGGAGTGAGCGAGGTGAGGCCCGTGAAGGCTGTCTTTCCTAGTTGACGTCTAACAACACGTGCAAAGGCTTACCACTTGAATGCACCCTTTCATCGCTCAAACCCTGAATTGCAAGATGCCCACTCTGTGGTGAGATGACTGTCTTGCAGAGAAACAAGTTCCTGCCTGATCGTCGGGAACAGGGCTCCCAAGTGGATTTACACACGCAGAATATCCATCGTCCTCGCCAACGGGCTTCGTCATCCACGGAGAGTCTTTTGGATTCAAGGAATCGGAACGGTCAGGCCGGTCCAATCCATCCGAGACGCCCGACTGAGGGGCGACGGAACAATGCTGCTTTAACTGGTGGTGGCCGTAAGGCTTTTAGAAAGAGAGTTCATCGAGGATTTGCTGCACGGGTTCCAGTCTTGGTTACGGAAGTAGAGTCCATGGCTGCCATGACATACGATGAGCTTCTCATCAAAGCCATCTCTCGATTGACGCAAATTTTGAAAGCCCAATATGTTCGTACACCTCACTCCACCTTTGTCTCCATCTCACGCTGCAATTTTAGAAGCTTCTCTGCTCCAGCCCCGATGAAGCAAATCACCAGAGCGGACTTCAATCATCGATAGTACGGGTGTTGTCTAAATGCAAGAGAGTTCTTTACGAGCATCTCCATGGATTAAGTGACGTTCCTGGAGCAAGAAAGCTTCAACATCATTTCTCAAGGTCACTATTTCACATTCATAAGCACCAACGCAGATTCTAAGTGACGGAGGATAGGGTTCTCAGCAATAAGTTGGACTTGTGGATGTCCCCTGTGGGTGACAAAGTCTCCGAATGGACACTGGATCAGAATCAGGTGCACAAACTGTACGCAGAAGTCATGAATGTTTTAGGGCGGTAAGTATCGAGTAATGAGATCGTTGTGTCGCCCCTAATGCTTGGCCCAGTTTGACGAAGAAACTGCGCACATAGAGGTGGAGACGGGCACTGCTCCGCTTAAACTGTACTGGGAAGGACAAGAATGTTCAAGCTCGGCTGACCTAGATCTGGCTCTCTGGACGCTTCAGCACCTTTCGTATTGTGAATCCCTACGGACTCTCTTCGGGGAACACCGACATAAACTAAAGGAAGACATCCCAGAGCTTCAGGCGCTGTTCGACAGTGCGATACCGGCAAAAGCGAAGTTTGCTTGTAAGAGCTGGATTTCACTTGTTTGTCGAGTCGGTCCCATGGACCCAGAAGTAGCCGGGACACTAGAACAAGTCTTCTCCAAATGGATTCGATACTGGGTCGTAGCGATGGCGGTTATGGATAAGATGGATGTTGCATGCAGTGGTTTGCACCGGCTAGAGCAATGGATGGTGTGCCAACTCATTCCCGGCTGTTACAGACTGCTGACAATCATATCGTACAGCGAGGACATGGTGAAATGGCAAAACTTCGGTTGCATGTTCTCAGCATGCATAGCTTTGTCCTCCATTCGAAACGGGCGCTCGGCCAATGCCCATTTCTAGTCCTTCCCACCTCCCCATCTACCGAACCAGATTCCTCGGTGCTTCCACTCGCTTCTCCGTACAACGTTTTGGCAGTTGCAATCGCAGCATCGAAAAATACCCAGGAATCGTGGAGTCATGTGCCTCTGAAGCTTCAAGATCACCCTCGCCCCGTTTGTTCTTTGGCTTTTTCGTCGGATGGCACCCGTTTGGCGTCGGCTTTCAGGGAAAAATGCATTTGGTTATGGAATGCGAACACTGGGGACAAAGTCTCAAAAGTGGGCCTGCCTTCAGACTGCGTTCATGTGACATTTTATCCTGGCGGTTCGCAAGTCACCTGCGGGTGCATGGATGGCTCGATCTACATTTACAATGTCGATGGTTCTGGGAGACCCAAGCACCTCTCCGGTCATTCAAGGCGCGTAAACTCTGTTACATTTACACCATGCGGAACTCGCTTTGCGTCAGCGTCAAATGACAAAACCGTTCGTATCTGGGATGCTGATGACGGCTCGCACATCCGCACTCTCCAAGGTCACACCAATATTGTAGCTTCAGTGGCGTATTCACCAGATGGAAAGCGCTTGGCATCCGCATCATCCGACGTCCGAGTCTGGGATGCCGTATCTGGTGAAGAAATCGGTCGAATTGCTGCAGGCAGCTTCGTATTCTGCGTGGTCTTCCATCCTGACAACGAAAGGGTGGTCCTGGCACTCGGCGATGGCACGGTCCGCGTCGCAAACATATTTGATCTGGATGACCACGTTTCCCTCGAAAACCACTCCCACGCAGTGTACTCGGTATCCTGCTCGGCAGACGGAAAATGGATCGCATCCGCTTCTGCAGATTCAAATATTACGTTGTGGTACGCCGATGGGACACTGTGGACTTACGCCCGTACCCTCGTTGGACATACCAGCAAAGTATACACAGTCATGTTTTCCCAACAGGACACCAGGGTGGCCTCAGGTTCGCGTGATCGTTCGATCCGCATTTGGGATGCAGAGACCATGGTAGAGCAACAGAGCAAGAGGGTTTCAATTGTGATCGCTTCAAATGCTCGGTTTACGTTGTCCGTGTGCGAGGACAATATCATGCGGTTAACAGATTCAAGCGATCTCAACGCATCACCCATTTTATTGCGCGGACATGCTGATTTGATTACGTGCGCGTGCTTCTCTCCCGGCGGTACCAATCTTATTTCGGCGTCGCGCGATCTATCTATTCGGATGTGGGATATCGCTTCTGGGCAATGCACAAAACGAGTAGGCTTGACTGAAGCTATCAAGAGCGTTCAATCCAGCCAGTGGAGTCTTCTCGCGCCTTATCACATATCCTACTCTAAGGATGGGTTGGCCCTTCGGGTTCGCGGACAGAGAGTCTCAGATGATTGTGAAGAACCCTTCATTATTGACTTGAGTACTGGTACTTGGACGGAGCTCCGACACTACGCCCAGATGGAGTTTTCCCACAGACGTATCAGCCAGATCCAGCATTTCCCATTGTGCTTGATCGAAACTGTCTATGCACTCCACTGGAAAGGGGGTTGACATACCTCTGTTGGCTTCCAGACGACTTCGAGCCTATCTCAGAGGTGATGCAAACTGGAAGGAGGGTTTCAGTGGGTGGAAGGGGTGGAGAGGTGGTTTACGCGGATTTTGATGGAGTGAGCACGCCAGAGGTATAACCGATGCATGGGCCCTCGAAACCTGCAAAGCCTCGCCTGGTCAGCGGGTGATCATTGTATATTCTAAAACATTATGTACTAGTATGTTAACCAAGATACAAGACGAATGCACAAAGTCCTTTTTGGAGGAAGTGTGTGCGTGCACTTCCTTCACAAACACAAAACCAGCTTTGCTACTGTTCAATGGCTTGTCTTGATCCGCCAGGGAATGCAGGGTACGAGCTCATGAAGTAGGGGGTTCTGCCGATTACTGAAGAGTACAACCGACCATAAATTGAGGTACTAAGTAAAAGGATTAACAGGAAAGCCCGGCTCCCCCGTTAACTTGATGAACGTAATGCTGAGGAAAAAGTTGGTGGTGTTGATCTAGAGATCGAGGCAAGCCATTACGTACATGTACACTATCAGCGATTGTCCCAATTACGATGTTTCGGTGGTTTGTGTCTTGTATTGCCGTTGCGATTGGCTGGAGTCCTCGGGGCTTGGTCAACACGGTCTCCACCTGGAACCCAGGGCTTCATGGTTCACACCACACAAATGGAATGACAATAAGGATACGGATCATGTAGGGGGAAGAGAACACACATCACCGCCGTCCATTCGAGTATGTTTAGGAGCTTTTAATGCGTAGTGTTCTGTGGTCGCAGGCTTCCCCACAACCAAGGTTAGAGGACATTATGGGTTGGATATCGCGAAAAGAAATCCACCTTGCTGAGAAGTTTTCCCATGGGTGTACGCGCCAGCGACCAGTGGAGGATTCAAGCGTTTGGAACAGAGGTGGGAGGCAAGAGGTGATCGTTGGCCAAGGATGCGGGCATTCAATTTAAATGAAGCGATTTCCGTGCTTCCGGCGGAAAGGGGTAATTCAAAACTCAGAGTCATATCAATCATTCAATCACGCAATATGAATGAGTTGGTGATGATCTAATTCCGCGCGCTTCAATTCAATTGGCAGTGTTCCGGCGGATTCTCATATGGTTATCTGACTCAACGCCCTGAGATTGGGGGCACTAGGATCTAAAGTCACATTGATGGAGCGCATAGTTCCGCAGACCCTGCCTTTGGCACTCTCAACCTGAAGTCTGCAGGCCAAAGCTAAATATCCAGTAGTCAGACACGCGCACGCGTCGCGAATCTTAAGGTGCTGTAAAGCTAAACTCGCCGGAAAAACGTGCACGGCCCACGTTTTCAAGAGGGAAACCCACTAGTAAACCCACAGGATCCCGCCGGATTTGATCGGAATGCAGGGATGGAGCCTGTCCTCCTGTGTTGGCGCGACGAGGTTATTGTTCCGATGACTTCTTTTCATGTTCGACGCGGGAAATTCGATTCGGCTTCACCATGTACCATGTGTGAGCTTCTCGTTCATGGAGTGCTATGCTGCCTCAAACTATGGGCATTAGTATCTCCTTGGTTGCCTGCCGTCGTTGTTTTACCCCTACTCGAGCGTCAGTCCGGGAAAGGGGCATGGTAACAGGGTTAATAGGGATGGAAAGTGGATGGGTCCATCTTCTGTGTGCCCTATTGTCCGCGAAGCATGGCATCTGATTTTATAAGCAAAATATCCAAGTGACTGGGTCCATCTCTGGTGTGCTCTTCTCGATCCCCCTCTGGAGGGCGAAATGATTTACACTGCATAGACCATTGCCATAATACCAGGACCATCGCTGGACCCTGATGTGTGTCATCTTATTCCTTGTTTCTGACCGCTCACAATCAGCCATGTTGTACAGCGAGAAACATGACGAAATGCGAAACGTTGCATGTTCTCAAGATGTACTCCGTTCAAAAGGGCGCTTGTCCAATGCCCTTTTCCCCTTCATCGTCCCTCGATCCGAGATCACGGATTTTTCCTTCTACTTCTTTGTACAATGCTATTATAATCACAGCCCTTAGGAATACCCAATCAGCTTCTTACCATGTGTCTCACTGCAAGGGTGGCTTGGTCTTTCGACTACGTAATGCCTTAGACGATGTTGAAGGACCTTTCACGATTGACCTGAATACTGGTCAGTACTTCGCCACGCCCAGATAAAGCTTTCACAAAGACGGATGAACTAGATCAACCTTGCCCATCGTGCTCGACCGAAACTATCTATGCACTACATTTAGAAAATGGGCTGGCATATATTGTTGGCTCCCAGATGACTTCGAGCTTATCTCAGAGGTCATCCAAACGGAAAGGAGAGTTACAGTAAATGGTAAGAGTGGGGAGGTAGTTTATGTGCATTTTGATGGCATGTCGAGAGTAGAAGGGTATAAACTCTCAAAATCTGTTAGCCCATAATTGAACACCAATGTAGGAGCAATGAAGGTATCGTTGTGTCAAAGGAGTGATGGGGTGATGTGATTTAGGCTAACTAAAACAACTAATATGCGCAAAAACCAGCTTTGCTACTGTCCGGCATTCTAGTCCGCCAGGAACATACAAAGCGTTAAAAATGAATAGAAAGAGTCCAGCTCTCCAATGTTCCCATACCGATATCGCGCTGAGGAAGGAGTGATTAACGGTGTTATGCAAAAAAAGCATCGAAACCACGATGACGAACCATAGATATACACTATGAACGATTAGAGTAATCTGGTACGTTGTTTTGATCAAAAACCGGACCAGAGGGTTTGTGTCCGGCATGACCACAATTGCGCTGAGTGCAAGTCTTCTCGTTGTGTTCTAAAGGCTTGCGCTTGGACTGGCCGCCACCTGGGACCCAAGCCTTCCGATGATCACAGCAAGCGAAGTGAACGATAAACATATGAATAAAGGTGAGGAGGAAGACGTTCAGCATACATCGACATCCTTTTCATTGACTTTCCGAGTATTCCGTCCCCTTGAGTCATGGCGTTTTGTGGTAGGAGACTTCTGCTCAATGGGTTAGCGGACACATACGTTTGGATACCAGTGTGAGAAGGAACACACCTTGAAAAGTTTGCTGAGAGGGTTGCCCATGGATGTACGTACCAACAACCAGTGAAGGCTTCAAAAAGTGTAGAGAACAGAGACGGGAAAGAGAACTGATCGTCGATCGGAGTGAGCTTGGCTCATTTTAACTAACAGGCAAGGGGCAGTGTCACAGCCTTTCCGGTTTGGCTTCCATTGAAAAACATTAAGCAAAATACGACGTTGGTTCGCAGTCGTTACCATACCTTACACGTAGCTTGTGCACCGCCCCCTTGATCAGTAATTTAGTTGCGCGCGCACAAGCACAGAGATTCTGCATCCGTGCGCGTTCTATTCAATGACCGGAATCTTCCAACTAGATGAGACCTCAGCCTCATTCTGAACCTCGCAGCATGGAGTAGCGTGTCGTTACCAGGGCAAAATGCCAGCGCACTGTAGGAGCCGAGAGGAAACTGCAATCGGATCCGCTTCCCACATGTTAAGTTGTGACACTGAATGACCCGGAACGGCACAACCGGAACGTACAAATGACTGCTGTTCAATAAAAGCATGTGTGTGTTAGCACAGCAATTGCACCAGGTGGAAATTGCGGAGCACCGCAACCTCATGTTCATTATGCGCGCTAAACGTCACGAAGAATCATAGACATAGTCCTACATAATAAATTAACTATCTGAGAGGAAAGCGGGGGGAGCCCAACACGGCAAAAGTGTCCGCCGTTATTCGTCAAGTTGACGACAGCCACAACCCCTGCGGGCAGGTATGCACGACACAGATCCGAAACGCACATACTCGTGTCCGTGCGCGCACACGTTCACGAAGGGCCACTGCAGTGAGTACACGTGTCGAGAAGCGGATGCCAAGAAGCTCCAATACAATTGAATGGAACGATATCAGCAGAAGCACTGATATCTTAATCGGAAACAGAGCAGATCCGCTTGTGGAGATGCCCTAGATACTGGAATGAGGATCTCCGAGGAGACAGACTGCGAAGTGTTGTGAAAGTGATACAGGATATGGGCGCTTAAAGACACGCATATTCCGGAGACTCAAACATTGAAAATCTCCGTCAAAGCAGCGGCGCGGAATGAGGGTATGCTCCATTGCGCGCGTATCATGTGTCAAGACTTAATCCTAAGTTTGCAACCATCAATTTTAGGCTCGATGGATGTCGTCTTCCAGACGGTGCCACTCGGACGCACAACTTCAAATGGGCGCAGCACGACAACGCCCATCCAACATGACAGTTGGAGGAGTGGGCCAGGACGGCAGTATCGCAAGGCCCTGAAACTGAGATAACTAAGGAAATTGCCTCTGAATGGTGTGGAGGCAGGAGGGCAACTCAGATTGTAGAATAAAGAGTTTTGGTGGGATGAAAAATTGGTACCCGGTTGCACGCGCGGACACGCCAAACTGAGTTTGCGCGATGCGCGATAGCGCTGGTACGCTGCTGTTCATATCGAATGAGTTGTGAACTCGCTAAAAATTGGGTGCTGCAACTGCGTAACAACGGGTCCGGGCGCCAAAGATTATTTAGTTTGTGTTTGGGCAGCTGTTCCATCAGCAACGAGGTCGATAAAAGATCAGCGCGTTAACTTAGGCGCCCGAGGGACAAGGAAAACACGAAGTTTGCACTACCGGAGAGTGCCGTTACGCCTCATGTCCCGAAGCGGACAACTACGTGGTAATACTCAGCCCGACTATCCATTCTACTGCAATCCTTTAAGCACTTAGACCAGAGCCACACACTGAGTAAGATGAGCAGCTTCACATAAATACGTGTTTTGGCAAGGAAATACGTTAAGGATATAAATAAAGGCTAGAGGTAAATGCGCATGTCCAAAAAAGCCAACTAGCGCCCTCTTAACTCGCGAGAGACTCTCGACTCCGGGCTGTAAGATCGGGGTTTTGTACGTCAACAAAAATGGATTTGCGGCGGTTGCCCGATAAAGCGACCTTACCGGATGAATGGAGAAGGAGGTCTATTCGGAGGCTGGTTCCGGTGTCGTGGGATTGGAGGATAAACGTGGGCCATTGGGAATACCACCTAAGGATGCACCGACGTCAGTATGGTCGGATTGGGGACAGTACGGAAGCACTGGCTCACCGGTGGTGCCCGCTCTCGGTACCCTCCACCTGGCTCATAGGGCTTTGGGAATATCAGGGAATATCCCTAGCAAATTCACGGTACCATAGACGTACATCATTCTGTGCCCCTCCTGGGGAAACATTGCGCCGTTCATTTGGCTGCGTAGGATGCGATGCAGTAGTTGAGATACACAAATTACTAGCCAGAACAACAGAGGACATACATGGGGTCTGCTTGCCCAATTTCCCATGAATTAGTGTTGCCCTTTCAACCTAATGGAGACTTGGAGGGGGGACTGTCGATGGCGAAGAGAAGCGTATTTAACAAAGCAGAAATGCCTCATGCAAATCAAACGTGTGGTAATTATGGCCAACGACGCTAAGCATAAGCGGGAATCTTGAGCTATTGCGGACTCTGGCATGTCGCAGGAATCAGGTTTCAGTTCCCGCACGGAATCAGCACTGGTAACCGAATCTCGCGTGCTGGGACGCAAGCAACAAAGGGGCTGCTGCCATGCACGCGTTTGGAGACGCTTACATAATCACTGGCCTCGATCCCTTCCTTGACATCAACAATACAATACTTGAGAATCTATTGCGTAGGGAGGACCCTGCATAGTGCCAACTTTCCGCCAAAATCTTTCCAGTAGCAGCACAAGCAAAATTTGCCCCAATACCCTGCCGATAATTCTTATTGCCATTGCCGGGAGAACGCCACTCACCTGGCCCCCAAACGTTCTACCAACCAAAATATTGCAGAGACGTGCAATGTGTGTGTGGGGAAAAAAGGTATTTTAAGCGATGAAGAAAGAATCCAAGAATGGAAGAAAGAGACAATCTGCTGAGGTGAACGCCACACCATTACGTCGACCTCATTATGGATTTCAGGGTGCAGTGGATCCAATCGAAAAACTCGTACTGGTAGTGAAAACTCGGCATTTCACCACTCGAGTTTCACGTCACATAGCGAGTCTGATTAGAAATGCACGTAGAGGCATGCTCCACAAAATACATTAAATTTTAGATCGACTTCCATTAGGATGAAAGCCCTACCGCATACTACTACTATCGCGATAGGCCAAAGTGATTCAGATAACTTGATAGATATGCAAAAACTGCTTCACTACCGTCCAGCGTCTGGGAGCGAGTTATTGGATTATGTCATTCTGTCGATTAGTGAATAATCCAAGTTTGTTTCGTGAAAGGACTTACAAAGTAAGCGAACAAGGATCCGGAGTCCAGACCATACTATATTTCAAATTTGCACCTCCACCCCGGCTACGTAATATGGCCGCGTGGCGTGTGACCGTTGTCCTTGGCGTAGATCCCCTTGTCGGCGGTCGGGACGGTCCCTGCCCCAGGCCCCACCACCACCTCCGACTCTAGCCCCATCTCGGATCCCATAGCCCCCACCTGGAACATAAAGCTTCAAAGGCCAAATTACAGAAGGCCAAAGGAATGAGGATAAAAGTACGAATATTGAGGAGAGACAGCATACATCAATATCCGTCATCTCATATCCAGTTGTTCCGCAGTCTACTCCAATCGTTAACCGACATCTCTCTATGTTGGGAAACGTGAGAGGCACTACCTGCCTTTTTGCTGAAATTGCTACCCATGGTTGTATGTACAAGCAACAAGGGGGAAGGGGGGCTTCGAGCGCGTAAAACAGCAGAACCCGGGCCATTTAAACTGATATACAGGGCAGGTTCCCAGCTTCCGGACCGCCCGCATGTAGGACACGTGTAGATGGGCGCCCATTGGCGAGTGCGCGCTTCCGGTGGGATCGAGTGGGGACAACACACAGAAGACTGAGTGTGGTGAATCTCAGCTTCTAATACTGGCTATTACATTCCCGCCATGTCATTTCTTTGAAGGGTTTAACATACCAGAATGACTACGGTGCTCAGTAGAGTTGTGCGTACGTCAGCACAGCTCCAATTATGCCGAGATGTCAGGGGTGTTATCTGCTATTCACTAGGTAAGGACACCAGAACACACAGCATAAGTACGTGACACCAGCTCCTAAACCTGCAGGCTTATGTCTGCATGCGCACACATTCATGAATTGCCGGGCCTGTGAACAGCCGTGTGAAGAAACGAGCGCGATTCTCACAAAAACTCCACACAATCGGACAGGCTGATATCAAGAGAGCCAGGGGAAGAGGTATCGGGCACAGAAATGCGCGCTATAGATTAGCAAGTTTCTAGGGTGAAAACTCAAGAGCACGTTGAAAGAAGGAGCGAGGTGTAGGGCGCTTGAAGGCACCAACATCTTGAAAATCTAACCTGGATCGTAATGGCGGCGCAGAGTATACGTGTTCTATTGTGCGCGCGCATCATGTAGTATTCATTCGAGTGGAAACCATCAATATGGATGATGTTCTGGTAGCAGTGTTCAGACGTACGCTTCAAGGAGTACTGCACGGCAACGTTCATCCGGCGCGGCAGGCCAAGTAGAACGAAGGGTCTTAGAACCGAGTCAACTGCCAGCCAAGCAAGTGGAGATTGGCATGCAGAGCCTGATGAGATGAAACACCGTGCCAAGTTGTACGCGGACGTGCTTAAGCCAAGTTTGTGCAGTGGGATGTAAAATGCGCTACCGCTTCCTGATGTCCTTTCTACCGAACGAGCGTTGAGAGCTTGATCGATGGGTATTGGGATTCCATAACGACGGGGGGATCAAAGCCGTAGATGGTCAGATTCACCTCGTATTTTGCAGAGATGTCAGCGGCGAGAAGGGTGTGTCAGCACTTCAATTTGCGCGACCCCAGTGAGAGGTGGATCGCTACCGGAGGATGCCGCTTCCGTCTGATGCTCCTGCAGATGCCAAGTTAGCTCCGATGCACCTAATTGATTTAGGACACAGACTTGGCCGATATTTTCATTTTGCGTCTGTCGTAGCCCTCTTCCACACTCAGCTCAGAGTCACTCGGCCCAACGACAAGGAAGTTCCTGATTTTGCTAAACAAAGAAATGCAGGAGTCGCATGGAGGACGAGCCAAAAAAAACAAACGTGGCGAATGTTAATCAACAACCAGTCTCGACTCGATCTCGAACGAACAAGATCAGTGCTACATGGTTTAAATGGGTGAATGCAGTAATATGTGTCCACTGGTGAGGGCTGCACGCACACGATCGATCGTATCTAAGGCTTATGTCGGCAATAAAAGAAGAAAATTGGTGGCAGTGCAAGACGGTCGCTGCTTGTTCGCGACGGGGGGAACTCGAACTCCGTTCAACGACTGACAGTAACTTAAGCTTGATCTGAGATTACCTTAGCTTCTGGATCGGGTTTGAGTGTTTGTCGGACGCGCTTCATCTCGGGTTAAAGTTGGCCTACCACGACTTGTCTGCTCTTTACCTTAGTTCGGCGCTACCTCGTCGGGATAGTTGAGGCACATTCTGGAGTTGTGAGGTTATCTGCGCTGGAGGATTGATCCCCTTCCCTCGTTTGTTGCTGTATGCAATAGGGGATGGCTGCGTCTTCTGTCGAAGAGCCGGGGCAGGGAGGAACAATGACCTTAGGTCTGTGGCGTCCCTCCCGGAAACCTCCTATTCACCAACTGACTCACATAAGGTCTTTTAACCAAACTCCGTAAAAGGACGTGTCCCTCCCTCCGCTCAAACACGATGTATGCCTATAACACATTGACACATCGAGAACACGAAGATCAACCATATACCACGTCGGATGCACATACACAAACCACCGCCAACTATCCCTCGTCACCTGAGTCTCTCCCTGTACCGATGCGGCCTGTGCATAACCCGCCAGAGGAAAGCCATTTGCGAGTTCCTTTCACCGATTTTTGTTACGCAGTGTTCGGAACTCCGCCTCCCAATTTACCGAGGGCGGTGGAACGCTTATCAAGGAGTAACACTTTCCTCTCTTACAGAAAGCAATATATAGAAACGTGCGATTTCAAAAAACGGAGTCCTGCGTACCCTCACGATCCAGATATTGAACTCATGCGTCTATTCAACTTGATATTGGTCGAGGTTCGGGACTGTGGATTCACCCAACGCTACGCTCACGACATCCACTATGCTAAGCGCGTTTTAGCCCAAACGAAAAAATACAGATCGGGATCATCTCCTACCCCTCAATGCCTTGGTGTGGATGCACAAGCGACAGACAACGGAGTACTGCAATTTGAATTTTTCAACGCGCTCGTCATCATCGAGGCGAATACGAGTCTTATCCCTGCTCCTGGTTCTGACGGAAGCAGATCACGGACGCCTTCGTCACATGCGTCACCGCAACCTTCTCTCGCAACCGCATTTTTCATCCATCCACCTCGTCATTGTTCCCCTGGAGGAATGGAAAGACGTCGTCGCAAACCAGTCCTTGATACTTCTGCGGGGTTGCCGTATCCTACACAGAAAAGGCAAAAGTCCAATCGCCTTGTTGATTCTATCACACCCGCACAAAATGCTCCCCCTTCTACCGTTCAGGATGATCCTCCATTCCTAAAACAATACGCGCTTTCCACGCTATCGTCGGTTGGAAATAGGCGTCACATACTAGGACTACACATTAACGGACTGGATTTTCAATTCTGGTATTTCGACCGTGCAGGATCTATCTGTTCATCTACCATCAACATTCTACACGAGTCAAAACAATTCATCACTTCAATTATTCAATTATCTCTCGCAGACAAGGAATGTCTTGGTTATGAGACTCTCTTTCGGGCTCCAATGGGTTCAAAACGTCGATCATGGTCAGACATTCGGGATCATGAGGTCGAAGCAGAAGGACACTGGTTCAAACTTATTAGTGTCATTCATTCTTCATCATCATTATACGGACGAGGGACTTCCGTGTACGAGGCCATCAAAATGTCAAACATATCATCGCACTCTTCGGGTGCATCATTCTCCGAATCCAATCACGTAGTCGTCAAATTGTCGTGGCAACCCGGCTCAAAACATCGGGAAGACGAGCTCTATCGCCTAGCTCATCAAAGAGGGGTCCAGGGCTTAGCGACTTTACATGCATCATGTACAGCCTTTGTTCTATCTGAAGGTCGCATCCGTCGCATGTTGTGTAAAGTTGGATCCTTTCAAGATCGTGAATTACGTATGCAAGTACTATCACCATTTTGTGTTCCTCTGTACACGATAAAGGCCTTAAACACGTTCAAAGAGGCGTTCATATCGCTAGTGCAAGGTTTGTGGTCACCCTCTCACCCTTCCCTCCCTTTTCCTTCCTTCCCCTGCACCTTTTATTGATTTCCGTGTGACTTGTCCCAGCCCATCACGAACTTTATGAAAAAGCCGGAATACTACATCGAGATATCAGCTACAACAACTTGATGGTTGACTCTCATGATCCCACCCGTGGTATCCTCATTGATCTTGATATGGCTGTTCGTGATAAAGATCCCGACACTGGAAAAGCTCTTGACGTCCCTGTGCTTCCTGGTGGCACTGTGCCATTCCGGTCCATCGACCTCTGCTACCTAGATCCCCTTCCTCGGGCCATGTATCGCCACGACTTAGAATCCTTTTTTTACGTGCTTTTTCTAATATGCTATCAACGCGCAAATATATCGGGGAAACAAGATTACTTCTCACATTGGAACTCTGGGACGTGGTCAGATGTACGCGCGCACAAAGAAGGGTGGTTGTCGATTGCACGCTCGAATCCAATTCCAGAGGCGGTGCCGCTTGCTACCACTTGGATACAACCCCTTCGACTGGCGTTCCGCGGTGGCTATTCAGCGAGGAACCGAACGGAAAGAAATCTGTTCCTCGGGGTGTTACCTGAGATCGCTTTCAATGACGAAACCCTAGATAATCATATTATATATGAAAAATTCCTGGCTATCTTAAATCCTCACTCGTAATGTAACTATTGAATCGCAAGTTTCACAGCAGCTACAAACTTGGCATACGTGATGTGATCATCGGCAGTCTCAACGTTCGTCAGTTCACTCCTGTATTCTATCGCCTCCTGACCATCAAAAATGAGCTGGCACAGCTGCACAAGACAAGCTGTGATGTTAGGGAGGGAGAGACCAGTCTTCTCACTTTCATTCAGCCGTGCAATTGCACCTCGATAACCTCGATCGAGGAAAGCCTGCTTCCAAGCCTTACGTTCTTCCACACTACCTTGCTCCCACCTGGACACCTTCACAAACTCGTCCAACCCAACAGCGTCCGCTCCCGTCAGAATAATCGACCAAAGTGCCCAAAAGAAAGACTCGAGATCGTGACGATAGAGACGAGGGAGTGGTTCGTTCTGGAGTAGATCAATCGCGAGGGAGGCTGCATTGAGCGTGAAGGCAGTTTGCTGATGATCTTCGGGAGGATGTGTAGCAGGTCCACTGGCAAAATCCCAGTCAATCAGAAATCCCGTGGGCTGGCCATCCACAATCGTCCACATGAGATTGTCGACGTGAATGTCCCGGTGAAGTATGCCTGCTACCTCATAGGCCTGATGATGTGCTGAAAATGACTTAGCCCCTTATCGATCAGTCAGAGCTGTCAAACTCACTTTCGATGATAGAAAGGAAGACTTTAAAAATCGACTTCGTGTCCTTGTTGATATCAATGGACGTGATAGGCTCGAACCTCTCAGCGATGACAATAGCTTCTAGATATCTCGCCGCACCGAACTGATAGTCCGGTAGATATTCCATGAGAGCACAGCGTGGCCCCTCCTCTGCGAGACTCGGGAATTTTTCCCAGCAGAGAATTTCCGGTATACCCTTGACTTCTTTTTCCCACAAAAGTGCGTAATGGTCAGCCTCCGAAGGTATGCGATCGCAGGGTTGGTAAGAAAGCTTTAAAACGCATTGGTGTTCCACTCCAGTGTCGGGGGTTTGTGTTGACGCACAGAATATGGTCGAGCACCTCCCAGTAAACCCACGCGAGACGTGGATGGGTCTAGACGCGTCGAATGAGATGTCCCAACCGCCAATGGTGATCTTTTGTGAATTGGCAGAGACTGGCCGCTTGATGTCAAAGCGGGGATTGAAGCCAAAGCTGAGAGGATCTGCATATGATGTGGCTAGTACTTGCTTACAGAATAGCTCGAAATCATCATCCCTCCGAAGGTCGATAACACTGGATCCTATCGGCCCGGAGCGGTCGTAGTACCAAGATTCAACGAAGGAATCAATGACGGCCATGCCATGGCTAAACTGCTTAAGGGGGTTGCTTGAGAGTTGTTCCAACCCATAGCTGGCAAGTTGTTGTCTCCCATCCAATTTCACACTGCCGTTTTTCTTCAACTCGATCTCGATCTGTTCTTCTGTCATTCCGGAATTTGACTTTGGAGGGTTCAGTGTAGCCCCAAAGTTCTTCGTTCTTTTCAGATCAATAACAAGGAGAATTTCTCTCCAATGCAAGTCATCGGCATTTGTTGGCTCGTTCTGCCCGGGCGGCTTGTAAATGATGACTCCATCAGGACTGATAAGATTGGTCAATCGCAGTGCAATCGGGATCAGTAAACACATACCCTCTCGCTGCCTCTTTGACGGCGCCCTGGAGTTTTCGTTTCTTATGCGACTTTACATATTCACACAACCCTGCATTATTGTGGAGGATCTTATGCATGAGATCAGCGAAGGGCTCGTAGAGATCTTCCTCCTTGCTGCCTAGATCCTCCGCCACCTCCAGGTATCTGTCTCTCAGCTGGCGTAATGGCTTTCGCAGCTTATTAAACTGCCTTGTGGGAAGGTTTTTCCAGATGGGAAACGTAGCATCTAGGAATCTCGCGTAGGGCACGCCTCTGGCATTCATCTTTCCTAGTTCGCATCTTAATTTACGATCTTCAACCCATCGGTGACCGTTCGAATTGGAAATACCTGCAACCGTTGACGACGATCGCATTTTTCCTAGGAAAATTGAAGCATTAAGGGTGGTGTACTCAGACTCAGAGAATCATTGCTTGCCGTGTCCACTGCCACTCAATTTGGCCGCTTTTGAGTGGGTTTGTGATGCCTCCACGAGTGTGACGTCCGACGCGGGATCTGGAGAAGAATGAGTTGTGGGCGTGCGCACACAGCCAGAATACGATGCGCGTACTGTTTCCCATCGTTCCATTCTCGCCCTCCCGGAACCTCACTGCCTCTTTCGACGTTGTTCGATGTCCACGTGTTGATCGGGTTTCTCGTGCGCTTCGCCGGAGTTGGGATGGCTGAGCGCGCGATCGCCTCCCAGTAGTTGGAACAGTCTTGGACTCACGGGTACCCAAACCGCGGCCCTCTCTCCCATGCGAGTCCGATGTGCAACTGGATCGAGCCATTCCTTTCATGCTGCTTTGTCAAGACTGGGAGTGGGAAGGGGGTGCGAACAGGACTGAGAAGTGGCATCGATAAATAGCCAACAAGGTGGCATGGCATCGTTGGGTGGCATGGCTTGATTGAATTCAATTCTAGTTCAGTGGCCAAAACGTTGCTCCTTGAACAAAGGGTACACCAAGCCAAACAGCACATGCGGAGATATCATAAAATGTGACATCCTGGCACACTAGAAGTGACATTGGTATAAAGCCGGCCAGGCACCATAAGCACCGCTGTTGTGAAGTGGGGTTGATCACAAAGGGTATACCAAAGTACACAGGGCCAAACAGCACGTGGGGTGATGTTATAACACTTTGGCGTGTTTACATAAGCCGCGACCAAGTCGTAGAGATGGTTTATCGCCGCACATTGTGGCAGGAATTGGTCAGTCTTCACGACAACAGGGACACCGGCCGATGGCGGTCGGAGAGCTGGCAAGATGGGAGGTACAATCGCAAGACTTTGTTCGTATTCCGCGTTGTACGCTCCGGCATTAGCCAACAGGTACGGATACGGAGTTTACTGTAAAATGAAAAATCGAACCCCCTTTGGAAACAAAGCCTCGCAAGCTCGGCCAATCACACACACGCGTACTGGTAGTTCGTCCAAATAGGACCCAGGTGCGTGACACGCTGCCAACTGTAACACCAACGAGTTCCATCATCCTGAGCATGACAGAGTCAATGGGACAAGTAGCCTAGCCAGTAGAATTTTCCATCAAAGAAACGTCCGCCGGTCAACCGAAAGGAAGCAATGTCGTACCTACAATGTGCGGTTGAGCGCTTCACCACCTTCGTCAAGCCTCTGCTGTGAAATTGTTCAAGAGGAACAATATCCAATTCCCAGATCACTCTGCTCAGGTATACATCTCTGGTCACTTCCCTTTCAAGGCACAGATCATTTCGCAACCATGGACCTATTTCGCCTGATTAATGAGGATATCCCATTATGTACTGAGTAGGCCCAACACTGGCACGTCCAGAGCGCGTCGGAAGCCAACAGGATTGTTGGAAAACCCCGCCCAAACCCCGCCCGTGCTGTTGGGGATTTTAGCATGTTGGCATTGGAGATTTGCATGGTCGTTGTTGGAAAATCGCACAGTCACTGGTCTCCTCAAGTAAAGTTAATGCATGTCGCTTGCCTCCCCCACTGAAACTTAGCCATTTATATCCCTGGTTGTCATGGTGGTTTTCACAACTCGATGAAATCCCCGGATCGGCCTCTCATTCTTGCCACTACTCGGCCTGAGTTCTTCCCTTTCTTCCCGCATCCACAAATCATCCTCAACTGAACCTTGCGCTTAAGGTAGGGCCACAATATGACCATCTGCAGACTCCTCTCGCGACAGTACGGTGTTTATGATGATCGAACGAAAAAGGGAACATGGCACGATAAATTATGCACGTCGCTTCGACTCTGTTCGACGCATTAGGGTATCGCATCTCGTCTCTAGCACTCCAGATCCAACTGTCATCTGCCGCCTCGGAGACCCAATCTGTCAGCGGGTAGGTAAGCAATCCTAATGTATCGATTGGTGTCGTGGAACGTCCAGTAGAAGAGGTGAATAGGGTCGGAAAAGGTCAGTATTGGCTGCGTTAATTTTGCGTAGTACCACGTTCCTAGGGCTTTTGACGAGTGTCACGGTGGTAGTAGATCCAACGGCTGCGTTAGACGTCCCAGATTGTGAAGATTGCGGACGTGGTCGATATCTCGGTAGTTCAAACTCGCCAGATCTTCGTAGGAACAGTGTGCTCAACTTCGACTGTTGCGGGAATCCCACCCAAAGAATCGCGGTGTCGTGTGACTCTGAAACTTCCGGGCCACTCATTATCCGTGGCCTATACTTCAGATGGCGTCTACTTGACATTTGGTTGTGGAATGCAGACACCGGAACCCGAGCCTTGACACTGGACCTTCCCTCTGGCTGCGTTTATATGGCGTTTGCTCCGGATGGTTTGCAACTTGCATGTGGGAGCATGGCTTGATCTGCATTTGCAATGTCGATGGTTCTGGGGAACCTCAACGCCTTTCCGGACGTTCCAAGCGCGTCAACTCCATTACACACGGGTCTCCCCTCGCGTCAGCATCTTCATTATCCGTATTTGGGATGCTGCTGAGGGCTCAACCATTCGTACTCTCGAGGGTCACACCGACATTGTGGTTTCTGTGGCGTGTTCACCAGATGGAGCGTCGTTGGCATCTGCGTCGCGGCATGCAAAGATAGCAAAGTCTGCATCCTAAACATATACGATAATGACAATCTTGCCCTTGATAATCACCTCGACGCAGTCTACTCCGTTTCTTGCTCGAGTGGATCGCTTCCGTTCCAGCGGATTCGGCAATTTCCTTGTGGTGTGCTGATGGGACAACATGGGCTCACGCTGGTACCCTTGCTAGCTATACTGGCAATACATAACTGGTGGACGCCGCCTGACGCGGCAGAACCCGCCACTCTTGGCCGATTGCACCTCATCTGTTCTGTATTTTTGGGCCCGATGGCACGCACTTCTCATACTTGAAAATGTGGAGTGCAGCATGACACAGTGAACGGGGCTCAAGGTGTGTACCATTGTGAAGAACACCAAAACACTTGACCAATCCTTCTCAGCAGACGAACTCTGTCTTTCCATGTCCCTTCCTTAGCAACTCCTCCCGGTTGGAACGTGAGGGCTCATGATTGAGTGGCGAGATATGGGATCCGGTGGAAAAAAAAAGAGTGCACAGATCAGGCGAAGAGATGGACTCGAAACTTTGGATGATGATCTTTCGATCCGGATAATAGTTCAAAATTTGTTGGAAACGAAGGAGGGATCGTCGCATGTCATCTTCGTCCAAATCAGAGCTACCACCAGAACGTGGAATGCGTAAAGTGTGGCAGATCAATTTCCGATAATGAATCGGAGAGGCCCTCTGTGACACCGAATTAGCATTTCATTTCCTATTGCCTCAGGTTGACGGGTCAACAGAAATCTTTCGGGTGCCACTATGACAATGCATCGGCTCTCTATGGGATAGACCAATGTCAAGATTGCTTGTGAGCATGACAATGAATGCTCTTCAGAGTGCATATTGGATTAACCAGCATTGTGTCACAACGCCGAACATCACACAGGGACCACCGCATGGAACATGCGTCCAATGTAGCACAAGAACGTTTCCACTCAGCGTATCGAGCTTCAGCAGTCATAGATGCAGGGGCCACGCATCGGCCGAGAATATGCACCCGAACAACAACCCTCGCGATCATTAGAGCAGCATGGTTAACCAGTTGTTGTTCAGCGCTGACTGAATAGCAATGGGAGCGAAACTCAGCCACAGATCCATTTATCCACAAAGAAAGGATTAAATGAGCGAACAGAAAGGTTTGCACTCAACAAGGGGCACGGCCAGGAAGAAAGATGGGAGGGATTGAAGAGTGAGGGTCATTGCAGGGTTGAGAGGTCTAAAGTTGAGAGAGATGGTGTCGGGAGAGAGCGGGGATCAAAAGACAGAAAGAAATCCGCACAGGAGCAGGGAGTTGCGTGGATTGGTTGGATGACAAATGCGGGAATTTGGAAATGGCGAGTGGGACGGAAGGAAAAAAAGGACCCTGGATAGGTGGCCTCGGGTTCACGAGATCGTTTAGTCCTCGTAGGGGATATAGAGGCAACAATTAGCCGATCCAAGTGACCCTAGTACATCTCCTGTTCGATTGCGTGGACATGCAGACTCAATAACGTGCGCGCACTTCTCCCCTGATGGCGTCAAACTTGTTTCAGCGCCACAGGATCAATCCGTTCTGATACAGGACATTACTTCGGGACAACGCAAAAAATGAGTGGGTTTGGCTGAAGCGGGTGTTTCATTCAGCCAGTCGAGCTTCTTGGCGCCTTACCACGTATCCCTATTCTCAAGGCGGCTTGGCCCGCGGGTAGAAAGTCTCAGACGATTCTGAAGAGCCCTTCACCATTGACCCGAGTACTAGCACATGGACCAAGCTCTCGGCGCCACGCTCTGACGAGACCTTCACGTAGACCTATAAGCCAGATCCAACCTCACCTGCTATCGTCTTGTGCCGCGCGGCCACCCCTGGGCGGTATGGAGGAATTACGCATTAATAATTTTATGGTACCCTATCATGAGAGACCCGTGGCTCTGTGCTGTGAGATTGGACGTTGTGAATCAACACAGTGAATATGCGGTGATGAGTAGCTGAGTCACCCACCGGATGGAAGGGATCGAAAGCAGGCTCCGAACTCGGCGTAGCGTTGGGGGATGAATATATGCGGTGGAATGTGCCTCCTATGAATGTCCAGTATTCGTGGGGTTGAGTGAGGTACGAAAGCATTGTCAGCGGGACACCTAACGAATCGCAGGAATCAAGTTTCCAGTTCGCGCAGCGCGACAGAACCAGCTGATATTGAGTCGCGCTTCCATGGCTTACGTAACCCCCCGATTAATTGATCCACTTCACGCTCCGTCATACGTATGCGCCTAATGGCACAGACACGGAGTTTCAAATGAACCTCACTCACTCACTCACGGACCTGATTCCTCAACCCCGGAACTCCACCCCACCCGATCCTACCTTCGATCAGAAGAAATAAGAGCAGCACCCCTTCATATGTATTACACCCATTGCCGCGCATGTTAAATTCTCCGGCTCATGGCGTTTGCACCCAAATGGGCTCAAGGAAGCAAAACTGCTGGTCCGATATCAGTAACCACACTAGTGCTGCTTTGCGATCTCTCGTTCCTGGCGTAGCGTCTCCAACATGCGATATTCACAACCAAGCGCTCATGCGGGAGCTTCTGGCAACTGCTTTGTCGGAATCACCGAGATAAGGGATTTCCCAGGGCACCAGAGGTACCCAATTTGAACCCGTTGCATCACGTTATTGTTGAGCAGGGCATTATCTACCATTGAATTCCTGCAGACTGCGTGATGAGTTTCTATTCCTCGATCTATTGCCATTGCGTGTGCAAGGCACCAATGAAACATGTATCTGCAATGTGTTCCATTGACTGGTTTAGGGAGCGTGGGTTTTTCTGTAGTCATTCTTAGGCGTCCTTGCCGCATAAAGTAAGGGTTCTCATTAAGTAGGGAAACGGTTGAGCCCAAATTGCCTCACCCGCTTGTAATTGGTATGTACCACATGTAAGGCTCGTGTGCCCAATCCCACGTGCCCGCCTTGTCCGTCCCTCGCAACTAACCCACCCGCTAGAGGATCCCTTCGATCTTGTCTTCCATGGCGGGTGTTGACTCTGACAGAATATCCATTGCGTCTAAACGTTCGATAGCAAGCGTTGCTTCGAAATTTTCAACCCTCTGGTCAAAGGTCCCACGCTCTTCCAGGAAAATACCATTACCGCTCGCCGTTATATGTTCCTACATCGAGACTACTCCCAATGCCCAGTTATCCCCCATCAAAGAATTGATCGTTTACAAAGAAGAGAAAGGTGTCCAGCACGAGTTCCTACTTTTGCGGCTGGCGAGACCTACTGGAGAAGATTTTTGGGTGCGTTTGGAGAGAAGACGGTCGGTGGGCACTTTCGGTAACCTGATATCGAGTGGATTGGAAGCAAACGACATGGTGAGCATCATTACTGGCCATTCTCTTGATTCTGATTCACTCAATCATCGGAACAGGCAAGTCTTTCTGGGAAAAGAGCCGCTCTGTTGGGTAGCACGAAGAGTGTCGAGAAGACGGGGATCATTTTTCGCGACCCGCCTTCGCTAACGGACTTGCTTCGTGTCCTTGAGGCACTTAGGGAGTCATCAAAATTCTATAAAGTCTGGCCGGTATGCACGTGCTATTCGCAAATATCCTCTTGCTGCACTTCTTATCATCCGGATTACTAGGAGAATTGCTACTTTTTTGCATCTGTAGTCGCAGAACACCTGTACGGTCTCGATAAAAGTGCCGAACTTACAGGAACTTTAAGGTGGCTTAATCTGGGAGCTGATGCCCGTCGAAGAATTCATCAAATAATTACTTCATATGATCATCCTCCCGTTCAGGATCACGGTGGCGAGTTGGGAAGCATATCACCGCCTGGGTCCCCAGCATTCGAATCTCCCATCGATGAGCTTGAAATTGAGGTAAGGCAAAATTTCGACGCCCACGAAAGACTGTTTCCTAATCAACAGGCTGTCAGAATATGAGCAGCGCTTCTAGCACGAGCCTAGTCAGGTCTCTTCGTCGGTCAGAATCTCAAATGCTCCTATCGCAGGACGCCTATTCCAGTGTAAGACAAATTTCTTTGCACAGATTTATGCCTCCGCCTGAGGACCGAGAATAGGTGGGTTTGTATGCACAGGATAGAGCTCCCCGTGAGACTTCCCGCGGACCACTTCGTCGTTCAGCATCTCTAATGCTCTTGCCGCGGGACACATTCTCCACGGTGAGATAACTTTTCTCGTACATATGCAATATCCCAACTTTTCGAGAACAGAGCTCCGAAATTGATTTGCACGCGCAGGATGCATATCATCCTCGTGAACGAACATTCTCGCTTTCGGAGGGCTCCACGATATCAAGCGGTCAGATCGATCAGGTCGACCAAGTTGTATATCCACGACATCTGAGGGAGGAAGACATCTTAGGAAGCATTCCTATTAGAGGGGACAAGGAGTACACCCTTGGTGCCTTTTGCACGGAGTTGCCCCGCAGCCAGGCGGCCGAAGGAGCGACCGTCAGTCGCTTGCTTCGATATGGGACGATGGGGCGGGCTGTGCATCATTTCCTACTGCTCGAAGTCACCAGGGAAGATAGATCAACGTTCTGGATCCGGTTAGACCGTCGTCCACGGACTAGTTTCTTCAAGATATTGTTTCGAGGATACCTCGCAGCAACTGATATGGTGAGTATTGACTTGTTCAACTTGATCTCGCATTGACCTTCCCCCGCAAGGTAAAAATGACAGTATTTCTTCGGAATATACTTGGCCCAAAGGTCCAGGAAGAGGCTGCCATCAGATTCAGATCGCCCATCCCCCTCAAACGTCTTGTGAAGACTCTCGACGTTGTCCGTGACGAGTCCATAGTGTACGATCTCTCAAGGGAGAATTGTTGGTTCTTTGCTTCAATCATTCAAGAAATTTCTGTCCAATTTCTGGGTGGGAGGTTTAGCGATACGGGAAGATTAAATAACCCCTCATGGGGTGGTGGCCGCCGCAGGGCAATCAAAGAGAGAGTTTACACAGTGCTTCCTACGCGGGTGCCACCCCTGGTGACGGAAGTGGAATCCATAGCTGCCATGACACACGATAATCTCCTCATTGAAGCCATTTCGCAATTGGTGCAGATTGTCAAAGCCCAAGATGTTCGTATACCTCGTTCTAACCTTTTCCTTGTCTCACGCTGCGATTCTAGAAACTCCTCCTTTGTTCCAGTCTTGATGAAGCAAGTCGGCGAACCGGACGCCAATCGTCTCTGATACAACTACTATCTGAATGCAAGATAGCTCTTTACGAGCATCTCCACAGATTAAGTGAAGTACCTGGGGCAAGGGGTTTCCGAAGGGGTTTCTCGAGGTCACTATTTCACCCTCATGGCTGACAATTCAAACTCTGATTAAGGAAGATAGGGATCTTGCTCTTAGGTTGAATTCATGGATATCCTCTGTGGGTGGCATTCTCAAGATATCTGAATCTATTCTGGATCAAAACCAGATGGACAAGCTGGATACAGAGGTTACAAATCTTTTTTCGGGAGCGGTAGGTATCGAGTGGCGGTATTGTTACGTTGCATTTAACGCTTGGACCAGTTTGATACAGAAATTGCCCATGGAGTGGCGGGAACGAGCGCCGCTCCGCTTCAACTGCAATGGAATGGGCAGCAATGTTCACCCTCGGCTGACCTGGACTTGGCTCTCTGGACGCTTCAGCATCTTTCATATTGCGAAACTTTGCCAGCTCTCTTCGGGGAGCACCGACATCGACTAAAGGAAGACATCCCGAGACTTGCAGCGTTGTTCGACAGTGCAGTACCGGCAAAGGCGAAGTTTGCTTGTAAAAGCTGGACTTTACTTGTCTGTCGAGTCACTCCTCCAGGTCCAAAAGTAGTAGGAGCACTAGAGCAAGTCATATCCAAGTGGCTCTTGTATTGGGTCGTGGCAATGGGGGTTATGAACGACATGGACGCTGCATGCGGTGGTCTGCACCGACTGGAGCAGTGGATGGTACGTCCTAGTTGCTCCTTGCCACAGAATGCTACCTAGATCCATCACGTCATACAGCGTGGATACATCGAAATGAGCAAGCTTCGGTTGCATGTTCTCAACATGTATCGCTTCGTCCTCCGTTCGAAGCGGGCGCTCAGCCAATGCCCATTTCTCGTCTTTTCCACCTCGCCATCCACCGATTCGGGTTCTTCGGCACTTCCTTCGACTTCCCTATACAATGCTGTCGTGATCACGGCGTCGGGGAATACCCAAGAATCGTGGAGTCGTGCACCTCTAAACCTTCAGGGACATCCGCACCCCGTTTGCTCCTTGGCGTATTCACCAGACGGCGCCTACCTGGTGTCGGCCTTCAGAGATAAATGCGTTTGGTTGTGGAATGCAGACACCGGAACCAAAGCCCTGGAAGTGGACTTACCCTCCGACTGCGATTATGTAACATTTTCTCCCGACGGTTTGCAAGTTGCGTGTGCATGTGAGAATGGCTCGATCTACATTTGCAATGCCGATGGTTCCGGGAAACCTAAACGCCTTTCCGGTCATTCCAAGCGCGTAAACTCCATTGCATACACTTTATACGGGTTTCGCCTCGCTTCAGCGTCAGGAGACTCAACCATTCGTATTTGGGATGCCACTGACGGCTCAAACATCCGTATTCTCGAAGGTCATACCGACATTGTGGTTTCTGTGACGTATTCACTGGATGGAGCATCCTTGGCATCTGCATCATATGACGGGACTGTCCTAGTCTGGGACGCCGCATCTGGAAAACAAATTCGTCAGTTTGATGTGGGCTGCCTGATGTTCTGTCTCGCCTTTCATCCTGACAACGAAAGGGTGATCGTGGCATGCAAAGATTGCAAAGTCCGCATCCTAATCATATACGATAATGACCATCTTACCCTTGAGCATCACCTCGACGCAGTCTACTCTGTATCTTGCTCGGCGGATGGCAATTGGATTGTTTCCGCTTCAGCGGATTCGACAATTTCCTTGTGGCATGCTGATGGGACAAGATGGGCTCACGCTGGTACCCTTGCTGGCCATATTGGCGAAGTAAACACAGTTACATTTTCTCCGAACGGCACCAGGGTGGCTTCAGGTTCACGAGAACGTTCAGTCCTCATATGGGATATGGAGGCAACAATAGAACAAGGGAGCAAAGGCGTTTCATTTGTGATCGCCTCAAATGATCGGTTTACAGTGACTGTGGACGAGGACAACATCCTCCAGTTAGCCGATTCAAGCGACCCTGATGCATCTCCCGTTCTATTGAACGGACATGCAGACTCAATAACATGCGCATGCTTCTCCCCTGATGGCACTCAACTTGTTTCAGCGTCGCGGGATGAATCCGTTCTGATATGGGACATTGCTTCAGGACAATGCATAATACAAGTGGGTTTGGCTGAAGTTGTCACGGGTGTTTCATTCAGCCAGTCGATCTTCTTTGTGCCTTACCACATATCCTATTCTCAAGATGGCTTGGCCCTTCGAGTGCGCGGATGGCAAGTCTCAGACGATTCTGAAGAGCCCTTCGCTATTGACCTGAGTACTGCCATGTGGACCGAGCTCTCGGCGCCACGCTCCGACGAGGCCTTCACGCAGACCTATCAGCCAGATCCAACCTTACCCATCGTGCTCAGAAATAACTGTCTGTGTACATCATTGGAAAATGGTCTAGCGTATCTTTGCTGGCTACCAGATGATTTCGAGCCTATTTCGGAGGTTATACAAACAGGAAGGAGGGTTTCGGTGGGTGGTAAGGGCGGAGAGGTGGTTTATGTGAATTTTGATGGGGTGGACGTGTCACAATTAGTGTGATAATTTTTGTACACAATCTTTCGAAACGAAGCTTTCTCGGCATGACTATTGAGAGTATATCATATATTAAGAACGCCGCATTTGAAGGATGGGTCCAAAACGAATGGCTCCCGCAGTCGGGAAGAGGGCGCAAAGAATTCCAACGGGAGGATGTGCGCTTTTACCATGCGGGAATCATGGCATCGTCTTGTGCCGCGCGGCTGCCCCCCTGGGCGGTATGGAGTTATTCATGTCCACTCTGCGAATGGACTTCCGCATGAATCAGTGCCTCGGGTCGGGTCGATAGAACCCAAACTTGAACTGATTCGTGAGAGGGGCTGCGAGACTCTAATACCAACCTTATTCGTGTCGATGGATTAAACAAGAGGCGCTACCCGTGACGGACTGTTTGAGCACGCATTAGGGGCGTTCACGGTACCACAGGTCGGCCGTAGGTCAGTCAAAAGACTCAGTCACAAGTCAGTCACAACACTCGCCATCTTTTGGCAAGTCAACCAAAAGAGCGACTTTTGTCTTGCGGCTCCGAGGCTGCAAGAGTGCCAAAAGCACAAAACTCCCTCTTCAAAACATTTTCCACAACTCGGCCCTAAGCTGATAACCCCGTGCTGAGTCATCCACATCCCATGTAATTCGTCCACAACTCAATTACCTCTGTGCTGCTGTCTCCCACTGTCAAGTCCTCCCAATCTCACCCATTGAGTGCATGCTTCTGAATAAACACCCACACCCAAACAGGTGAAACCGAGTGCCACACTATTGTTACATAATCATTCAAGTCATCATGACCTCGGACTTCACACGAAGTTGTTTTGCAAGTCTTTCTGCAGGCAACTGTGAATGCCCTCATAAGTGCTCAAAAGTGTACCAAAACTCGAGGTCAAAAGTCGCTGGGAAAGTCCCAGTTTTGGGGACTCTTGTGAGCTGCTTTTCTTGTACTTTTCGCTACTGTGAACACCCCTATTGTTGTCCTTCAAGTGCTTTGGAACATCGCGTGATCCACTTCAAACACACTGGCCGGATCCTCAACTCAACTCCACTCGATTACCATTGATAAGAGGAAGAGGAAGATAATAGATCCCCCTGTGGTTGCGAGCGATTTCAAGTCTCATTCTCTCATCATGGAGCTATGGGGCATTCGAGTTTCTATTCCGCTGTTGCCATCGCGCACATAGCATTGTGTTATGTAAAGAACCGCCCTTCCTAATCAAGTGAAGGTCCTCACTGAGTACCTGCCTTGAATTGGTATCGCTCCTGAAGCTCGTGTGTTTACAGACCCACTGCCCCCTGTCCGCCTGCGTCCCTTGCAACAAACCCACCCACTAGAGGCACCCTTCCATCTTGTCTTCCATGGCGGGTATCGACCGCGACAGAATATCTATCGTGTCTAGGCGTTCGGTCGCAAGCGCTGCTTCGAGGCTATCCACTCTTTGGTCAAAGATCCCTCTCTCTTCTAGAAAATTATCATCACCGCTCGCTGACATATGTTCCTACATCGAGACTACTCCCGATGCTCAGTCGTCTCCAATCAATGAACTGGTCGTTTACAAAGAAGAGAAGGGCGTTCAGCACGAGTTTTTACTTGTGCGATTGGCGAAACCTACTGGAGAAGAATTCTGGGTGCGCCTCGAGAGAAAACGGCCAGTGGGCGCCCTCGGTAACCTGATATCCAGCGCATTGAAAGCAAACGACATAGTACGCTGTGTTCTTGGTGTCTTGATTGCTGCTTATCGTGATCACTGGCTAGGTGAGTTTCTCCGGGAAAAAAGCCACTCTAATGGGTAGCACGAAAAGTGTCGAGAAGACGAGGATCATTTTTCGCACCGCGCCTTCGCTAAGGGACTTGTTCCGTGTCCTCGAGGCACTTAGGGAGTCATCAAAATTCTATAAACTGTGGCCAGTACGCGCAAGGCACTCGTAAATTCCCCTTACCGCATATCTCACCACTCGGTTGCTAGGAAAATTGTTACTTTTTTGCATCTGTAGTCGCCGAGCACCTGTACGGTCTCGATGAAAGTGCCGAACTTGTCGGGGCTTTGAGATGGCTTGATCTTGGAGCTGAGGCCCGTCGGAGAATTCACCAAATAATTGCTTCATATGACCATCATCCTGCCCAGGCCCACGGTGATGAGTCAGGAAGCGTATCACGGCCTGGGTCCCCGGCATTCCAATCCCTCATCGATGCGTTTGAAGCTGAGGTAAGACAGGATTTCGACGTCCACCGCGAGACTGTTTCCTAATCAACCTCAGAATATGAGCGTCTCGATTCTCGCTAAACTCCCTTATCCCGTTGCCACCCACCGCGATTCAACGGAGTCATGCCTTCCCGGCACCAGAACAGGCCTCATCAAGCACATCATGGCCTGGTGTCGAAACATTCAGGTTAGTGAGAAACGTGTCATGCTGCTGACTGCTGTTGCTGGTGCCGGGAAGACATCTATAGCAAGCTCAATTGCAGAGGAGTGTACAAAAGAAGGGATATTATTGTTGAGCTTTTTCTTCAGGGCAGGCGAGCAGTCACGGCCAGATCATCTGTTCAGTGGCATGGCTCGTTCTCTAGCAGCATGCGACCCCGTGTATCATAACTTCATCACATCCACTCTTCAGATCGATCCAACTCTCATAAATGCCCCATTCATGAGGCAATTCGAGAAACTGGTGGCTGAACCTCTGCGAATGAAAGTACCGTCTTCCGATCGCCCCATGGTAATTATCATTGATGCGTTGGACGAATGCGACAAACATGTGTCCCCACGTCTTGTCGACGTACTTTCGAAAGAAGTGCCGAAATTGCCTTCCAACATCAAATTTTTTGTCACCTCTAGGCCGTTCGACCTTGTCGATCGTCTTCTCTTCCCTGAATTCCCTATCGACCGCCTCGGCATTAGTCTTTCAGACGATGCTAACGTGCATGATTGTGCTATTTACATCCGTACGCAACTTCACGAACTGAAAAATGCACATCCTGGTTTGAAACACAATCTCAAAGAGGACGATGAATTGGTCCAAGCCATATTGGAACGAGCAGGTGGCTTGTTCATTTGGATCAGTACCGTGTTCCGCTACGTGAAGACCACTGGTACCTCTCCTCTGGAGATTCTGGGGGAACTGCTCAATGCTAGCTCGAACCGGCCGACGGCCTACGCCGAAGAAATTATGGACAACCTGTATTCGAACATTTTGGAGAAATGTCATTGGAAGGACGAGGACTTTGTGCATGACTATCAGATCACCATGGGGGCAATCCTAATCGCGCAACGGCCACTGTCTGTTGAGGCCTGGGATGCTATTCTGTCGCCCCTCCTGAAGTCATCCGTCAGAGATACATTAGCTGAACTCGCTCCCTTCGTCTCAGGAGTTGGGGATCTTCGAATGCCTGTTCACATCCTGCACCAGTCTTTCCCTGACTTCCTCATGTACCGATCGAGTTCACAATCGCCCGGACTTCCCCGGTTTACAGTGGATGCCATGAGGGAGAATGAGAGGGTAGCCCTGCGCCTCATGGAAATCCTGAACAATGATCTTTCCTTCATGAAAGGTTTAGGGCTGGCTAATATTTTCTCCAAACGGGCTCGCCTGCCAATCATTCCTCAAGAAACGTTGCCTGAACAATTCCGATATGCATGTAGGCATATTGCGTATCACCTCAATCAAATCCAGGAGCCGCCGGAGGGACTCAGGAAGTCCGTTCGCACATTCCTCAATCAGCGAGTAGTGCAATGGGTAGAAGTGTGTGTGAGAACGGAAGAGTACATCAGTATATCATCATTCCCTGAGTGGGCTAGGGTATGGATCTTCGTCGCGTTCATAGTTATTCTCACTCAGTCTCATATTCCTTCAGTTGAGGGCTGATCGGAGTTCAAGAAAAGCCATTCGCATCTTGGCTGGAGCGCTCGACAAGGTGTGGAACAATCTCCGGCTTCTTTTGAGATTCCATGAGGCATATGAGCTGGCAAATGATACCGTTGCACTCTGTCGTTGCCTTACATCTTTGGACCTAAAATCCTACGCCCCAATTCTAGCTCAATCGCTCTGGAGACTTTCTGTATCACTTAAGAATCTCGAAATGCATTCCGAGGCGCTCCCGGTGATCAAAGAAAGTGTCGAACTCTGGCGCGGTCTAGTTGCCTTTCGTCCGACATCATACGCCCTACCTTTGGCTGGATCACTCCAGACTCTAAACTCTTCACTTACGAACCTCGGACGGTATTCCGACGCCCTCGCAGTGATCGAGGAAAGTGTCAAACTCTGGCGTAAACTAGTTGCCGTTCGCCCGACAGCATCGCCGTCGGGTTTGGCTCAATCGCTCCACAATCTTAACTGGTTACTCCAGAAACTTGGACGCCATTCCGAGGCACTCCCAGCTATAGAAGAATGTGTCAAAATCTGGCGCGAGCTAGTTGCAGTTCACCCGACATCCTACACCCCATACTTGGCCAGATCGCTCCACAATCTTAACGAGACACTCAACGGTCTCGGACGGCATTCCGAGGCGCTCCCGGTGATCGAAGAAGCTGTCAAACTGTGGCGCAAGCTAGTTGCCTTTCATCGGACACCATACACCATTGGGGGTTTAGCTTCTTCGCTCCACAATCTCGGCTGGTTATTGGACAAGCTTGGTCAGCAATCTGAGGCCATGCCTTTCATTGAAGAATCCATTTCTCTTTACCGTTCAATTCCTGTTGTCTATCCAGCGTTATATGCCACAGCGTTATATGCCACAGCTTTGCACACTCTATCATACGTGTTGTTATCCGTCGGGCGTTACTCAGATGCACTTGCCGCTGGTGAAGAGTCATTATCCTACTATCGCCGGCTTCATTCTAAGTACCCGAGCGTCACCAATGAACATAATCTCCAAAAGTTATGTTCTTGTATTGCTGTTGCATTGGAGCGCCTTGGAAGACATGACGATGCAATGGCTGCACGGACTCTCATGGGGAATCTATGACGACGGGGCGACAACACCACACACAACTTTCCGAATATCGTACACATCATGAATGACGATGCATGTTTGCATTAACCTCACAAACACGAACACGAAGCCGTAGTACTAAGAAAACCAACATTCGCTTTTTGTTGACATGGCCTTATCTCCATTGGCACCCCAACTGCCCACGCTGTTCCCTAGTGCCAAAACATGAGGGCCAATCACCGCCGTGGGCCCATTATGCTGATTTACCTTACAGTTCCGCAGACCGAGAGGACGCCAATTAACCATTGCGTAAATTACGAGTAAACATATGCGGTTGGCTTTCATTCATAGTTGCCCTTTTTCCTATTCAGCAGATTGCTCGCTGCACATAATCCTAACTGGTGTCTTTAATGTGTCGACCCACTAAACATGCAATTTAAAGTATGCAATGCCCATCTTACTCAACGTGTGGCTCTGGCCCGTGTTTGGCAGCAAATGCTAAGCCAAATAGTGGTCAGGCCAGCGTCGTAAAAGTTATGTTGGCAGCTAGATCACGAGATATTCGAGTTGATATCCAGCAGTTTTGGTGATTGAACGTTAACATAGTTACTATCGCGTAGTAGTAGCATTGTGTGTCAGGGAATGACAAGGTGTAGTGGTTGAGGGTAACTAAGCAAGTGACGTATGCAAAAACCGGCTTTGCTACTTTCCGGCGTCTTGGTCCACCAGAGAGGGAAGAGCACAAACTGATCGAGTGTCCTTCTGCCAATCGGTGAACAGAAGAGACTCGTGAAGAAATACTCCAACTAAAAAAAAAATGAACAGAGTCCAGCCCTCTCATTTTGTTATACGAATCTTGGTCGATATAGTACTGGCGAAAGAGCGATTAGCGGCATTACACCAAAGCCATCAAGGTCATAACCACAAACCATAGATATGTGTTATAGGCGATTGCGGTAATTTGATACATTGTGTTGATCAGAACTCAGGAGGTTTGTGTCGCGCATGATTTCGCAGATGACCATTGTGCTGAACGTGAGTCTTCTCGATGTGGTTCAAACGCTCGCCCCTGAACTGGCCTCCACCTGGGACCCAAGCCTTTCGGTCATCACAGCAAAGGGGAAAGGAACGATAAGAGTATGAATGAAAGCGAGGAAGACGTTCAGCATACATCTTCCTTTTCATTTGCTTCATAAGTAGGCCTTCCCGTTAATTTATGGTGTTTTATGTTAAAAAGCTTCTACACAACCGTTAGCGGACATTTGTGGTAGGACAGAATGAGAACGAATGCACCTTGAAAAGTTTGCTAAGAGGGTTACCCATGAATGTACGCACCAACAACCAGTGAGGGCTTTACAAGGGTTTACAAGCAGAGACGGGGGAGAGATCGAACTAATCGTCAACCGGAGCGAGCTCGGCTCATTTAAACTTAAGATGCAGGGGCAGTGCCACAACTTTCCGGCTTCTGGAGAAGACCAAGCGAAGTCGTGACTAAGCCTACGTACACAAAGTGCACAGCCCGTGATTTATTTGCGCGCGCGCAGGTACGGAGATCTACATCCGTGCGCTATTCACTCAATACAATGCATGATCGGTCCGAGGCTCATTGCAGCTTTCGACTAGATGAGCCGCATTTCAGACTGAGTCTCGCAGCAAGGAGAATGGCTGCTATTGCAAAAGCCAGTGCACTTAGGAGCTCAGAGCGCTTCCCCAGGATTAGACATTTTGAGATGCAACACAGCCAAGTAGAAATGAATAATTTGAATAAAAGGTATAACTTACTATTAGCACAGCAACCGGCAACTGCAACCGAGTGGAAATTGCGGGGCACCGCATATTCCCACGATCTTTCTGCGCGATGGGCCGGCACCAACAACAAATTAGCTATCTGAGGAAAGCGGCAAGCCCAAACATGATGGAAGTGTTCGTCGTCAAGTGAAATCAGCCACACCCCGGTGCACGCTACAATTCCAACCGTGCATACTTGTGTCTGGTGCGCACACGTTTACAGAGTGGCGCCTACATGTGTGGAGAACAGAATCCCAAAAATACTACTACAATTGAACGGACGGATATTAGCAGAGCACTGATATACGTTGATCGGAACCAGGGCGGATCTGCCACGGAGATGTCTTGGATACTGAAATGGAGACCTCTAAGGACGAAACTCGTGAGTGTTGTGGGGGCAGCACAGCACATGAGCGCTTGAATCCCAAACTCGAACAGCGGCGCGGAGTGGGTGCCAGTGAAGATGTTCTATTGCGCGCGTATCCATTATCAATTTGGGCTGAATGGACAGCAGTGTTGCTTGGACGCACACTTTAAAAGGGAAACGTTGATCTAAGTACGCGGCAGTTGGAGAAGCCAGGTAGAAGGACGTTGCTGGAAAAAGATAACTAAGAGAATTGCCACTGAACGGCGGAGACAGGAGGCCAACTCGGATTGTGGAACAAAGGTGGTCATCAAGAAGCTACTCCTGGTGCGATGATAGACTGTGCCCAGCTACACGTGCAGACATGCTAAAGACCGAGTCATGCAGGTCGCGAGATGCGATGGTATGGTACGGTGATGTTTCCAATGTCTTCCCGACGAATAAGAAGCGAACTCGCTGAGCGATGCGAGCGGGTCCGGAATTAAAGCTTTATTCAGTTCATGCTCACATAGGATTCAGCAACTGAGGTCGATAAAAGGTCGGGGGATTGACTTGGGCGCCCAAAGACAACTCGACACCCGCAAAGCCTGTGAAAACACGCTCCGGCGGCTGCCGGAGCGTGTCACGGGCTACCAAAACTGGGGCGTAAGCATATATGTTGCATTCTTTCCCGAGTCTTTCCCAAATCCTCCTATTCTCCGGTTCAATGCCAGTGACGGTGAGCTCAACGAAGCAGGACATTCGTGCAAATACCCGATTTGGTATCATTACATATCGCGGTCTGTGATGTACCTCTGAGCTAAATCCTCTCATGTACATCGACAAGCATGCATGGCGATGCAATTCCCAGTTATTGGTGCACAGAGGTACTCAGCCAATTTGAATCTATTGTATTGCTTCGTTGTGAACGATTTCATGTGGAGCATTATAGGGCTGCGTGACGCATACTTATATTCGAGTCCGTTATTGCCGTTGCGCGCGCAAGGCCGCCAAAAGAAATATGCCTCTGCAACGTGTTCCATTCACCAGTTCGGAGATGCGGATTTTTCTGGGCCTTCGCCACAATCGTTCTTAAGCGTCTTTACCGCATAAAGTGAATGTTCTCGATAAGCAGAGAAACGGTCATGCCTAAATTATCAACCCGCCCTTAATTGGTATCGCACCTAAAGCTCGTGCGTCTACTTGCAGACCCAATCCCACGTGTCCTTCCCATTCTCGTCTCTTGCAATAAACCCGTTAGGCACCCCTCGATCTTGTCTTCCATGGCGAGCATTGACCCCGACAGAACATCTATTGTGTCGAAGCGTTCGATCGCAAGCATCGCTTCGATCCTTTGGCCAAAAATCCCTCGCTCTTCCAAGACAATATCAACACCACTGGCACACATATGTTCCTACATCGAGGCTACTCCCGACGCCCAGTCGTCTCCCATCAAAGAATTGATTGTCCACAAAGAGGAGGATGGTGTTCAGCACGAGTTCCTACTTTTGCGGCTGGCGAAACCTACCGGAGAAGAATTCTGGGTGCGTCTGGAGAGAAAAGCGCGAATAGGCACTCTCAGCAAATTGATCTCTAGTAAATCGGAGGCAAACGATATGGTGAGCGCCATTGTTGATCACTGCCTTGATTTCCACTTACCCCAATCCTGACCAGGCGACTCTTTCTGGGAAAAGGGACACTCTATTAGGGAGCACGAAGAGTGTTGAGAAGACTAGAATCATTTTTCGCGTCCCACCTTCGCTAACAGACTTGTTCCATGTCCTCGAGGCACTTAGGGAGTCATCGAAATTCTATCAAGTGTGGCCGGTATGCTCATGATGCATCTCCCCCTACCACATGTCTTATCACCTCGGTTACCAGCAAAACTGTTACTTTTTTGCTTCTGTAGTGACTGAGCACCTATCCGGTCTCGATAAAAGTGCCGAACTTACCGGAACTTTAAGATGGCTTGATCTTGGAGCTGATGCTCGTCGAAGAATTTATCAGATAATTGCTTCCCACGATCCACTTTCTGTCCAGGATCCCGATAGTGAGTCGGAAAGCATATCACCGCCCGAATCCCTGGCATCCAAATTTCCTATTGATGTGCCTGAGATCGAGGTAAGGTAGAATTTCGATGTCCACCGCAAAGACTATTTCCTTATCAACCCCTCAGAATATGAGCAGCGCTTCCGGGACGAGTCAGCCCAGATCTCTTTGTCACTCACAATCTCAAATGCCCGCCTATTCCACGGTAAGATGATTTGGTTTCCAGAGATATTGCCTTTGCATTGAGAACGGGTGAACGTGTATGCACAGGATCATCCTCTTAAACGAGTACCATCGTTTGCAGACAGTCTCTTGAGTTCGGACGACCAGAACGATCACTCCAGCCCGCCCTCTGTGCGACGTCCGACTGAAGACATCATAAAAAATATCCCTCACAGAGGAGATACGGAATATACCCTCGGCATCTTTTGCACGGAGACACACCACAGCGAGGAGGCTGAAACGGCGACCGTCACCCGCCTGCTTCGATATGGGACGAGAGGACGAGTCGCACACCGTTTCCTATTACTTGAAGTCATGAAGTTGGACATAAAGTTCTGGATCCGCTTGGACCGTCACCCACGTCTGAGGATATGGCCTTTCTTCTACATGGGAACAAACGATCTAGTAAGTTTTATACAACTAGGAATTGGAGTTGGATCTTGGATTGACAGTCTGTTGTCTCGTCCACAAGGTAAAGATAACTATGGCTCTTCATCATCTACTCGGCAAGGAAGTCCAGAGAGAGGCTGTCGTCGAATTTTGCTTGCCCATCCCCCTCAAACGCCTTGTGAGGGCTCTCGACGTTATTCGCGAGGAATCCATAGTATACGCACTCTCAAGGAAGAACTGTTGGTTCTTTGTGTCGATTATTCAAGAAATTTCTGTCGGATTTCTGGGTGGCCATTTTAGTGAAGAAGGACAACTAAACAACCCTTCGTTGGCTGATGGCCGCCGCAGGGCAATAAAAGAGAGAGTTTATAAAGTTCTTCCTACACTGGTGCCAACCCTAGTGACGGAGGTGGTATTCATGGCTGCCATGACACACGATAAACTCCTCATCGAGGCCATTTCCCAACTGGCGCAGATTGTGAAGGACCAAGACGTTCGGATACCTCGTTCTAACCTTCTCTCTGTCTCATGCTGCGATTTTAGAAACTCCTCCTTTGTTCCGGCCTCGATGAAGCAAGGCTACGATTCGGACGCCAATCATCCCTGATACGACTACTATCTGAATCCAAGATGGTTCTTTACGAGCATCTTCATAGACTAAGTAACATTCCTGGAGCGAGGGGATTCCGAAGTGGTTTCCCAAGGTCACTATTTCACTCAGCTACCAATGCAAACTCTGAATGGGGAACATAGGGATCTCGCCGATAGGTTGAATTCATGGGTGTCCTCTGTGGGTGGCGACGCCTGGGTATCTGAATGTATTCTGGATCAAAACCAAATGGACAAACTAGACGCAGAGGTTTCAAATCTTTTTTCGGGGGCGGTGGGTATCGAATAGCGAGATTGTGGTGTCGCCTCTAACAGTCGGACTAGTTTGAGAAAGAAGCCGTGCACGTGGAGGGGGATACGAGCGCCACTCCGCTTAAACTACAGTGGAAGGGACGCACATCTTCAAGCTCAACTGACCTGGATCTGGCTCTCTGGACTCTCCAGCACCTTTCGCATTGCAAATCTCTCCTAGAACTTTTTGGGAAACACTGGCACCGCCTGAAGAAAGACGTCCCGGACTTTTAGTCACGGTTCGACAGCGCAATACCACCGAAAGCGACGTTCGCTTGTAAGAGCTGGATCTCACTTGTTTGTCGAGTCGGTCTTGCAGATCCAGGAGTAGCCGGGGCGCTTGAACAAGTCGTATACCAATGGCTTTTGTACTGGATCGTAGCAATGGGGGTCATGGACGAAATTGACGCTGCATGCCGCGGTCTGCACCAGCTGGAGCAATGGATGGTACGTGCCACTTTCTCCCTTGTTATTGACTGCTTACAATGAGCGTGTCACACAGCGAGGGCATGACGAATTCGGAGGCCTTCGGTTGCATGTTCTCAAGATGTACCGCTTCGTTCTCCATTCGAAACAGGCGCTTGTCCAATGCCCATTCCTCGTCTTTTCCACCCCACCATCCACCGATCTAAACTCTTCATCATTTCCTTCTACTTCCTTGTACAACGCTGTTGTGATCACAGCGCTTGGGAATACCCAGGAATCGTGGAGCCGTGTACCTCTAAAACTTCAAGGTCATCCATACCCAGTTTGTTCCTTGGCCTACTCATCGGATGGTACCTACGTGGCATCGGCTTTCAGAGGCAAATGCATCTGGGTGTGGAATGCGAACACTGGAACCAAAGTCTCGAAGGTGGACTTGCTCTCCGACTGCGTTTATGTCGCCTTTTCTCCCGATGGTTCACAAGTTGGGTGTGCATGCGAGAATGGCGCGATCTATATTTGCAATGCCGATGGTTCTGGGAAACCCAAACGCCTTTCCGGTCATTCCAAACGCGTAAACTCTATTGCATTCACTCCATACGGGACTCGCCTCGCGTCGGCATCAGGAGACACGACCGTTCGCATTTGGGCTGCCGCAGAAGGGTCGAATATTCACACCCTCGAAGGTCACACTAACATTGTGAGTTCTGCGGTGTATTCACTGGATGGAACATGCTTGGTATCTGCATCGTATGACGAGACCGTCCGAGTCTGGGACGCTGCATCTGGGCAACAAGTCGGTCGGATAGATGTGTTCAACCAAATGTTTTGTCTTGTCTTCCATCCTGACAACAAAAGGGTGGTCCTGGCATGCAAAGACGGCATGGTACGCATCTTGAACATATTCGGGGAGGATCGCGGCCCACTTGTGCTTGAAAATCACTCGGACGCGGTATACTCCGTATCCTGTTCGGCGGACGGCAAATGGATTGCGTCCGCTTCGGCAGATTCGACCATTTCCCTCTGGCACGCTAACGGGACAGAGTGGGCTCATGCTCGTACCCTTGTTAGTCATACCGATAGAGTGTACTCGGTGGCGTTTTCTCCGAACAGCTCCAGGGTGGCTTCGGGTTCGCGTGATCGTTCGATCCTAATTTGGGATGCAGAAACGACCGTAGAACAAGAGAGCAAGGGCGTTCCATGTGGAATTGCATCGAATGCTCGTTTCAGGGTGTCTGTGAACGAGGACACGATCATTCAGTTAACAGACTCAAACGATCTCAGCGCATCCCCCATTCTATTACGCGGACATTCTGATTCAGTTACGTGCGCATGCTTCTCCCCTGACGGTGTCAAACTTGTTTCGGCATCGAGGGATTTGTCCATTCGAGTTTGGGACATCAATTCCGGACAATGCATACAACGAGTCGATTTGGCTAAAGTCGCCAAGGATACCCAATCCACCCAGTGGAGTTTTCAGGCTCCCTACCATGTGTCTTACTCCAATGACGGTTTGGTCCTTCGACTGCGCGGATGGAAAGTCTCAGACGATGCTGAAGAACCTTTTACGATTGATCTGAGCGCCGGCACATGGTCGGAACTCCCGACGCCACGCCCAGATGAAGCTTTCGCGGTGGCATATCAACCAGATCCAACCTTACCCATCAAGCTCGATCGAAACTGTTTATGCACTCCATTGGAAGATGGATTAGCATACCTGTATTGGCTTCCGGATGATTTCGAGCCTATCTCAGAGGTTATCCAGACAGGAAGGAGAGTTTCAGTGGGTGGGAAGGGCGGAGAAGTGGCTTATGTGAACTTCGATGAAGTGAGCGTGTCGAAGATAATGGAGAAAATCTGTACTTGATCTCTCGGAACCTGCGAAAGTCCTGTCCGAATAGCCCATGATTTGCTATTGAATAGTGACTATTGCATAGTAGGAGCAATGATGGATGTAATTGTGTCAAGGAGTGACGAGGCAAAGTAATCTACAACTGATGGTGCCTCCCTGCTGTCCTATGTATAAGAGACTGTACCCAATCGCACGCGCGGACGCACTAAACTAAGTCTCGGGGAATGCAAGATGTGCCTTTACAGTGTCTTCTCGGCGAATCAGAGTGAACAGGTTGAGTGCTGCAACAGTGTAACAATGGGTCCGAAGTCGGAGCGTTAATGACTTTATAGGTAACTAGTATATGCAAAGATTGCTTTACTACCGTCCAGCGTCTTGGCCTGCCAGGGAATAAAGACACGAGCCATTGGAGTAGGTCCTTCTAGCCATTGGTGAACACAAACAAAACAAGTTTCGTGAAGAAACGTACTTACAAAGTAAATGAATGAGCAGGGAGAGTCCAGCACCCCCATCTTGTCGTATGAGACTTGACCGAAACAGCAGTACTAGGGAAGAAGCGATCAGCGATCCTCACACTATAAATGTGTTGAAGCCACAATGATAAACCGCATACCTTATTTGAGTCATCACCTCGTATAATGTATCTGCGCACTATGCGCGGGACCTCTATTGTTTGCGGCGGGCGGATGATCCCTGACTCCGACCCCCATAGCCACCCCGATGGCCACCACCTCTGCCCTGATGGTGGCCTCCATCAGACAATTAAGGCCAAGAACGTAATTATGGCCGCGCCCGCGCCCGCGTGTGGGGCACGCATGGAACACGTGTAGATCAGTACGTACTGGTCAGTGATTCAATTGCGCGGAGACGCTTCCGTTCGATAGGAGTAGGGATCCTCAAACGCAAGAAGCTGAGTGCGACCAACCTCAGCTTCGAACAACCGATCATACGTTTAGATTCTCGCCAACATAGCAAACGGTTCATTCATTTACCAAAATGACTACTGTTCAATAGAGTTGTGTGTATCAACAGCAATCAGTTGAAATTGCACAGCACTAACCATGTTCATTATGCCGAAAATATCAGGCATAGTAAAATGATACTACGAAGAAATGCGGTGCACTCGAAACGATGGTCTATATGCTGCCTGCTGCTCATCAGGAGAGGACGCCACAATGCACAGCATGAATACGCGATACCAGTTCCTGAACTTGCAGAATCATCTGCGCGCGCACAACCTTCGCGAATGAGTAGACATGTGAAGAAACGAGTGCGATTCGCATAAGAAGCTCCAACACAATTGATATCAAGAGCATAGTGGTCTCCCACGTCGGGAGATGAGGTATATAGAAATGCGCGCCATAGATTGGTGAGTTTCTAGGGAGAAGGCTCAAAAGCATGTTGAAAATAGCATGCCGTATGCGCGCTTGAAAGTGCCCATATCTTGGAAACCCAACCGCCAAGAATCCTGATCGTAGCAGCGGAGTACGTAGAGTGGGCGCCAATGTACGTGTTCTATTGTGCGCGTGCATCGTGTATCAGGCAACCATCAATGTTCCTGGTAGCAGTGTTTGGACCGTGCACTTCAAAGGAGCATGGCACGGCAACGTTCATCTGTCGCGGCAGTTGGAGAGGCCAAGTAGAACGACGGTACCGGTACCGAGGTCATGAAACCAAGTCAACTGCCAACAAGCAGGTGGAGATCGGCAGGGAAAAACCTAGTGCGGTGGAAAAACCGTGTCAAGTTGCACGGAAGTGCTTAAACCGAGTTTGTGGGATGTAAGATGTATCTAAGGCGGCTACTATCCTTTCCGCCGAATGGGCGTTATATAAGAGCTAGACCGATACCGCAATTCCATAATAACGATAACGAGTCCGAGGTTAAAGCCGTAGAGCGTCAATTCAGCTCGATTTTTTTGCAGACACGTCAGCGGCGAGGGTGGTAAGGTGAATGTGTCAACACTTCGATTCGTGCGACCAAGTGAAAAGCGGAAAAGCGTGAGGGTGCTGTCGGAGGATGCCGCTCCCACCCTTGGCACATCAAAGTACCTGCCTTACGGCAAAGACTTGGCCAATATTACTTTATTCCGCTCTTGTTGCAGTCCCCTCGACATGTACATTCAGCTTAGAGTCAACACGATCACAAACGGATGTTTGAAATGAATATTGTAGAAAGACAGAAGAATGCTTGCGGACTAATCTGCCGAATGAAGAAAGAGATGGATAGGTTGAATCAGAAGGAGGATGAGATATGGATACAGAAAGTCAAGTGTGGATAGGGTGTCAGGTTCCCGAAGAGTTGGGGAGTCAAAGACGCGGATGCAAGGGAAAAGAGTACAGTACACAGCGCCCGCGATGTGGGGCTACGATGAGCAGCTGTCGAAGAGTCGATGCAAGTATTAAAAGGTAGTGGTATAGAAGATCGATATAGGAAGAGGAAGAGTATGTTTGGGGTGAGAAGCAGATGTGTTACAGAATTTATGCAGAGGTTTGATGGCGTACTCGCGCCCCAGAGGTCTGCCGGTCTGGACTGTGAGATTAGGTTTCTGAGTGAAGGCACTGAAGATAGGTGACTAAGCGACGCACAGGATAGGATGGGAAGCGGGCGCGGGCGCACTCCAAAACCTACGTCTCGACGTTGGGAATACCGTCTGAAGATGTCCGATGTCAGCGAAACCGAAAGAGGGAGTAGACGATGCCGAGCACTCACCATCGGTATGTTTTCGTGGCGCCCTCCACCTGGTTCAAAGGGCTTAGGGCGTATCAGAGTCTCGGGGTTTGTTCACATTGATTCACACTCATGGACGTACATCAATCTTCTCCCATTCTTGTTGAATTGGCTACATTGGATATGAGAGGCGGCTGGCCATACGAAACGGTCGGAATGACATACGTGGTGGTTGCCTGGCCAAATGCGTCTGAAAAAAGCCCGAATACCCATCAATAAATGTTGGCCTATCAATCCAGTGAAGGCTTGGAGGAACTGACGGTAGTGCAAAGAACTCGCGTTCAATGGGGAGTGGTAGCCTCATGTAAAGCGAGCACGCGGTTGGCAACAAGTACTGTGTTCGGTCGGCCGCAGAGCGTGGATTCCGATCTTGCTCTAAACCAGCTCCGCAACCCGTCGGCAACATGGAAGAGATCGGTTTCTCAATTCAGCGCGCATTGAACGCGGGTACAATTTGTTACTCTAAGTAAGTTACCACAAACGAAGGCTGCTCTTGGTTTTCGCACGAGCGTCTGCCCGGGGGCGTTGCTTACATAATCCACCGCTCCCACGTAATTTCTACTCGAGCCGCGTGTCCCTGTTCGCGAAGAGGGACTCTAGCATGCGCTAAACCCTTTGGGCGACGGCGTAGATGTCATGTGCAGTCGCTTGCAATTGATTCGCACATCAGTGGCGGAATTCGATTCATATTGTCACATCAGTTACATGGCTTCTAGTCGGCATGGTGTACTTTCATTTCCCCTTATCCCAAGACTGGTGCCACTGCTGTCATCCAATTCGTTGTGCTGTTGAAATCGACCTTGTTCCCAACTTGCAGACTAAGCTCTGTGTGGGCTGGTTTTGAATACTGATTTAAATTACCGGCATCACTGTGGCAGGGACACCATCATGCATCTTGCTTCTGCACCAGCTTTGTACGCCCCATAGCTGGCACCGTGACAAAAGGATTGCTTTCCATTTTTGGGCTTGTTGAGTGGAACTACGTTATAAGACTTTTGGACGTGCTTGGCGTGCAGGATGGATAGGAATTTCTGTCATGATTCCACTGCTACGTGTAGCATTCAACATCTGGTCCTTGTTGGGAGTGAGTTGTGTCATGATTGAGCGCGCCTCTCCCTCGTTTCTTTGCTGCACTACTGTTTCTCAGCCGATTCTTGCCGACCCCTGGGGCCCCGGGTCCGATGCATTTTGTGGCATAATTTTTACCTACGATAGCACTGTTTTCACGTCACCGCATGCATGCCAAGGAATGGGTGGCTAAGTCCTCAGGGATTAGGTGTTTGTGGGATCTATTATGACACTTTGATCTACCTCTGGCGTCTTTTCACTTCTTCATCACTCTGTGTTTCGCTCGCGCCAGCTGGAGCGGGAACAATATTTGTCTTGGGCATGATCACAGACATCAACCTTATTTAGGTTCCTTCGTCCTAGGGACTCACGGCGCGGGAAGAAGAAACTCTTGAACATCGGAGCCGAAGTGGGACTCTATCGCCTTCCCAACCCATCAGCCACTTGCCTTTCGGAATAGCGAATGCACCCTTGCTTCCTGCATTCATTCGTATCTAGACCACATGGGCCCAACGCGCTCCCAGACTCACTCCTAATATGGCTAGCGCATCTTTCTCTCGCCTCTCCTGGAAGGTCCGTCTTCCACCAAGATACTACCTAATTATTTGTTGCAGTATCACCTGTTTCCTAGCTCTGGGCTGCCCAGTGACACGGAGATCACGGAGACCCCCCCCCCCCAACATTTGCGCCATCTTCGTGCAGTTCTGGAAATTCGTAGCGAGTCATTTGGGGTCGTGGGAACTCGGATTTCAACCCGCATCAATCAATCAAGCACATCCCACTATGAGCGGTTCGTGCTAACTGATATGTCAACTACAGCCATTCCTGTGGCTGCGAGACATTATACCTAATTCTGGTAACAGTACACTTCGCCACTCGTTACAGTATTCATGCGCATCCTCCCATCGATTGCTGAACGCTTAGGGGTTTGGGATTTTCGGAATGCATCCAGTAGCGAGAAATGAGGAATGCTGATCCACTACCTCCCTACAGGGCGAATCAGAGGCGAGAACTGTGGCTCTCGCTGGTCAACACCTGGAACGACAATCGCCATCAGCATTCCGAGGAACCAAGCCCGGATAGTCGAGACAGGCATGTCTGGATCATCAGTGTTTGCGACGGCTGACCTCGCCTCCGGATATGGGGAGTCATCTTCGAGGCCATCCAGGGTGGATTCCCCGAGGTTAGGACCGTCCATGTCACCATAGGTGGCCGGAAGACTTTTTCTGTTGGCAATCACAGTTGGATGAACATTGTCCGAATTTACATGTGATTCGCCTCGAGGTCTTTTTTCGTGACCAAAAGAGCCAAACGACAGGTTCGCCTCGTGGACAGCCATTTCGATCGAAAGACAGGGAAACGAAACAGTCTCTCTTATGCCCCTAGATTGGTGCTATGAGCATCTTGTCAGGTCAACACCTGATTTACGAAACGGTTCGGTTCGAACCTGGTTCACAGAATTCCAACATCATAGAAAACCCGAACCGAACTGCGGTTCTGGTTCATCCTGGTTCCGTTCACGGTTCGAACCGGTTCACCGTGAACTTCGGGACCCCTACCCGTGAATGCGCTTGTCCAAAAAAGCTAACCAGCGTCCTCTTAACTCGCGGGGGACCCTCGACTCTGGGCTGTAAGACCGGGGTTTGGTATGTCAACAAAATGGATTTACGGTGGTGCCCGGCAAAGCGACCTACCAGATGGATGGAGAAGGACGTCTATTCGGAGGCTGGCCCGGGAGTCGTGGCATTGGAGGATAAACGTGAGCCGTCGGGAATACTACTTAATGACGCACCGACGTCATTATAGTCGGATTGGGGACAATACCAAAGCACTGGCTCACCAGTGGTGCCCTCTCTCGGTACCCTCATAGGGATTTGGGAATATCCCTACCAAATCCACGGTATCATGGACGCACATCATTCTGTACCCCTCCCAGGGAAGCGTCACGCCGTTCATTTGGCTGTGTAGGACGTGATGCAGTAGTTGAGATACACAAAATGGCCAGAACAACAGAGGACATACGTGGGGTCTGCTTGTCCGATTTCCCCTGAATGAGTGTTGTCCTTTCAATGCAGTGGAGACTCGGAGGGAACTGTCGATGGCGAAAAGAAGCGTACTTAACAAAGAGGAGACGCCTCAAACGTGTGGTAATTATGGCCAACAACGCTAAGGTTTATCAGCAGGAATGGCCCCCTGAGTCATTGCGGGCTCTGGCATGTCGCAGGGATCAGGTTTCGGTTCCCGCGTGCTAGGAATGGAGACGCTTACATAATTCCTGTCCTCGGTCTCTTCTTCGACATCAACAATACAATACTCAAGGACCCTCACTCTGCTAGGCAGGACTCCAGCCTCTATGACTTCGCCACTCTGCTTAGTACGTGAATTGAGGGATAATTGGTTTTAAGCGATGAAAAAAGAACCCAAGAATGGAAGAAAGAGAGAATCTGTTGGGATGAGCGCCACTCCATCACGTCGGACCTTGTTATGGTTTTCAAGGTGGAGTGGAGGGATCCAGTCGAAAGCCTCGTGATCATTGGTGGTGAAAACTCTCGGCATTTTACAACTCGGGTTTTGACGTCACAAATTCCCCGCTTGTACTGCATGGTAGGATGGTATAAATACTTTTTTTTGCTCTTGTACTACTAATGTGCTGACTAGGTTTCGGAGTCCCGCACTTCCTCGTCAATACCAATTCTGTATGTATCTCCGGCTGCTCACAGCCATATGTACGTCACTTTGGTGAATCTGATTAGAAATGCACGTAGAAGCATGCTCCACAAAATACATTAAATTTTAGATCGGCTTCCATTAGGATGCAAACCCTACCGCATACTACAACAGGCAACTATCAGGATAGGCCAAAATGGTTCAGATAACTTGATAAATATGCAAAGACTGCATCACTACTGTGCAATTGACATCTTGGCCTGCCAGAAAATAGAGGGCGCGAGTGATTAGATGATGTCACTCTGTCGATTGGTAAATAACATCCAAGTTTGTTTCGTGAAGGACTTACAAAGTAAATGAACAAGGATCCGGAGTCCAGACCATATGTATGCACTATATCTGCACCTCCGCCCCGGCTACGTAATATGGCCGCGACATAGTGTGTAACCGTTGTCCTTGGCGTAGATCCCCTTGTCGGCGGTCGCGACGGTCCCTGCCCCAGGCCCCACCACCACCACCACCGCCACCTGGAACATAAAGCTTCGAAGTCCAAATTACAGAAGGCCAAAGGAATGAGGATAAAAGCACGAATATCGGGGAGAGACAGCATACATCAATATCCGTCATCTCATATCCAGGTTGATCCGCAGTCTACTCCAATCGTTAGCGGACATCTCTATGTTGGGTGACGTGAGAGGCACTACCTGCCTTTTTGCTGAAAATGCTACCCATGGTTGTATGTGCCAGCAACAAGGGGGAAGGGGGCTTCGAGCGCTTAAAACAGCAGAGCCCGGGCCATTTAAACTGACGTACAGGGCAGATTTCCAGCTTCCGGATCGCACCCGCATGCCCGGATGTAGGACACGTGTAGATGGGCGCCAATTGGTGAGTGCGCGCTTCCGGTGGAATCGAGTGGGGACAACACACAGGAGACTGAGTGTGGTGAATCTCAGCTTCTAATACTGGCTATGTAGATTCCCACCAATTCATTTCTTTGAAGGGTTTACATACCAGAATGACTACGGTGCTCAGTAGAGTTGTGCGTACGTCGGCACAGAAACTGCACCCGATAGAAATCACACACATCCAATCATTTTCATTATGCCGAAATGCCAGGGGCGCTATCTGCTATTCACCAGGTAAGGACAGCAGAACACACAGCATGAGTACGTGACACCAGCTGAGCGCGATTCTCACAAAAGCTCCAGCACAATCAGACAGGCTGATTTCAAGAGGGCAGCGGTGTCCCACAGTCAGCGGAAGAGGTAGCAGGTCACAGAAATGCGCGCTATAGATCAGCGAGTTTCTAGGGTGAAAACTCAAGAGCGCGTTGAAAGAAGTAACGAGGTGTAGGGCGCTTGAAGGCACCAACATCTCGAAATCTAATTTGGATCGTAACAGTGGCGCAGAGTGGATGTCAGTATACGTGCTCTATTGTGCGCGCGCATCATGTAGTATTAATTCGAGTGGCAACCATCAATCTGGCTCCATGGACGATGTCCTGGTAGCAGTGTTCAGACGTGCGCTTCAAGGAGTACTGCACAGCAACGTTCATCCGGCGCGGCAGGCCAAGGGTCTTGGAACCGAGCCAACTGCCAGCCAAGCAAGTGGAGATTGGCATGCAGAGCCTGGTGAGATGAAACACCGTGCCAAGTTGTACGCGGACGTGCTTAAGCAGTGGGATGTAAAATGCGCTACCGCCTTTCTACCGAACGAGCGTTGGGAGCTTGATCGATGGGCATTGCAGTCCCATAACGACGGGGGGGAATCAAAGCCGTAGATGGTCAGATTCAGTTCGTATTTTGCAGAGATGTCAGCGGCGAGAAGGGTGTGTCAGCACTCCAATTTGCGCGACCCAGCGAGAGGCGGATCACTGCCGGAGGATGCCGTTTCCGTCTGATCCGGTCAGCAGATCACTGTGGGAAATGTTTCTCGGTAAATGACCAGAATTACACTTGTAATTGACCATTTACCATCATTTCGATGGTTTTTGAAGTCTGGTATTTTACCAAATCAAAATTGCGAGTCAAGGGACCGACTTTTCACGGCAAGTATTTTACTACCTGTACCATGGTAATTTGTGCGGGTGCATAAGATCATCATATTTTCATCACTTTGTCACAATAAACTGAGTCTCGAGATGCATTATATCGGCATGCACTTATCAGGGCACACAAGGAAGGTAAGATTACCTGGAAGCACGACTGGGGAGTCGGAGCGCGGGGCGCTAATACGTCGCCCTCGCTACCATGGACAGTGCGTGCCTCAATCCCGCCCTTGGAGGCCGTTTTCACAATACCTCACAAAGGCAAGCCAGTATTGAATGCAATCTTATGTGGCAATATCTCATCGCCATCTTTACTTGTCGCTCAAGCCAAAGGTCGAACTGATCGGAAATTCCCGGACTCACTGAACTTCCTCCTCTCTCTCACCGTGCACTCACCAGACGCGTTGGATCCGTGCCTGGCTGCTGCAACACGTTTAATTAGGCCTCGTTTTGCTGTGGTTCTGTTTTTCGCGTCTATTACACGCTTCAACACTTGTCATCACCTGTCCAGGTTGAGCATTGCAAGCGCAAGATTGTGCGATCGGCACCTCCGATCTCTTTGTTCTGAGTCCAGCGCTACCAATGCATGCACTATTTTGGGGCTTCTTGATCACCCCCTTGTCTACTTGATAAAGAAGTCGACTTCACGATTATTTGTGATGGACTTCAACTGTTCCCTCCTCTTCCTGTGTGCCCGTCTTCATGCGCGTTTTGTCTCTTATGCTCTCCAGCCACTGTGCCGCCTCAACCTCACATCCATGAAGAGAATCGAGAGCTCAAGCATCTGCTCAGCAGGGTGTTGTTCGGCCCCCCTCTGGACTCGGCCCTGACCAGGGCCCATGCATAGTTACCCGCAAAGGTTGGGGTTCTCACATGGAACTGCTTATTCCTTCTCGAAAGCATCTGATCTGGGCTGCACTCACCATTAATCACAGAGAAGAAAAATTTGTCACCAGAGTCAGGCGACATTGAGGACACTACAGATCCGCCGGGTGCTCTTACCGAAGATGGGCCTGGCGAGAATTATCCTGAACACTGGGTCAAGAGCCTTCCCCCACACCAAGTATCTGGCCAAGATCCCACCAGGTTCCCATTTCCTTGCCTCCATCGCCTTCCTGACTCCCTTTCATACCAGGAAACAATCGAAATGCACAAAAGCAGCCAGAATTTGAGAGCTGAACGCGCGAGTCCAACCTGCTGATGTGCTCGGACCATCTCGGAAGACATGTGGGAGTTGGAATACTCTGCCGCTCGTAGGTTTGCGTCTCTGTCGTTTTACTCTCAATTTCTTCTGCATTCTTACCAGGATACGCGGTCCGTGCTGTCTTTCTTCATCAGGATTGAACCATATCAAATTGACGCTCATATTCAACCCCCACTCGCCTCTTGCTTACTGCTCAAATCAAGCTCGATTTCTCATTCACGATCACTGCTGTTTCTCGTAATGTAACCTGGTAGAAGCAATGTCTTTTTACTGTATATTACCATACTAATGGCCATAAATAACCATGGATTGTATCATTGACAATCATCGTAAATTACAAGACCGGTGAGGTAAAATACCAAATACGACCATTGTAAAGTGACCGTTCACCATCATTGAGATGGTAGAAAACAGTGAAAAAGTAGGTCTTTTACCCTCGTTAGTATGGTAATGGGGACTCGGTAAAGGACCATAGTCCTAATGGTAAAGTACTATTTGAATCATCGTAAAAGTGAAGGTATTTTACCATCTCTAATCAGTTCGGTTCCGTGAGCGGTCCATGAGTTAGTGGACACGGTCCGTATGGACCTGCAATGCGTATGATTGTGCGCCAGCGATGTGAGCCGTACGTCAATTAAATACATTAATAGTAAATGCAGGAGAGGGTAGCAAGTGAAAAAATGATGTAACGCAACGGAGGCGATGGGGAAGGAGGTGGGAAGCGCGGAGATTCAGTTAAGAACTATGAAAGTAAGAGTAAGCGCGCGTTTAGTGGATAGCGAGAGCAGGGATAACCGTGTGCAGGCCTGAGGAGCGGGGCCAGCACACACGGTTAGAAGCCTCATCGCACTACTGTTAACTTACCAGTTAGACGTTGTAGTACGATTGCGCAGGCAGGTGGGGAGTGGATAAGGTGCGCTATTTATCTCGCTCCCGGATGCAACTTGTCTCTTCCCGCAGCTGGTCTGAGACCAAGTTTGGGCCCGGAGGAGGGTTTCGTCCGTCTTGTTCCATCCGCACTGCGACAGTGCAGAACAAGACGGCCTCCTCTGAGGTGCGCGCGGATCCACCTGATTAGTCACGTGAAATGGGATTAAACTGAGACTAATCAGTTCGGTTCCGTGAGCGGTCCATGAGTTAGTGGACACGGTCCGTATGGACCTGTGTTGTAAACGGTGTTCCGGATAAGGCAACCCGGTTTCCAGCGGCTCACTCGTAGCACAGATGTAAGATAGAAGCGGGAATATAACTAGTGATTTGGGGATGATGTCCGTGCGTATATATATACAAAGGAATGAATAAAGAGGAAAATCTACGTAAGGCAACTCCTGTGCAGGCTGCGCGCTTAGTAAAATCCTCCACATTATCCTCCACATGCCCCCGGATATCTCCGGTGACTCGCATTTCCAACAACCTGCAATGCGTATGATTGTGCGCCAGCGATGCGAGCCGTAACTTGTACATGTATAATGGCTGGTGGAGGGGTGGTTGGTGGTGAGTACTTAGACTCAATGATCTGCACGCTGGCCGTCGAATGCTGATCGTCCCCCCAATGTGCCTTGGATCAGTATCGGGTTTTGGCGCAGGTAGATCAGGAAAGCTTCTGAAGACCACCTTCCAATAGCGCGTATCCGCTCCAAAGGAGTACCTGCAAGTGCTAACGCCGTTGCACCACCCGAGCGCAAGGAATGGCCTGCAACATCTCCCGTCGTGATGACTTCTTGCAGTCTGCCCAAGAACCAGGACCGGGTGGGGATCTTTCCTGAGTCTCGCAGCCATAAATCGGGGAGGTGTCGGAATCGATAGTCTCGAGCGTTCAGGTATTGTTCGAAGATTCCCAGGGGGTCTAAGTCACTGTCTCGTCTCTCTAGCACGACCGTTGAGCCTTCAAACAGCCCGTCCACTTTGTGCATTGGTAAGATGAATGCGTAGTGAGGTCGCGGTTCGGAGTGGAATCTAACTGAAGATCTTCTTATTGATTTTCGGTAGTTGCGCAGTGCCCCCGAGTCGCTGTCCACTAGTTCGCCAAGCCGCATGAGGCAGTGCCATCCTGTGAAGGTGATTGCAAGGAAGAGCATATCGTCATGTGAAGGCTGAGGTGGGATTGATTGTAGAACGGTCTGCAAGTCACTTTCGGTTAGAGCCCTCTTCCTGACAGCTGGAGTGCGGAACATTTTGGAGCATCCAGTTAGAGTTCTCGAGACGAGTTTTGAGTTGCGAGTGTCGCGGACCTCCAGCCAGTATGCTTCAAGTTCCGAACATATACCTGAAAGATACGAAGAGACCGAGTTTGGTTGGATGTGGGCACACATGTAGACGATGTAAAAGGTGAGTGTGTCGATCGTTGGTCGTAATGGGAAATGGTGGAGGTCGCAGAAATTGATGTAAGACATTAGCACTGACATATAGGTACGAGCAGTGCTAGGCTCAAGAGTGGCTCCCAGGGCAGCTGCTCGAGCCTCCCAGAGGCGCTCCAGGGACCAAGGCTCACGCTGTGGTTGACGGGTCTTGGAGCGCCTCTGATCATTCATTTCTTCAATGCCCCCAGCTTCATAAGCGCCGGGGGCATGAAGTGTTTGATGACCAGCTTCGGGTACATACCTTTCACCAATTCAAAATTGCGTTGCGACAGTGCATCTGCCACAACATTCCGCTTCCCTTCCACTAGAAAGACGCGGAGGTCGATCTTGTGCTCTATCCGTGTCGAGACAGCCGTCATGAGGATTGGGTTGTACAGGTCTGTCACGCGGAGCGAGTTGAAAATGTTCAGTGAGTTTGTCGAATCGGTGTAGATTGCGAGTCGCTTCGGTGGGGGGGATATTGTTGTAGACCATTGGAGTGCCGCGAGTATTGTGATAGCTTCATTGTAGAATATGTTGAATGCCTCGTCAGGTTGGGTTACCGGGTCGCCAATATACGCAGCTTTGTATTTCGGTGCCCAGAATGCGAGCCCAATCTTGCAGGCATCTCCCCATACAACCACATCAGCATCGCTTGGCCCCCATGATTCGGCGTTCAGCATGCGAACTCCTTCCATCCACTCTACTGAATCAGCAAACCATAGTAGGTCATTTCGTACCTGCTTGTTTATATAGATGCTTTGATTCATCATCCGCTTCCCTGCGATTTTCTCGTATGACGAGTTCAGCGCCGGCTTGAGAAGTGGGAATACGTTGAGGACCCAGTTCGCATACCCAAGGGTTTTCGTATTGCAGCGCAGAATCTTCCCTTTGCCTCTTCTGAGATGGATATCGTGAGTTGCTCTGCGTCAACGAGGAAGCCTATGATTTCAAGCTGGGTCCCAAAGAGTTGCTTGGCCGACTCGTGTGGGACTCCGATGTGGTCGAGCAATTTAAGGAATCTTGTCTGGCCTCGTGGTAACTCCCTATTGTATGGGGGATAAAGTTCAAGTTCATTGTCGAAGCTTGCATTGAATGCATCATCGACATAGTGAAGTAGACCTCGTATCCCGCAAACATGGATTCCAATCCAACATACGAGTCCGAAGAACAAGCACCACAGCCGGCCAGAGGCCCGATTCCCGAAGACTGCACATCGGTCCACATGGTACTTCCTGTCAATCAGTGTTGCTTGCCGTGCCTGCCATCGTGGGTGCATTGGTAGCCGTCGGTAAGCTTGAGATGCGTCAGATTTCCAGAGAAAAGCTGGCCTCCTTCCTCCATTCTCTTTCATGACGGCATGGATATTGGTCCCAAGGTCAGTTAGATTGTCCAGGACTACATACCCGCCTTCACTCAGGATCAGCGAATTCAGGGATTTCTCCCCTGCGCTATGGTCGTTGACAAGCCGCAGCTTCGATGAGCCTTTCTTCGGTACCGTAAAAATAGGTTGCGCCACCATCCCAGGCAGTAGCTGGTCCCCAAACGCTTCGGAGTATCGGTCCAGGCCCATCTCGGCAGCACATTGCCGTCTAAGGAATTCGACTGATTCATCGTCCAATTCAGGAGCGCCCTTCGCACGCTCTACAATTCCTACCGGTACGCTCTTCAGGTCCTCGACATCTGCAAAGGGCCAGAACCCAGTCCGCAGTCCATCACATACAGATCTGACGAGATCACGATTCGGGTGAGATTTCAGGAGGACTTCGAAACAGTCAACGTTGATAGGGGTAACGATTTTGAACAGGCTCGGGTTGTCCTTGATAGTCATAGTGATGTCTTGATATCTATAATCACTTTGAGGGACGCTCGGGACAGGTTGAGCACTCTCAGTGTACGATGCCGATGGTGTCTGACCAATATCATGCTGACCAAACACGAACCTCATGTATCTTGGTCGTTTGCTCTTCTCCTCGGCCTCATTGAGATCCTGTGGTTGTCTTCTCCTTTTGCTGTGGACACTTTGGCTCGGCATGGGCACTGGATCCACAAGATCCACACTTGTGGAGGTAGCGACATTCGGAGCGTCGACATCCATCCGTCTTGTTGAATTCTCGGCAGATCGGGTAATCATTGTTGCCACGCTTTCGTTTTTTGGTGACATTCTCCCCAGCTCCGGTCGCCTTGTCGCTCCCTGCTTCTCCAGCCGACTTTCCAGGCTTACCTTCTCCCCGGGTATCTCCGTCTCCTCCTCCGAGGTAGATGTCGTGGATGATTTCGTTGAGCGCATTAATGTCGGAGAATGCTCGGTGGGTTTCCTGGAAGAACTTCCTTGCAGCCTGGTCGTATTCGATGTTGAGGGCGACATTCCGGTTTCTGCTGAAACGCTTGACGATGTGACGGTGGTACTCATGGAGCTCCGGACCACGGTGGGGGTATGCCCATACAACCGCAGCGACATATTTGTCCCACGCCTCCGTCCATTGTGATTCGTTTGCCAGTTTGGTCTTGCTCCGGCTACTCGACCCAGTCGAGATTTGAACCCCATTCCCGAGGTCAACGGAGTCTTCATACCGGCCTATCTTCGACCAAGTGTCCGAAGTCGACGAGTCGGTCCCCAAGGATGTCCTTCCAGAGGTATGGTGGGAATTCAGGTTGACCGCCCCGACAGATGAGACTTCGGACGGCACGTTTGACGTTGGTGTTGTACGCGTTCTTGAGGAGTTGTGTCTTCTCGGCGTTGGTGAGCATGGCCTCCTCGCTGGCATCCCAAGGTGGTCCTCCGTTCCCGAATTTCCAGTTCCATGCATACTCGGCACGATGGTCACTTTCTTCGTCGGCAACTCGTTTGAAAACCTCGTTTCCACGGAGCCGTCCGGAACTGGCTTGATTGGTGGGTTGTCCGACTTGAGAGGTAGTCCGAGTCGTGACATTAGGGTTCGATTGGACAGTCCCATCCTGCTCGGCCGAGGTCTGTTGTCGGGCGATACCTCCATCGAGGTCACGGTCTCCTCGTGCTCGAGCTCGGATCCTTGCCTCTGCTGACTGTTCCAGTTCGTCGCCGTATCGGACGAGCGTTTCCCTGCGCTCCTCCTCGTTAAGGGACTGATCCGCAGCGACGGCTTCGGAGAGGGTGGCGTACGCCTCTCTAAGTGGGATCTGGTTGGCATTGTATCGCCTGACGACTTCATCGAGCTGCTCGACCGTACTCGCGGCCTCGAGCAGTGACTGGAACGCATTGCTGCGGGAGATGGATTGAGCTGCATGATGCGACATAAGATGTAAGCGTAGTTGATCGATAGATGATCGAGTTCGATTAGATAAGCGCGGAGATTCAGTTAAGAACTATGAAAGTAAGAGTAAGCGCGCGTTTAGTGGATAGCGAGAGCAGGGATAACCGTGTGCAGGCCTGAGGAGCGGGGCCAGCACACACGGTTAGAAGCCTCATCGCACTACCGTTAACTTACCAGTTAGACGTTGTAGTACGATTGCGCAGGCAGGTGGGGAGTGGATAAGGTGCGCTATTTATCTCGCTCCCGGATGCAACTTGTCTCTTCCCGCAGCTGGTCTGAGACCAAGTTTGGGCCCGGAGGAGGGTTTCATCCGTCTTGTTCCATCCGCACTGCGACAGTGCAGAACAAGACGGCCTCCTCTGAGGCGCGCGCGGATCCACCTGATTAGTCACGTGAAATGGGATTAAACTGAGATTAAAATGGTTTTTTACGCGACTCTAATTCCCACTGTGAGATGCCAAGTTAGCTCCGATGCACCCGATTGATTTAGGACACAGGCTTGGCCGATATTTTCATTTCGTGTCTGTCGCAGCCCCCTCCACACTCAGCTCAGAGTCAGTCGGTCAATAACAAGGAAGTTCCTCATTTTGCTAAACAAAGAAATGCAGGAGGACGAGCCAAAAAAAAAAAAACAAACGTGGCGAATGCCAATCAACTCGAAACCAGTCTCGTATGGATTGGTTCAGGCCAGGCCAATGAGTTTTAGGTTCTCGTGATGTTCTCTTGCATGGGCACAGGAGGATGGGAAAAAAAGTAAGAACCCCTCGTATTTAGCACTCAGCACCCAGGGCCACACAAACAAGATTAGTGCTGCATGGTTTAAACGAGTGAATAGAGTAATATACAGGGTGTGTCACTGGAGGGCATGTGGCGGATGCAGAGAGAGCAGCTATGAAGGAGGGCCACACATGCATGGAGGAATTAGGCATTAATGATTTTATGACGCCCTATTATGAGAGACCCGTGGCTCTGGGCTGTGAAATTGGACGTTGCGAATCAACATAGTGAATATGCGGTAATGAGTAGTTGAGTGATCCACCGGACGGAAGGGAAAGCAGGCACGGTCCGAACTCGGCGTAGCATTGGGGGGCGGATATACGCGGTGGAATGTGCCTCCCATGAATGCCCAGTATCAGTGAGGCACGAAAGCATTCATAAACTCACCAGAGGCATGATCTCTTGGTACCCTCCACCAGACTCAAAGGGCTTAGGGTATGTCAAGTTTTGTTCACACTGACGCGGGGGATCATAGACGTACATCCCTCTGTCTCCCCTACTAGGGAAGCACGACGACGATGCCCAATTCGCTACGTTAGATACGACCCCGTTCAGCTATACACGGACGCTGGGATAGCACACGACGACATACAAAGAACTTGCTCGCCCAGCTGAGCATGACCTATCAATCCAGCGAAGGCTTGGGGAACCCGCAGTAACGCAAAGAAGCCATATTTAACAGGGGAAGGTGGCCTCATGTGCGCAGTGATTCAACAAGGATGTAGACTCTAATTTTGCGTTGACTGATCAGCGGGATACCTGACGAATCGCAGGAATCAAGTTTCCAGTTCCGCGCGCGTTGATCACGGAACCAGCCCTTGTAGTTAAGTCTTGCGCTCCGGAACGGCCGCAGGCTGTTCTTGGGTGCGTGTAATTCCACGGCTTACATAATATTTCGCTTCACTCAACCCCACCCGTTCCCGTAATAAATTCCCCGATTCTCCGGTCACAGCCCACAACGGTCGCACCCAAATGGGCTATGCCGCTGCTTTGCGCAAGTCAAGCAATTCCCCGTTACCTATAGCATCCCCAACGTGCAATTCTCACAAGCGCCCATGCGGGAGTTTACCGCAGCCTCTGATGTCCATCTTGGCCAGTTCCTCCCATATGTACTGCTCTGTCCCTCGCAGAGTGAGAGAAGGGATTTCCCTGAGCCAGCCAACTTGAATCCGTTGTATTACTTTGCGAGCGATTCTGTGCAGCATTTCCCTACCGTGGACTTCCTGTAGGCTGCATGACGCGTTCGAGTTTCTATACCGCTAATGCCGTCGCGCGTCGAAGAAACAGGTCTCTGCCATGTCTTCTTTTACTCATTCGTTTTAGGGGCGTGGACTTTTCTCCCCATTCATTCCGAAGCGTCTTTGCCACAAAGAGTGAAGCTCCTCATTAAGTAGGGAAACGGTCGAGCCTAAATTAGTTCGTTCACCTTTAATTGGTACTTTGCCTAAGGCTTGCGTGCCTACTCGCAGACCCAATTCCACGTGTCCGTCCTGTCCGTTTGTGTCTCTTGTAACCGACCCACACTAGAGGTTCCCCTCGGTCTTGTCTTCGATGGCAGGTGTTGACTTTGACAAAGCATCTGTCTTGACTAAGCGTTCCATCGAAAGCGTCGCTTCGAAACTGTCGACCTTCTGGTCAAAGATCCCTCTTTCTCACAGAAAATTATCATCATCACTCGCTGACATATGTTCCTACATCGAGACTACTCCCGATGCTGAGTCGTCTCCAGTCAATGAATTGATTATTTACAAAGAAGAGAAGGGTGTTCAGCACGAGTTCTTACTTCTACGAATGGCGAAACCCACTGGAGAAAAATTCTGGGTGCGTCTCGAGAGAAAACGGCCGGTGGGCGCTCTCGGAAATCTGATATCCAGCGCATTGGAAGCAAACGACATAGTGAACTTCATTGTTGGTCATTGTCTTGATTGCTACTCACCCCAATCGCCGTCTAGGCAAGTCTCTCTGGGAAATGCGCTACTCTGTTGGGTAGCACGGAGAGCGTCGAGAGGACAAGGATCGTTTTTCGCGTCCCACCTTCGTTAACGGACTTGTTCCATGTCCTTGAAGCACTCAGGGAGTCGTCGAAATTCTATAAACTGTGGCCAGTATGCGCATGACACTCGTACCTCTCCTCTTCTTATTATCTCTGTTACCAGGAGAATTGTTGGTTTTTTGCATCTGTGGTCGCTGAACACTTATACGGTCTCGACAAAAGTGCTGAACTTACAGGAACTTTAAGGTGGCTTAATCTGGGAGCCGATGTTCGTCAAAGAATTCATCAAATGATTGCTTCATATGATCATCCTCCGGTGCAGAATCATGATAGTGAGTCGGGAAGCATATTACTGCCTGGGTCCCCAGCATACGAATCTGCCATCGATGGGCTTGAAACTGAGGCAAGGCAGAATCTCGATGCCAACGAAAAGACTGTTTCCTAATCAACCTCTCAGAATATGAGCAGCGCTTCTAGCACGAGCCTACCCAGACCTCTTCGTCGGTCAGAATCTCAAATGCTCCTATTCCAGGGCGCCTATTCCACAGTAAGACAAATTTCTTTGCATAGATTTATGCCTCTGCCTTAGCACCAAGAACAGGTGGATTTACACGCACAGGAACATCCTCTTAAGCGAGTACCATTGGTTTTGGATAGTCTTTCGGGTTCGGACGACCACAACGGTCGTTGCAACTCACCCTGTGTTCTCCCTGAGGGGGACATGGAGTGCACCCTTGATGTCTTTTGCGAGGGGACGCTCTACAAAGTTCCACTCTCTTCCGGGGAAACATCACATCCGCTCGCCGCCATATATTCCTATATCGAGAGTACTCCCGAAGCTCGGTGCTTCCCCATCGAGAGGACTCCCGATCCTCAGTGCTTCCTCATCGAAGAATTGATCGTTCACAAAGAACAGGACGATTTTCAGCACGAGTTCCTACTTCTACGACTGGCGAGGCCTACAGAAGAAGAATTCTGGGTGCGTCTAGAGAGAAAAGGGCCAACGGACACTCTCGGAAAACAGATATTCACTGAATGGGATGCCAATGATATGGTGGGTTCCATTATTGGCTATTGTCTTGGCTGCTGATTATTCAAGTGCCGGCCAGGCGACTCTTTCTTGGAAATGTGCCACTCTGTTAGATAACATGAAGAGCGTCGAAAAGACAAGGATCATTTTTCGCATCCCACCTTCGCTGATGAACTTATTTCGTGTCCTCGAGGCACTTAGGGAGTCATCGGAATTCTACAAAGTGTGCCCGGTATGTGCATGGTGCTCGTACATCTCCTCTTACCGCATGTCTTATCTCTATTTCTAGGAGAATTGTTGCTTTTTTGTATCTGTAGTTGCTGAGTATCTATACGGTCTGGATGAAAGTGCCGAACTTATCGGAACTTTGAGATGGCTTGGTCCGGGAGCTGAGGCCCGTCGAAGAATTTATCAAATAATCGCCTCATATGATCCTCTTCCCATCCAAGATCTCGAAACTGAGTCGCAAAACATGTCATCTCCCGAATCGCCCATTGGTGCGCAGGTAAGGGGGATTTTGATGTCCGCCGCAAAGACTATTTCCTAATGAACGTCTCAGGACATGAGCAGGGCTTCTGGCGCGAATATGTCCACATTCCTTCGTCGCTCTGAATCCCAAATGCCTCTATCTCAGGATTTTAAGGTAAGACAAATCTCTTGACAGAGACATATTCCCACCCTTAACAACGAGCACAGGGTCCCAATATGGATTTTCACGGACTAGATCAACCCCTTAAACGAACGATGTTGTCTTCGGAGAGTTCATTGTATTCAAGCGGTCCAAGCGATCGTTTCGAACCACCCCATACACGACCTCCGACCTCCGACTCCAAAGCCAATTTGCACGCGCAGAATGCACATCATCCTCGTAAACGAACATTCTCGCTTACGGAGAGCTCAACGATATTAAGCGATCAGATCGATCAGGTTGATCAAATAGTGCATTCACGACATTTGAGGGAGGAAGACATCCTAGGATGCATTCCTGTTAGAGGGGACGCGGAGTACACCCCTAGCGCCTTTGTCATGGAGTTGCGCCGCAGCCAGGAGGCCGAAGGGACGACTGTCAGTCGCTTGCTTCGATATGGGACGATAGGGCGGCTGCCACGTATACCCATTGGCAAATTTTTCAGCAAGGTGGATTTTTTCTCACGATGTCCGGCCCATAAATGTCCTCTAACCTTGATGGGAAGCTTGTGACCACGGAACACTATGAACTCAAACATATTCGAGAGGATGACAATGATGTATGCTCTCTTCCCCCTACAAGACCCGTATCCTTATTGTCATTCCATTTTGTGTGGTGTGAACCATGAAGCCCTGGGTTCCAGGTGGGGGTGTTCACCGGGGCCCGAGGACTCGAGCCAATCGCAACGGCCGTACAAGACATCGTAATTGAGACAATCGCTACTAGTGTATATGTACGTAATGGTTTGCCTCTATCTGTAATTAACATCCCCAACCTTTTCCTCCTCAGCACTACGTCCACCAAGTTAACATGACAAGATGGGGGAGCTGGGCTTTCCTGTTAATTTTTTACTTAGTGCATCAATTTATGAAGCATCCGAGTCGGTTGTACTCTTCAGTAATCGGCAGAACCCCCCGCTCAATGAGCTCGTACCCTGTATTCCCTGGTGGATCAAGACAGGCCATCAGACAGTAGTAAAGCTGGTTTTGTATTTGTAAAGGAATGTGCACACTTCCTCCAAAAAGTACTTTGTGCAGTGGTCCCACATCTTGGCCAACATACTAGTACATAATGCTTTAGAATAAATAATGATCACCTGCTGGCCGGGTGAGGCTTTGCAGGTTTCGAGGGCCCATGCACCAGTTGTGCGACTGCCTCACCCCTTCCACTCACTGAAACCCTCCTTTCGGTTTGTAAAGTTGCCTCAGAGATCGATAGCTAGGCTCGAATAAAGTAAATAAGCTGGACGAATAAACTAGATGTGCGGACTCAGCCTCGAGCAAGAGATTTAAAATGTCATTCTTTTACCTAGATGCGCGGACTGTAAATACAATCAGAACTCGCATACAAGAAGGAAGAATAAAAAGGGTATCACCTCAGTCTCGAGCAAGAGATCTGAGGGAGTGTGAAAAATTCCGCGCATTGTGTATTTTATACAACTAGCGCTAATATTGCCTGTAGCGACTGCCTGCTATAACCGGCAATGAAGAGAACATCAAGACAAAAGGTATATACGATATCTTTGATTGATATCGCGTCAGTAAAAATAATATTACCACACATGGACATTCGCAAGACCTTTGGTGAGAATGTTGGCTACTTGATCAGCCATCAGGACATAGTCGAGCTCCACATTGCCATTGTTTGAAGAAATTGCATGTTGCCTGCCCGGACTTACTCCGTGATATCCAAATGAGGTAAATGTTGGAGGAACCGTGTTACGGTTAAGCCGTAACCCCGGACGGATTTGACGGATGTCTCAGGTGTCTTGTTCATTTTAGTTTCATCTCAATTCATGTAGCCTTGCGACTACCTGTACGGCTCAGATGTTTGGTCTGTTTCTCCTGTCTCATCTCGCATGTCTTAACCTGCTTTCATGTATATAAGGAGTTGACCAGTGAAGATGGACTCTTCAACTGGTCAACACAGGTCGCTGACCTCAATTGATTTCTTGTGATCTTGTGATCTTCTGGCTTGTGATCTTGCTTCCTGTGATCTCACGACTCTTGCTTTGCTCTGTTCTGTTCCCACACTCATTAGTGCTGAGAGGTTCATGACAAACCATGTGCTATGGGAGACCGGACGAGTTTTTCCGTACAGCCACATTCCCACGGTAGCGTGACTACTTGGTCACAACACCTTTTCTTCTTACTTATTTTGGTCACTTTGGACTTATCCACGATGGCCACAAACTACATTCAATCTTTTGAATTAGTTTCCTTTTCCCTTAGTTCTTGCACATATTGCTTGAGACTGAGGTTAGTTACAGTTCTCACCCATATTGCTTGAGACTGAGCTATTGTCACTAGCATTAGAGCAAGCAGTTATTCTGTTAGTAAACCAGGTGACTGGACAAATGACATAAAATGGACAAGCCTGGTATCGAACCCAGGACCTTGTCATATCCCAGAATCCCGACCCTGTGCACTCCCACCACACCACACCTTCCTAACAACTTCACCATCCCCTACACCATGCCTCCCCACTCCCCAAGTCACCTTCCTTCCTGACTGTCTCAGCTCCGGTCTGGTTGTGGCACACCGAACCTTGGCCACTCCCACCCCGGAACCTTGGTCCCGAGTCGGAACATTCGGAGACTCTGGATTTGCTCTGATACCCCGACGGACCTCCGACATCCCGTGACATACCCCTAAACCATTCCTCCACCCATTTCATTTATTGGAGTCACCCAACATCCTTCGGATATGCAACTCCGCTTTCGGAGCTACCCGCATCCTTTGGTGACCCCTCTCTCGTCATCTCTTATTAGTCACCTTCCATTCTTAGCATGACTATCTTCTTCTTACCATTCAGTCGGCTAACCCCCTCTTACCCATTTCTCGTTCCCATTCATTCTCCAGCCTCTTACTCCGCCCTCCTCGACCCGACACCTCGGTTCCCCGTTAAAGATATCGTTTGGAACCTTTCGGTACCTCTCAGTATCATTCGGCACCTTTCGGTGTTCTTTATTGTCATTCGGACTTTGACTAAGTCCTTTCCCATTCTCCCTTATAAATACCTGTAGATTAGAACCTGTAGTTTTCCTCAGTTCTAATCTTGACTAAAATGCTACCCCAAGTCCCTCTGAGTGAATCCCGGCCCCTTCCTACAAGATACCTCAGACATAAGAAATACAAGGACTAACTGAGACGTAACGGAGGCACAGTGCTCCCTCCGAGTCGCTGAGGCTGCGTCCTCCTTAGAGCCTCTTGTACCATCCAGCAGAACTGGGCTTCCTGGGGAAGCTTCGGTCCACTACCGGAGCTCCTGGATCCCATCTAGTTGAGCCCCTGCCTGCATTCGGACTCACGCATTTTCCCCTACGATCCTGGGGGGTTTTTGACAGACCTCTAGTGTGCATCCATACACTACTCGCCCATTATGCCAGGGAGGTTACTCCATCCCATATTCCAACATTGTTGATGCACTTGTGGATGAAATGTTGTCTAACACAGATGTGCTTCATGTGTTGTGATAAGTGTTATCAGCCAGCAGGTGTCTGAACACAATATCAATCTGATAGTTAGATATCGTGTTCTGGCCAAGTCGCAGACATTATATACATGTTTGGGTGGCCAACCAAGATAAAAGAAATACAAAGTGGCACGCAACATGAGGTTAGAGAGATAATAGGGTCCATCCCACTGCCAGTGTGGGTAGTCGCAATATGTGTGACTTGGTGCACCACATTGGCAATAAGGTGCCTAGTGGCCCATCCTTGTCGCTGCACCACATTGGGTTGCTACATCAACAATAAGCAGGGTTGATGGCTAAGGCAAGGGCACCTTGGTTGTCACTGAGAATGGTATGTGGGATAGAATGAGATTTGAGAACATCACTGATGAGTTGTTGAATCCATATCACCTCCTTGGCAGCATGAGTAAGCACCATATACTCTCCTTCTGTGCTGGACAGTGCAGTTGAAGACTGCTTCTTTGAACTCCAGGACATGGTGGCTCCAGCGATCTTGAATACAAAGCCAGAAACAGATCAGTGGTTGTGTGGGTCACCAGCCCAATCAGAGTCGGAGTAACCTGTGAAATCATTATCACGAGTTTTACCATTGTGGACCAACTTGTAGTTTTGTGAATAGTTAAGGTATCTGAACAAGCAGTTGATGGCAATAAGATGTTCCTTTGTATGAAAGGTTGGTTGAGGTTCCAACCTTGGTGTTGACCCTTGCTGTCCTCAAGCTGTCAGAAAGTAGGCAATATAGAGCTTTATTTCCACAGGGGAGGAGAAGAGTGAAAACCTGTTTCACCCTTCCCTGCACTGTATACATGTAATTATTTACATCGAGGAATAAAACAGGAATAAAGAATGAATAAAGAAAGAATAGAGGAATGTGTGCACAGCACACATTAAACTCCTACATCCAACACCCATTCCTTACAGACAACCTCGAAGTTCATGTTTATCAGTATTTGTACTGAACACCTTTAATAATTAATCAACTCCACCCTGGTCTGTTCTACAGGTTATGAGCCCAGGCAGCTCACCTGGACAAGCTGAGGCATTTAGAAATGTCTGACTGACTCTCATGGAAGTTCATGAGGGGCACTAAAGTCCAGCCCAGTGCCCATTGTTAAGGCTGGTGTGTGGCATCCTTCAAGATTGTTTTGTTGGGCACTCAAGTCCAACCTGGCACCCACTGTTAAGGCTGGTGTGTGGTATTCAAGTTTTTTGTTGAGCATGCAAGTCCAGTCTGGTGCCCATGTTAGATATTGTGGGTTCAGATGATTCTGGAACAGAATCAGAGTGTTATGGAAATGGGAAATTCCCATTTTTAGCCTCTTATGGCCTCTGTACAGTATATTATCATGTGACATGTATATAATAACAACTTAACCATAAACAATCACCAAAAGCCACCCTTTGTTAATGTCATTGTAAAGACAATTGTTAAACCTCTGTTACATTAACTGTAACACTATTTCGATGTCATGGCCACTCCCTGCACCCAGACGCTATAGAAATGGGCCAATTAGGCCCCATTTTTATAACACAGAGACTTATCAAGGAGGGACCTTGGCCTCAGCAACTCAAGGGGAGTGCTGTGCCATTGCTGGTTGTCCTGTTGGTCAGATAGGGTAAAGTCTCTAGGGGGAAATCTAGTTGATTTCAGACTGAGGTTACAAGTTACTAGGTACATTGTATATATAGGAGGGGGTCTGGAGTCAAAAGGAGCAAGGGTAATCTGAAAGGAGACAAAGGGAGCTGGAAAGGGGAACAACACCGAGGGTCAAGGGTTTGACTCAATGGTGTTTCCAAAAGGAGGTATGAAGGGCCAAGGCCCAAGGAGGAAGGAGGGAGGATGGGAGTGGGGAATGGCTAGCTGACTGAATAGAAAGAAGCAATAGCCTAAATAGGAATGAGGGAGAATAGCAGAATTGAATGGGACAATGCAATAGCTGCAAGGTCTGAAGTAAGTCTGGAAAGTCTGAACTTGGAAGTTAAACTCCGGAATAATGGCAAAGGTAAATAAATGGAATTAGCTAACCAATAAAATGGATATAAGCAGAGGTGGGGTCAAAGTCTGAGGTCAGAGCTAAGACTGGAGTTCCAAGATGGAGATGTGAACGGGTTTCCAGAGCAGAGGTCCAGAGTCAGGAGCATAGAGGTTGCATGCTCATCTGGAAGGTGTTGAGGTTGAGGTTGGACCTGGAATAGTTCAGAGTCAGACTGAAGGTGGTGTTGGAGCCAGAGGTGGGATAACCTCTTGGGAATTGGCAAGGGAGAGGGTGGTGAAAGGGAAGTGGGGCTCTGGAGTCAGTTTTGGAGTTCCAGGAGCCTGGAGTGGAGGTCAGGATTGTATGGATATGACAGTCATCATATGTGGAGTCACTGTTTTCAAACTTGGAAAGAAGCATTTAATGCTTTTGAACTGACATGTCTGAACATCAAGTGATTTGCATCAAATGCACAGTATTGTTATGAGTGCAAGGATGCAGCAGACAATGATAATTGTGATTGGGAATGTAATGGAAACAATGGACAGGATGGAATAGGGGGGATTGAAGAAATTGATGGAGAGGAGGACCAAAGTGTGGAA